TTAGGCTTGGGCAAGTTGAGAATGACCAAGTAAAATGAGAATACAAGATTGTTACAAATGCAAGTTTATTGGTTATGATAAAAGGCCTTTGACCAAGAGCAAGAATAATAAGAGAATAGCAAGAAAAAAATAAGAATCCAAGAGCCACCAGAATGTTATCAAGAATAAAAAGAAGTACAATTTAATATCAATGAGAAAAGAGAAAGAAAATCCAAGGTAAATGCATTTATTCAAGAATACTCTGATCCATTAAATTGGTTACCATGTTTAAGATGCTTTAATAGCGACCTGATTGACCTTGTTTTTTCTTTCTCACATTTTCCGTCTTTGAACTGTTCTTTCAATTCACACAAATGCTAACAAAATTGTGAACTTTGAAGAAACAAAATGAATGTTTAACCAAAAATTTCAACTGAATAAGTGAACGAATTTAACAGAATAGCGATCAATGGTGCAATCTTTCGTTGAGTTGACGATTAACGATCCGAGAGGTTCTTTGTTAATCGAAACGATTTCCAAAGTTATGTAATCAAATTATTTCATTTCGAAATTCATGAACCATGTGCAGTTACCATGAAATATTCCCAATGATTAGCAAAATGAGAATATGTGTTCTGTTTTTCCTTATTCATGAAATGAATAAAGATAAGAGAAAAATAATTACTCCAACAATTTAAAGTATGCAATTTGTACGCTTATTTTATTATCATGTTCATAGTCATTCATCTCTGTTTTATCTCAAAATTTGTCACTCCCAGTGCTAATATCTTGATAATGAGCATGAAGGGTAAGCACAGTTACAGTTAAGGTAAATGATGAAATGAATGAGAAAAGGGAAATTGAATATGTAGTATCTTTAACATTCGTTTCGTCAATTTTTATTCCTAAAATTGTGATGCAATCTCTGATAAACTATTTTGTTGAAGCGACTGTAAGAATAAAAAGGAAAATTTTATTTTTATTTCTACTGTTGCCCAATTTTGTCTCTTCTAAACACACATATGTATTCACAGTCTCGATAACCTCATATTCATAATCATAATAATAATAAGGAGTGAAATGAGAATAATAATAATGTATAAAAAATGTCTAAGAATAAACACAGAATTTTTGTATAGCGAGAATTTTGTGCATCTTGAAATGTGTCAACCGTCAAACAAAAAATTTGCATCTATATGAGTTTTTATCTTGAAAACTTCCCTTTTTTGTTCCATTCTCAACATTTTATTTTCTCATTTTTCCCTCAGTTTTCGCCTTCTTTCTTCCAAGAGAGGCAAAAAGGTTAGAAAATAACTTGGCAAAATATTCATACAACTGTTAGGTTTAGTTTAATATAAAAGTAACTTTTCACAGTTTACAGAGAGGGCACAGAAACTGCCACCTAATTTACATTTCAAGGTTCCTCATTCATGAATTGAACTTTTGTTTTTCGACTTTGACTGCGCGCCATTGTGCACGAATCTTGCAAACTTTTTCTAATATGCCAATCGAACGTATTGAATGTTTCCAAGTGGAAGGTCATGTTGACCGGAGTTCGATTAAAAAACTCGAACATAGAATATTACCGTATCAGCTTTTTAATGTAAAAACTGACGTTTTTTATTCTGTTTTATTTATATTGTTTTGAGTCATACCTAACGCACGGTAATGCTATAGAACAAAGGTTCGAACTATAATTTCAATCGTGCAAGGTCATCCAAGGTCACTCAAGGAGTTCTAAATGACATTTTATATCATTTTAGAAAAGACTTTTCCAGATTGACTGATACCGGGCGTTTTTTTCATTTTACGCCTTCATGCAGGCATAACTTACGTACGGTTAATGCTACAGACTTCAGACTTGAACCATAAGCTTATTCAGATTGCACAACCATAAATTCGAGTACTCAAGGTTATTCAAGGTCAAGTCTTTATTTGACCTCTAATTGACATGCAAAGGTTATTTTCTGAGATCGCAAATTTTTATGACCGATAGTGTTAGTTACATGCTCATAACTCATACTAGCTGCAGGATATGGGCGAGCCCATAACATTCAGTTGATTAGGAAGAATTAGGAAAAAATCTTTTCAATGGTATTAGTTAGGAGCATGTAACTAACATTATCGGTCATAAAAATTTTGCGATTTCAGAAAATGACCTTTCAATGTCAATTAGAGGTCAAATAAAGAATTGACCTCGAATAACCTTGAGCACTCGAATTTATGGTTGTGCAAGCTATGAATAAGCTTATGGTTCAAGTCTGAAGTCTGTAGCACTAACCGTTCGTGAGTTATGCCTAAGGCGTAAAATGAAAAAAAACGCCCGGTATTTGAGACACGTTCATTTCTCGACTGAACAATCCATGCTCATTTATTATTCATCTAACAATACACTGTATTCAGCTCCGACGAAATTGAATAGATTTGAATCAAAATAAACCGCTTATTGAAATGTTTATTGATACACACTTTATGAGCTTTTAGTTGTGAATATTCAATATGATGAATTTAATTTTATTGATTCAATTGTTTTAACATATTTTCTGTGCACGGTGGTGCATTTAATATCAGGAAACATGGTACGGATATACAGAGTTTTACAGATACGAAAGACATCGCTACGCCAAAAGAATGTAGTGTTGTAAGAATAAGTTTTAATTTTATCCAAACAAGATTTATAGATGTGGAAGTAAAGACAGTTATCGTTGTGGTTAAATATGGAAATAGCAGATATCACCTGATTAATCACTTGTTTTCCTTTATGTGAGCCACTTCTTTCTGGCCTATCGATTACCAAATCTTGATACTCCTTACAAATAAATTTCTTCGCTGGTGAAATGCTGATGAAGATTTGAATTAAAAAAAGCCTAATTTAAATGAAGAACACAAAAATTCACAAGATAAGCTTATGCGACTTGAAATGTTGTATTAAAGACAACTTTATTGTAATATTAGGTTCCGGAAATAAAAGTAAAAAATTGCGGTGGTTTTGTTGGTGTTGAAACTGTAAACAATGTGGAAAAATGTAAACACTTGTTTTGGGTTCGAAATTTTCGCGATTCTTCTGTCGGTGGCAAGTCGAAAAGAAAAAAGATTTTAGCTATATAGATATAGCAATTGAATGTTATGGAAACACCTTCGTCATTGATTGAAATTAGTTATGAACATGTAACCACAGTCAACCAATTTACATGGTTTAAACTCTCAGGAAAATTTACTGAAATGTCATTTAGAGGTCAATAGCGAAATGACCTTGAATGACCGCGTGCATTTGAACTGTCTTTAAGTATTTCAATCTGCGCGATCGCATGACTTGGATCTGAGGTCTGTAGTAACATTTCTTGAATTATGAACGCAAACAGGTAGTAAGATTAAAAAACGTCCAGTACTTTAGTCAAACCTACCAAGCTTTGATTTCTGTTAAAATAATAAACCAAAATATTCCATTGAATTACAGACCTTCAGCTATTAAATCGTATTTACTTCATTGTTCAACTTAACAGATTTTCATATTAAACTCATGCAATACATTCAAACTTGCATATCGATCAATACAGTGTTAATATCAGATGACATTTTACTTTGCTTGAAACTATGGTTCAACATGAAATTTATTCATTCAACTCCCTTTACTTTCTGATTGACTTTGATTGATAAATTAATTTGATGTAATAACAAAGTTGATCAGTCTATATTGAAATGAATATCAACCTTGTGAATTAGCTGGACAAAATAATGATGTATAAAAACTGATTGACAGATAGTTGTGACAGAATTTTACATCTCCCGAGTTGCCTTTTGTCCATTCACATTCTTGTCCAGATAATAAACATTGGACTTACAAAAACATTGATCCACATTTTGCTTCCCTTATGAATACATTTCTTAGACAAGGTTGAAAGATACAAAAGTTTTTATTAATATCATCATCATAATAAGGATGAAATATATTGTCACAAGGTTGAATACAACTGCAACTAAATTCATGGGAAAATTATGAATACAATTTTCTTCATTTTTATTTGAGCATTTATGTTGCTGTCTGTTGAACCAAATGCTCACATACAGCATGATGAGTATGCAGAAAGGAAAGAAAACGAACAAAAAAATATTTGATTCTCAAACAAATTCTTAGTTTTTTGTTCCAAAACAAAGACAATTTCATGTGTATGCATAGTATTTGCATAAATTGGTAAATTAAACAATCCTTTTGACAAGCACAATGTTGGAGTGAAAATTATATTGAACTGTCAGAAGAAGAAAAAGGAAAATATTTAATGATAATGAAAATAATGAAATGTCGGTATTTACAGTTTAATGTTGATAGTTGAAGATAAAAAATTTAACCTTTTTTTCATATTCTTTCAACATTTTTAAATGAAATCTATTTTCTCATTCTTGAGCAAATTCTTGAAATATCCTCATGAAAACAACTTGACTGAGTAAATATTAGCTATAAGAGTTTGTCAACTTTAGTCCAAAATTTTTCATGATTATTTTATCGATATAAAACTTATGAGGCATTAGAAGCAAAATCTTCATACGGCTCATGAAAAATCTTGTTGAATCACAATGGAAATTCATAGTCAACAAACATTCAGACGAAAGCTCAAACTTGTTTCGCTAGCTTAAGATTTAGATTCGACATGTACAGATAGATTGCGATTTAAACAATACTTTCAGAATTTTCTTTGAATGGAAAACTTCGACGATTCAGAATCTCACTGGATTTTTTTGGATAATTTTTACTATTCATTAGTGAAAATTTCGCCAAGAAGTTTTTTCTTGAGTTTGAATGGTTTTCGTTCGGAATTTCACTGGGAGTTGCACAAAAAACTCAATCGTGAAAAAGTTTGTTATTTGACTGCAAGTGTTGAACTTTTTCATGAGTTGTTTGATATTAATAAAGTTATCAATTTTTGGGCAGATTCTTTCTTCTCTACTCGGAAAATTGGCATTCCAAGTGACATTTTATTGATAATAATTGGTTTTTCATTATCTATCTAATTACCAACTTCTAGTACCTCCTCGATGGCATATTGAGCCAAGGGATACTGCAGTGATCAAAGATCAATTAGCAATTATTGATTGTCAAGCAGATGGATTCCCTGTTCCTCAAACACATTGGTCAAGAGCAGAAGGTAAGTCAATAATGTTAATCAAATTAATCTTGACACCATAAAAAGAGCAGCCAATTCAAAGGTAGCCTGAAACTATTGAACCTGAGCTTCCTAATTAAAGACAATCAATTGTCAAGTTTACCAATTAACAAGAATATCAATTACCAATTATCTTTCTCATCACACAATCTATGCAATATTTCACTCCCAGCATAACAAAAGAAATATCAACTCAAGTAGCTCTTTATTTTCATATCAAAAGCAAGTCATGTTTTTGCCCTTCAAATCCCGTTACCAAAAAAATTATATCAAACAATATCAAGTACACCAAGTGAAAAGATCAAAATTAGGTTAAGTCAGGTTAAGTTAGATATGATTCCAACAAAAGCTATCGATTTCGTTGCGAAAGACTTCAGCAGTGCTTCAAGTCTTGATAAAGTGTCTAATTGCAAGTTGAAAAACCACAACTTTGATAACATCAAGATTCATCGAAAGGAGAGAAACATTTTTAGATCAGATTTTTCCCACTTGAATTTTTCCATGTTAACAAAACGAAATAAAATGTCAATCAATCAAAATCTATTAGACCCTCTCTCTAGCCTTTGTAGCATCCTTGGGAGTGAAAACTCCAAGCTTATTATCATGTTATTGGTTTAACATTATAGACTGTCCCAAACATAAAAAAGTGCTTGAAAAAGCCATCAGTTAACCAGAATGTGAAATCTTTCTGTTCACTTTTTTTTCTCTCTGTGGTTTCATTTTTCTTGGAACCAATAATAATAATACATAAAATATTGTAGTTCAAGTTACTGATAAGAGTTGGAGCAAACAAATATATTATTATACTTTCATTTAAATTGAGCAGCAAAAAAGTGACTCAAGAATAAGCTTGAAATGATGAAGATGAAAAAAATTTCTTCTCTCGATATTAATAGTGAATCCATTTTTTTGCTGTTGATATTTTACCCTCCCAGTCAAGAATCAACTATAACCTGTCACTCAAAGTGACCGACATTTTCATTATGTAAATGTTGACTTTTTGCTTGTTTTTTTTCAATTTATTTCATTTCATATTTATCAATCGGAAAAGTGTTTACAATTTATATTTATTATTACCTTTCAATGTGACTTTTGTTTTTCCATTCAATTTTTTTCTTGTTAAATCAAAATTTATATTCTCATCTTTTTTGCAACTTCAAGTGCATCAAAATGAGTTTATCTTGGTGAAAAGTTTCAACCTTTTTTGCCTTTTATGGGCCAGTTTTATTTACTCAATGTCCATTGAAATGCCAGAAAACTATTATTTCCACATTACAATACAGGGAAGGAAAAAATATTTAATTCAACTTTTATTGGTTTTCACTGGAAACGAGAAAATCTCACAAATATTGTTTTACTTTATTCCCTCATTGCTCTTTCCCTTTAGGTTACCTTCAAGAACCATCGACCAATTTTAAGCCAATCAATTCAAGTCCACATTTGAGGGTTTTCGAGAACGGATCTCTTGCTATTCATAATGCTCAAAAGTCAGATGCTGGCTACTATTTGTGTCAAACGAGTAACAACATTGGGTCCGGCCTTAGTAAAGTCATTAAACTCACAGTTCATGGTGAGTATGATTTATGAGTTTATAAACTTTTTTTTAGTTTTTCGTTAATGGACTTTTCGTTTTCCAGTGGCTGCTCATTTTGAAACCAAGTTTAACGTTCACACTGTACGGAAGGGTCAAGAGGCTCGGGTTCAATGTAAAGCAATAGGAGACAAGCCAATTACTATAAACTGGCTCAAGGATAAAATAAGCTTTAACCCTCGAGATGATGTACGTTATGAGTTGTTTGAAGAAGCCAGTTCAGAAGGTTAGTACAAGATGAACGTTTGAAAAATTCAGTGGCTTGAAATAATTTGTTAATTTCCACTTTGAAAGGACGATTGTAAAAATTGAATCAGAATTTCTTTTTTCATTACTAATGGAAATATCAACCCATTTTTTCGATCATGAGTTGTAACGAAATTGAACTTTTTTTTCGTTTCCGTATCAATCGTTTTCCAGGTTTGATTTCTGAAATTTTAATCCGAAGTGCCGATAGACGTGACTCTGCCTTGTTTACTTGCAACACTTTTAATGGTTTTGGTAAAGATGAAACCAATGTTCAGCTTCTTCTTCAAGGTAAACCTTTTTTGCTTCATCAGTGTTGTATTATATTCTGTCCACCCGGAAGTTTAATTTTCTCACCCAAATTCATTTCAATAGTAAATCTTTTCAACAATTTCCTATTCACTATTTACCTTTTCTCTTCTATTCTGTCTTCTTCTTTTTTCATTCTTCTATTTTCTCTCTCACACAACTATTCTTTTTCCACATTCAAACCTTTTTTATCCATTGAAACCATTCACAGAGCCTCCTGATGCACCACAGGATGTTAAAATATCTGACCATGATGGAAGATCAGCAACAATTACATGGTCACCCCCTTATCCCGGAAATAGTCCAATAATGGAATACATTGTTCAATATAAATTGGAGAAAGGTAAATAAGAAAATGAGATTAAACCAATTCCGATCAAATTATTGTCCAATTACTTGAAATTTTTATCCTTTTGCCAACCATTAACCATACAAATCTCCAGAAAAGAACTGAACTTAAAAGAAATTCTTTAAAAATCAAATTTCAAACGCAATAAGCTAAAATGATTTCATTGCTACACTCAAAGTTTACCCTCATGAGCAGACACAAACTCCGTGTGAGATGCTAAGATGTTAAGTCTCTCAGGTTATCTTCAATCAATAACTAGTAAAGTACATCAGCAAACAGCTTTAAAGACTCTTTACGAGGAAAGAGCCTCAACACTCATTTAAGTAACCGAACAAGTGCTTGCTTATAGCATAACTTTAGAGCTTTATACAGCCTCTTTTAAGAGCAACAAAAGTCGAAGTGAATTCATTATTTAACTTGTATTTTGAGTTAGTTGTACTTCAAGATGTTGACGTAGAAGCAGAATCGTACTAGAAACAAATTAATATCATGATCAATTTTCTTGTTCTGTAAGATTTGAAGCTGAAGTTTTGAGCAAGTTCAATATTATTATTGTTTCATTTTTTGAATAAACAATAAGACATTAAACATTATTTTGCAACTTTACTTCCTAACTCTTTAGTTGAAAAAAAACCAATTACCAATATTAATACAATGATGATGATTATTATTATGATTATTTTTCATGAGAAAAGTTTCTTCTTTGAAAGCAATCAGCTAAATTGATTCTCATTAGAGGGTAAAAATGAGTGTCATGATGAAAGATATTAATATAAAACTTGAGAAGATTAAAATGAACATGGAAAAAAAGGAGAAGAAATAATGAGAATTGGAATATACAAGAAAGAAAAAAGGATTCGGAAATGATGTTATTTGTGGTTCTTGTTTGTTGCAAATTCATGAGTCATTCTTTTACCATCTTGTTTACTTTCTTGTATCATCATCATTATAACCATCATCTTGATTATCATCATCATCCTCATCTTGTTATAACCCAGAAAAATGGACTGCATCACGAGGCTTTTGGAATGGCTCAGCTCCAGGAGGTGCAACTTTATATAAGCTGAAAAATCTTCATCCAGTGACACATTATCAGTTGAGGATGTTTGCAACAAATGCAATTGGACGCAGTGAGGCCAGTCAAATCATTCATTTCCGGACTGATGAAGAAGGTATGCATCAATACTATTTCCTCTCATCAATCTAAATCTCTTTTCTTCATCATCCTCATCATCATTATCCTCTTCCATCTTTTCCCTTTCCATTTATACGTTTCCCTCGATTCTATCCATTTCAATCAATTATTATTCCCATTTTTTCCTCATTATACTTTTTTCACTCATCGATTCGAACCATTGTTTTTAACCTTTAACCTGATCAACCTTAACCTTGTCCTTGTTTCAAATGTAATTTTTTTCCTTCTCTTCATTTCATCTTCGATGGACAATGAAAATGTCATTAATTTATTTCACCTTTTCTTGCTGCTTCTAATGTTTAATGTCACCTTTTTCATTCAATAACTAAATCCTCTTTAATAACAATTTTGATGTTCCCATAATGATTCATTGTTACCCTGCAAGTTTTTTTCATCAAAATTTTGTCCTAATAATAGCAATAGATAATGGTTCTTGATAGTTTCTAGACTTTTTTTCCTCTCTCTCATTGCTTCTTGTTCCTGATCAACTGAAAAGATTTGAAAGCCTTTGGGTCAATCTTATGTCACAGTTGATTGAATTTATTGATCAGTCTTGTAAGCCATTGCAACAGTTGCACACAATTGAATGTATTACATGGCTTATAAGACGGTTGATGAATCTTTATCAAGTTGATTTTGTTAACTGAATAGCTTAATGTAAGGTAAAAATGAAAAAGGTTGATTATTTCATTTTTGTATTGATAAATTTGATTATCCAACTAATGATGGAAAAGCCTGCAAGGTAGATTCAGGTTGAAACAGGTAAAACAAATTTGGTGAAAAATGTATTTCTCGAGAAAAGAAGAAGAAAAATTGAATCCAAACTCGTTAATCATTTCATTTTGATCGCAGTACTTTTACAACTCGATTATTGATGAACTGCTTTTTCTCGCTCATTTGCAGCACCAGGAGGGCCACCACTCCATATCAAAGCAATACCCATAAGTTCATCGTCCATTCGGGTAACATGGAAACCACCCAAAAAAGAGTTGACTTTCGGTGTTATCAAGGGTTACTATGTTGGCTACAAAGTGGCCAAAGACACTGATGAGGCTGGTGGTCAACGTGCGGTGAACGGGGAAGGTGAAGGCAGTAAGGTTGAGGGTTCACCCAATGGAGCCTCTTATACGTACAAGACGCTGGAAGCCAAGGACAGGTCGTCCAATGAAGAGGCTCACATAACTGGCTTGACTCGAGCAACAAAATACTTTGTTACTGTTCAAGCTTTCAACTCGAAAGGCTCAGGTCCAGCATCTGAAGAGGTTCTTGTCCAAACTTTGGAGAAAGGTTAGTCAAGGGAAAGGGGAAGAGCTGACCGATTGAGAAAAAGATATTGTTCCAAGCCATTTGATTTCAATTTACTATCATCATCATGAGACAGATGAAGATAGAGAGAGATGAAACTCTGACTAGAATGAAAATCATGACATGTTTTTTTTCGCTTCTAGTAATGATAGACTATACTAGGCGAAATAATGTTCAAATTGAAAAATTTTTGTCTCCAAATTTTCTGTTTGCAATCATTTAACTAGTAATTTTATTTACTTTTTTTTCAAACACGATTAAACTTGAAATTGTTCATCAATTGAATGAACATCAGTATCATCATTATTGATGATGAAGCAAAACTTTTCACTGTAACATTTTATCGCAATAATGATTTCAAATTTTTACTATCTTTATCTAATTACAGATCCTCCTGTTTCACCAAATCTCAAAGTAAACTCAAAAACTTCTTATTCAATCACCATCTCTTGGTCCATTGATCAACAAGCTCAAACTGATCCTCCAACAGGTAAATATCAACTGAATAATTTCAACCCTGATTGTTCACAATTTATATGCATCATTGGGTCACTTTACAGCATTACAAGTTTTAAAATGAAAGTTTAGTTGAGTTAATCGATTAGTAAACATGCTAAATCTAGCTATATTAGCTAGTACAGTTTGTTTTTTCACGTTGAATTCATGGCGAATTTCACTTCCTTACAAATGTATTACAAAGTTATGTTGCATTGCAATTCTAGTATAATTCGATTTTAATCGATTTTTCATATTATTATAATCGATTATCTGATTATCAACTAATCGCCCACCTCTAATTTCAACCCTGATTGTTCACAATTTATATGCATCATTGGGTCACTTTACAGCATTACAAGTTTTAAAATGAAAGTTTAGTTGAGAAGCAATTGCTCTTAACATCAGCAGATTTGATCTCAATAAACTTCTCATTTCGCTGTAAAATCCGATTGAGCGGAAAGCTTCACTTCCTCACAAATGTATTACAAAGTTATGTTAGATTGCAATTCTAGTATCATTCGATTTTTAATCGATTTTCCATATTATCTTCGATTATTCACAAACTAATCGAATACTGTCTCGATACTCAAATATTTGAATCGGTGCACTTTCATTTATCACAACTTTTCAGTACAAAGTATCGATTAAAATCGATTTTTCGTTAGATTTTTATGAAACAGGGGTGTCTTTAAGATTAACAGCTTATGTTAGCAGATTGACAAACATTGTGACTACTGACTAGTGTTTCGATTCTGATCAATTGATCTATCAAATCGATCAGAGTCGAATGTTAGATCGAACGATTAAATCAATTTTAAAAGAAAAATTCGTGATCGGAGATTTCGCCTCATTTGTGCTGCTGATTTCTGGTCGAATCGAATTTTTTATTAGAAATTTTCTCAATTTTATGGATTTCTAAAATGAGCTTGTTAAAATTGTCTTCATCTTTCGGATGAAAATTGGCAAAATTATGAGTTTGACGGTTGAACCACATATTTAAATTAGACTCGTTATATGAAGCTATAACTTGACTGGCAAGATAAAATAAAACTTATTAACCTTATTAACTTTCATCAGTTGATATAGTCAATTTGTTATCAATAATAATAAACTTTTCATCTTTCATTAAATCATTAACCTCAAGATGAGGGAAAAACAAAGATTATATACCATGAATGGAATGTTGAACGATATATCATCCTCATCTTGATGATGGTGATGATAATGATGAGAATAATGAAGAGAGATGAAAGAGTGTGATGCAACTTTTTTTCACTTATTTTTTTCCTCTTCTTTATCCTGTCATCGTCAACTTTCCCTGAATTTTTTGCTTCCCTAACTTGATAATTTAATAAACAATAAGCCTTGAATATTAGATGAATTTTCACTCATTGCTATTGAACTTTCTCTATTGCCTGGTAATAATAATGTTTTTTTTGTATAAAATAAAAAATAATGAAAAAAAAGTGTTATTAGAGAAGCAAAGTCAAAGTTCAACTCATGATAATGTTGAGCCAAAACAAAATATTCAACTTTTTTTCTGCCTCAACACAAATATCAATACTAATTGATCCATTAAATTTAATAACTTTTTATATTCTTTCCTATCTACAAAACTCATTATAATCATACAAATCTTTTCTTTTCAGGTTACATTATTCATATGAAACGATCAAATTCAGATAAATGGGAATCAATTGAAGTCTCAGCAAGTCAAACATCTCATACATTTGAAGGTCTAAGTTGTGGTACAAGCTATCAGTTTTATATAATTGCCTTTAATGAAATTGGTAAATCTGATCCAAGTAACATTATTTACGTCAAGACGGAAGGTTTAGGTAAGTCAACCAGAAAACTCCAAAAAACTCCCAGCTTATCAGTTATCAGCCCAGCACACAGTTAGACAATTAAATGCTAGCCGAATTCAATGAAAATGAATATTGAGAATCAAATGAATAGTAATGATTGGAAAACGATGAATCAAAATTTTTCTCAACTTAAGGCTCATATTGTTACCGGATAGCATTTGGTGATCAACATGCCAAGACTAGACTTTCTTTAAGCAATCGATTTTATTCGACTTTCAGAGTCTTATCACATTCATTATCAGTTATTCACTAAACCGCCCAGCAAAAATCCCAGTAACTCCCAGTCAGAATTTTGTTGATTTTCCTCACAATTGAGCAAGTAATGTAATGCAAGCGAGTTAATAAGGAGAATTATCAAAGATTACTTGAGAATTCTCTGGGAGTTTTCACTCCAACAAGAATATCATTCCTAGTGTTCAATATTATCTGCACAATTCTCAGATTAGTGCGAAGTAAAGCATTTGTATTTATATTCATTCAATAAGATATTGTATTACATCTTTCCTCATCTTCTTATTTCTCAATGTATTCCTAAGTCGTTTTCATTCTCTGTTATCTTCATTGTCTTTCTTCATCCAATGTTATCATTTTAATATGGACATTGGATAATTGATATTGCATTGTTAGACTTTAACACAATTCTGTTCATTTTTAGCTCCCGTTGCTCCAGATAAGCATTCATTGTTGTCCATTAATTCAACCAATGCTGTTATCCATTTGGATTCTTGGCATGATGGAGGTTGTCCCATGAACAAGATTGAGATTATGTATAAAGAAGAAAAAAGATCCGATTGGTTAAGTCTTCCTTTTATTTTTCCTTCACCATCTTCATCATCTGTACCATCATCATCATCATCATCTTCCGCCACTTTATCATCATCTCGAGACGAGAAAGATATTTTATTGAATAATCTTCGTCCAGCAACAAATTATGATCTTAAGATTACGGCTACAAATGAAGCTGGACCCATTCAAGCTGCTTATTCATTTAAGACGAGCTTCAAAGCCAATCGAGGTAAGCCCATTATTCAACAATTTTATTCTGATGAATGTTCAACTTGTTCAAATATGTTCATCATTTTCATTATTTTACATCATCTTGTCAGCATCACTTGAAAGCATCTTTTGTTTGTGCTTTTACGGAATGCTCATTTCAACAGGATTTAAACAAATATTTTTTAATAATCACATTATGAGTGATATTCAAGTGTTGAATAGTCTTTTTTTTGCATGGTAAACATTGATGTGACTCATGATAATAGAAGATTGTTGATGAGCAAAAATATTTCACTTTTGATATTCATTCATTTGATTGATTTACTGTGTTAATATGTGCTCTCTTTCAATCAATTTAATTAAAAAATGCTTTTTTCCATTTTCCTTTTTCTTTCCATCACTTTTCATTCACTTGACATTTTTTTCACACCTACAATAATTATCAATAATTATATTTGACTCTTGGATAAACTTTTAAATTGCATTCAATGGATTCAACTCAACATTAAAGGACATTCCCTGATTGGCAATGAAGCATCCAAATCTTCAGCTGATCATTCCCTTTACCTCGATATGAATCTGCTTTTACCGACAACGATAACAATTGGAGTTACCTTCATCATTTTGACTTTTCTCGTTTGCTTAATTTTCTTGAAGAAGAGACAAAACAATATTAGTTTTTATGGTAATAATTTTATCACATTTAAATTCCCAAACCTTTTCAAGCTAAAGCTATCAAAACATAACCCAAAACTGGTTGACAGTCAGAACTAGACAAAAATATCAAGTCAAAATAACTAAACAAGTCTTAAGATTCGAACAGTTCTTGCAAGATTAACGTTTTTACATTCAAGTTTGGCTAGTAATGATACTTGGCTTTTTATCGTATCAGCTCTTGAAACTTGATCGTCCTTAAAAGGTGTAATGTAGCTCAATCAGGTTTTATCAGCCTAGGATTTCTGAGGACGATTGATCGTAAAAATCGGAAATCGCACATTCCTGGATCTAACCAATCCTAACCTAATCTAACCTGACCTAATACATTTAAAAACATCGAATTTGATTTTTTATTTCTTTAATTTTTCTTTTGCAGAAAATCCTGGAATTTATGATTCAGGAAAATGTGAACCTGTTAACGAGTCCGTCCGACTAACACAACTGGATGCTGGAAGCATGAAAAAGTCAACCGGTGACGCTGCATCTGCCCTTGATTCAGGTTACTTTCCATCACCTTATGCGATGACGAAGATTGAAAATGAAAAAAATGAAGTTAACGGTGTCCTCCAAATGGAAACTAAAAGACCAATAAACTCCCCAATTAAAAAGGTAAAATTCAAAATTTTTCCCATTTCGTTTCAAACATGATTCTCATTTCATTTAAACTTCATTCTCAAACTTGAACACTATCTTGTGACCAAAATGATAAACTGATGAAAATGTTTGCCATTTTTTACAACTTATTAGTATTTTGTACGCTTAATAGTTTCCATTTGTGAATCAAAGTCGCTCAACTTTTCAAATAAAATTGCTATTTTAGTGTAAAATATTAGCTGAAATAATATAAACTTTTCCTTCTCATTCCATCGATATTATTCAATTTACTCAGTTTCATTTTGTTGAGCCATTAGAATAAATAAAGACAAATGTTTTCCAAATGTGATTCTTTGCTTTGGTCAACAATGTTTGTCTTTCAAACTTGAAACTTTTCAATAAGTTGACAATTTATCTCAACTATTGATGAAAAAAGAACTGAATAAGACTAAATGTGGTAGAAGAAGCAAAAAGAAAGTCATAAATGCTAGAATAAAGAAGAAGAGGAAAAATATGAAAAAAACTCCCAGTGATGATTCTCTATTAGTATTGAGTTTATTGTTTTAGATTCTATTCTTTTTCATAAAAGATGATGATGATAATGGTGATGATGGTGATGCTGATGATAAAAATGAAGATTGTTGAGATGAATGTTCACCATAAAAAGATGAAGATGATTCTTGGAACATTGATTTTTGCTTCTCTCTTCTTCATCTTTCCACTGTTCACTGTGGGAAAAAAAAGAAGTTCATTGAAGCAATAAATAACCTTTTCTCATTTTTATTTCTTTTCATTATTTTTTCACGGTTTACCCCTTATAATATCTAATAACAATGTCCAGGGAGTTTTTGTACTCCCACTTATCCACTGTGTCTTAACATTTTTGCCTGCATTTTTTTTATATCTCACAACGTTGACAAGTTTTTACCAGTTTGCTTCAACTATCATTTGAAATGTACATGAAGAGCAAAATGTATGAACAAGTATTAAATAGAAACAATTGAAAGCCAAATGTCATAACCAAAGACAATTTTCACTTATTATCATTGGCTCAGTTGAGCTTCAACTGTTTAGATTAAGAATCAAAGTTTGCTGTCCAGTAAACACCAAAAACAAAACCCCAAAGCTGATATCATGAAACATGATCAAACTCGCAATTAAACTCTTTTCAAAACACTCTTTTTGCATGTTCATCTTAATAGTCCCTGATGCCTCCAAGCTAAACAGTTATTTTGCATTATTACTGTAACAGAGAAGCGGTTGAGATCTTCAACAGTTTATAGTTTCACGGTGATTTTGCTTTGATGAGAATCTCTATCTTTTTTCCGGAATTCATCTGAGAAAATGTCTCGAAGAATCGATGAGAAATGGATTGATTAAAATGTTCATTTTCATTTTTTTTGGTGAAACACTTTTGACCAAACTTATTAGATTTGTAGACTGGAAGACATTTAAACATGATTGGGTTATTTTGCATTATTGTGACAATTGCTCTAAATGATTATTGATTGAATTGTTCTGTTATTTAATCATCATTAATAATCAATAATATGCAACTCACTTGTACAAACCTCTTGTTGTTTATTACATTTATCCTTTTTACACCAAATCAGTTTGATTGAATTCACCTTATCTTGTTGATTGTTAAGTTGCCCATGAAAGGTTTATTTAATAATAAAAGGTTTGACACGGAGGATAAATTGATGAACAATCTGGAGTAATCTTGATCATTTTGATTCTCATGATGATTTGGAATGAACGAAACAGAACGGAAAAAAGCGAAAGGCAAAAAAAGTGAAATCTCAATTGATTGTCAATCAGTAATCAGTATAATACTTGCAATATACAGTAAAACAGTTTACATGGCAGCGACCATTGTTTTCATCATCAAACAAGGTTCAAGACAATTGCAAATAACTAATATTTTTGTCATCATTATCATCATAATCATGATGAGAAACAAGAATCTTCATCGTTGATATCTTGAACATCTTTATATTAATGATTATTCCCATCATCCCTACAGAGTCAAAACAATGAACCAGATTGGGTTGACATTTTGTTTACTCTTGTTTAACCAATTCATTTTGTTCATTCATTCATTTGCCTTCTTAAATCTGAAACAAGAGTAATGATTATTATGCTGATTATAATAATAATGATAATAATGGTAAAAGGCAGATTTGTTGTCCACTAAACATGAAAATAAAAACAAAAAGCAGCAATTTATTAAAACTTGCTCATCATTTTGGTTAAGGATAAACTTGTAGATGGATCATTTAACTGACAATTGCAAATTGCCTGTCCATAATTGAATTGTTGGTCAATCCTTTTGACTTCTTTTGAGTCCTTTTTTTTGCTGGACAACCTTTTCTTCCTTTCATATTCATCTCTTTTTTTCTTGTCCCATCTTTGCCTCTCAGTTAATACATCAATCATTTTGCATATAAATAAATGTTATTTATTGTTATACACTCATAACTTTTCTTCATCAGATTTATCTTCTTTCTTCATCATTCTATCATCTTTATCATCAACTATTGTTATTAACTTGCATTTAAATTACTAAGTAACTGTTTAATGTAATAAAAAAATACTAGAGGTCATTAGAATCATCAGAGTCACTTCCTTTTCCTTTGCTGTTTTTTCCCTCGCTTTTTTCATTCACATGGTAAAGCTTATAAACATGTAAATTGTAAACCCTTTTTTCAGACTCTTTATTATCATCTTTTCATCTTTATTTTCATCTTTCCTATCATCTGTATCATCAGTATCATCATCTCTCTTTCTTGTTCATCTTATTGCGTATCTTCTGTTTAACAAAATGTGAATTTTGATGTAACTTTCTTTTTAGTGAAACATTCTTTATACTTTTCGGTCTTGCTTTTTTCCCTCTGTAAGTTTCTTCATCATCATCATCATTTTCTTATCCTGCTGAGTAGACGGTAGTCAGTTTAATCAATCAATCATCTATTGTACTCTCTTGTACCATGAATGTATATCATCTAAAACATCATCTTTTTCATCGTTTTTCTTTTTTTTGTTGCCCTCCATCCTTCACTTAACACAGCATTCAACATCCGAATCAGGAGAGCCTTTATATGCAACAGTCAAAAGGACTCCTCGTCCACCTCGATCGGATGTCCATGTTTACCATTATCCAAGTAAGTGTATATTGTGTCTCTTCACTTTCATCCCATTTATTAACTTGGCAATTTTATACTGACCAATTTTTTCACTTGCAATCAATCTAATCGACTGCTCTTAAATGATTTACATGGTTTATCTCTTTATAGACAATCTTGACATAAAGTTGATGGTTACATTATTTGTAACTTTGTAAGAAAGATCTGTTAAAACTGAGTCTATTAGTCTAAATAGCTTTAAATGGTAGTCAGATTAGATTGGTCAAATTTGATGCATTAGTCTTCCAAGCTTAGTTTTTAAAAGAGCCAGAGTTTGTTTTGCTAATTGTTGTAAAAAAAATTTTCTTTTTCCTCAGTGACACAAGCTACTTCTGATTCTGGGTGCAACTCTGAAGCTTCATGGCAGAATATGGTTACTCCGAGTCAGTCAAGTCACGAGGCAACTATTAACTCTGCAACTTTAGTGCGATTTCATGAAGGACCATCAGAGAAAGGATTATCTTGTAAGTTTTATTGGGCTTTTCCTGCTTCCTAAATGTTCTGGTTTCATCTTCATTTCATTTGATCTTAATTTATCGCTATTTTTATCTTATTTTCAGCTACTCCAATGACTTCCATGTACTCTGTTTACACTGACCGTCAACCCATGCTCATGTGCCAAAGCTCACAACGTTTCAATGGTAGCTATTCACGAGGCTCAATCTCCTGAAACTTACAAAAGCCTTAGTAAATTGCTTAAAACATGTGGCCAATCTTCACCTCAATTGTATAAAGTTTTTTGGTTTGACTTATGAACTTTATTGAGTCATCAAGAGCCTGATTATCTGATCATCTGATAAGATGTTGGATGCAATCAGATTACTTTCATCGCCGGTTCATCATTCCAATAACCTCAGGATCTGTAAACTAAGTTCATCTAGTCTTGAAACCAAATCACACCCAGCTTACAAAAATGTGATTCAATTTAACTTTTCACTTCAATGCCTTGTGATTTGATGGAAATGATTACAATGACAGAATCAAGTTACACCTGAAAATGAAAGTAATTTGAATCTCCTGGATGGTTACAACAATTTAATCTCTTAATTGCATCAACTTAGCTTTCTATCTACAAACTTGGTTACACCGCCATTAAAGCTTCTCCATTGACGATCCATTTTTTTCCAACACTCAATTAAAGCCTAAATCTCTTTTCTGCTCAAAATGTTCTTATAATGTACATCTACTTCAGCTGATCTAGTCATGGATGGTTAACAAGAAAATGTTAATGCCTTCATATTGTTACAAGCTATTCATTAATTGTCTGGAGATATAAAATGGTTTTTAATGTTGTTCCTCAAGAATATACGTCAAAACTTCTGCAGAGAGATCAATTTCATTCCATTGCCAATCAACTTTCCGCTTTAACCGTTTCTATAAGAAATGTTTATTGTCCACAACTTGATTACTGTATACTAATCAATAAGTCAATGTATTTGTATTATGCGTATTTACTAAAGTGAATCTCCGTCCCCTCTTCGCACAAACCACACACGATAACTAATATAATTCAATGGATTTCTGATGAAAAGGATAATGAAGTTAAACACGAAAATATGGTTCAAATTATGGAAAATGCGATAAAAACTAAGTCAAATACAAACTCGCAAACAAAGTTGACAATTTGTCCCGATGTTTAATAATTTATTTTTGTTATCAATGGCAGTATACAATTAAAAAAAGTATAGAATCAAATCGATACATAAATTTGTTGCCTTTTTTGTTATCTCCGTGTTGGATTAATTAATCATTGTTCATCTTTACAAATTGGAAATTCGATAATCGATTGAATAGTTTTTTATTGAGTATATAACTATTCAGTTTTTAGGAGACAAACATGAGCATTGTAATAATTTTTATTTTGTAATTTGTATAATGTTTTTGTTTTTTTGTGAAAATGATGTGATGTGTTTCTTTTAGAAAATATCATTTTCAGTTTAACTTGAAAATATCAAGGCAAGCAGAATAATTAATTGTTATAATTAGATGAAAAATTCACTTTTTGCGAACGTATCTCAGAATTATATAACCAAAGATCTGGGTAAACGTCAGGAAACAGAGTAAAATGAATGTATTTAAACCAATTGACTCTAAACCAGTTGTACTGCCAATCGTTTCCACTGTCATTAAAAGTTCATCTTTGGCTATAAACAGTCCATTTCCTTCTAGAAGAGTTTCATTTCTTTTTATACAACTCGGGAATCTAGAGAAACTGGGCGAGCACCTATTAATCAGAAAGAAAAGAATTGCGATTAAACAATTTGATCAATCAAAAAGGCTCAACAATATAACATCTGATTAGAAAATTAACTGAACTTTTTCACTTTTTCATGTTTAACCAATTTTTAGTTCTATCTACGAACAGTAGATGGTGTTACTGACTTATTATTTTCGCGCATTTCATTTAATAATAGCTATTTACTTTTGATTGTTTAGAGTTAATTTGATAATAGTTATTGTAAATGGTTTTCCTTCTTTTGTGATTAATTTCGTAGTTAATTGGATTGGTGGCTGATATCTACTTACTTAATCGGAGGTCCATACATGAGCTCGATGATTTGCATATTTTGAAATGCATAGTGAACAATTGACAAATATTTGGCCCATGTTAACCATGATGGTACCATATTTGAGTAGAAGCCACCGAATAGATTGGTTGACATGGAGTAAAGTGCTGATATTGTCATGGATACTTCGAGGTTACCTGTGGTTACACCGATTACAAAGCCCATCGTTTGTGCGACAACAGAGTTTAGTATAAAGAAAAACCATTGGACTATGAAAAGAGTTATGGAGTAAAAACTAAACATTGGATATGATATAAAATAAAAGGCAGTGGGTAAAGCCACTATTGACGGTAAATCTCCAAGCAATTTGGCAATATAGTAAGCAGACAAGCGATAACATCCAGAGGCTCTTTCTTTATTTACCACTTCTTTCTCTGGGGGAAGAGAAACAAGTGTACCAAATAGAGCGAAAAGCTGCCAATATGAAGTTGCAAAAAACATCCAACCCCGGATATCATTGAGGGATGATTCTTGCCTTGGTATTTGAAACCACATTAAACCTGTAATTACTCCAAGTACAATAGCTTGGATCCAGTTCAATTTGGAAAGCATTCTTCCCCTTGATTGGTGGAAATTTCGCTGCATTAATACTTTACATTGAGTCCAAAAAGAGGTTGGCCATTTACCGTAAGCTTCATTGCCTACAATACGACCAGTTGAAGAGTAACGTGATGATGGACTTAACCTACTTCCTGCGTAGTTCATTTCATCATTTGAGGCTGCCAATGAATAAGAAGAAAAGGTTGCTGTTGAAAGGCGATCAGTTTCGGTCCAACTGGATCTTCCCGAATCATCATCATAACCGATTTTGGTATAAATTTTTGTCAACTTTTTACAAGGATCGATTATTACTCTAAGCTCTGTTGATCCAGGAGGTTTAGTGTCGTGTCCATCAGACGATTCATGTCCATCAGGCCATAGAGGATTTGTATCTGCCCGGTCATGATCACCAACAAACTCACCATTGGGAGGTGTTACAGGAACCCGATTGTCAATGTCATCCTCATCGCAATTCGAATCATGATGATTGTCTGGTTCCGTCTGATGATGATGTTCTGAAAGTGAATCTTGGCGATGATGATGACGTCTTTGATGAGAATGATGATGCTGAATATGTTGATGATGGGGATGGGGATTAAGTTCAGATTGGGAATTATCATCGGAATCTTGAGAATGGTGGTCAATGGAAGATGTTTTCATTTGATGAGACGATGGCGATGAAGATGATGAAAGTGAAGGTGGTCTCGATCGTTGGGTTAAAGGTAATTTACTTAATCGACGAGCAGCTGATATTATCTTTTCTTGGTCTTGTTTGCTTCCCTTAATAGTTTCCATCATAAAATCAGCCGGATTATAATTTGGAGTGATTTCAAAGCCGATTGAAGAGAAAAAAGGAACAACCGAATGGGAGTCTCCAAAATACGCCAAATTACCATTGGATAATAACAATAATTTGTCAAGCAGATAAAATATCTGAGATGAAGGTTGATGAATACTGATAATCACAATTTTACGCTCTTTCATTGCGTATTCCTTTAAAAATTTCATTATTCCTAAGGCAGTGCTGGAGTCTAAGCCAGATGTTGGTTCCTGTTAGTCACATAAAAGAAACAAAAAGAAAGGATAAAAATTTCAATAATTAGATTCATTCAAATTTTAAGATTTTACGCAAATCATTAACCAAATTGAATCTTAAGCATCTGTGAAGCGCATAAATAATATCACTCATTTGAAAAGACATTCAACCATCAAAGGACAAAGTTGCAAATTACTGGAAATTTGTATTTATAAATGTAAAAACCAATGCTGTTATATTTTCCCTCTGAATATCCAACACACAAGCAATTAAATCGTTATTCAACTATATCTATGAAGTATTTTGGTGCTGAAAAGGTTGAAATTGTAGGGTAAAATCGTTTCACCAATCAGTGTATCCAAGTATTTGATAAAAAGAAGAAGATTCTTGAAGACATAATTCTTGACTAGTGACAAAGTAATCAATAAGGTGGATAATCATCAATCCCCGGAGAACCTGATATTTAAAATCAAGGCTAACTAAATTATTTTATTACTCTACTTGAAATCTATTCAAGGTCGCTGTTAGACAATCAACAGACAAAATTATCTGTAAAATAATATAAACATGAAAGGCTTGTTATTCCCATCATCTACAACACGATAATCAAGATCACACCATGTCAATTAATGTACAGCTGACGACGTGAGTATTAAAATGGTACCAGAAAGTTAATTATCTTTGGAAGAAAAGGTTGACTATTTGTTACCTGGTCTTGAATGTTATTTGATTTTGCTGAGATTCAATAAAATCGGATTGGATTATCTGGATTAATTATTCTCTGGTGTTTACTCATATATTAATGTTGATTAACTGGTAAAGAGTATTAAATAGATTGACATCTAAGACAATCAATTGGTGTTGTTTTTTGCTTATTGATTGTCAGTCAACCTTTCGCCTTATAATTGGCTAAACATGTAAATGTTAGCTTGGACAGATGAAAGGATTGGAAATGAAATCCACTAAAAAGATGTATATTTTAATACATGTTATTTAATGGATAATTACAATTTAAATTGATGTTGGAGGCAAAACAAATTTATAGTTTTTAATGGTAAAGTCAAGCCTTAAATTAGCTTCTAATTGCATTTGATCGTAAAGTTACTCAATTATAACTAGGCCAAGATTTCAATTTCAACAACAATTTAACCGAAAAGAGAAAAGAGAGAAAAAAAATCTTTTTTTCTTCATTTCTCTCCTTCTCATGTCCATGCTAATCATTAATTAATTGTTCAGCTATTTTCAGTCCAAATGAGCTTTCTCATCATCAATTAAATTTCCGGGTTTACAGTGAAAATTAATAATAATGATGATGAAATAGAAGTACCTTTCAACTTTCAAAAGTGAAAAGTGAAAACAATCAATAAACTAAAGACGTTATCAACATCAATCAACATTCAACATTACCAGAAGATTAATATCCCATCAATCCTTTACCATGTATTAATTGATGATCATCTTATCAACAACAATTAGCCATTTGTGCAAGACTCAACAAACTGAGAAGTAAGTAAATAGCAAATGTTTCAATGTTTCTCATTCAACTAATGAAAATCTTTCTCTTTGTCCAGGATTAATTGGTCATTGGATTTGAGCGAAAATTGATTTAACAATTAATGGTTAACTGTTGGAAACAATTAACCAAAACAAACTTACATCTAAAAGCATTACACTTGGATTTGATAAAAGTTCACAAGCAATGTTGGCTCGTTTCTTTTCACCTCCAGATAAACCTCGTCGTGAAGCATCACCAATAATGGTATCCATACATTGACCCAGGTCCAGAATGTCAATAATATTATCAACTTGCTTCATCTTCTGAGAGTAACTCATTGATTCAGGTAGACGAAGAATAGCGTTATACTAGAGAAATAGAAATAGATGAATTTAATTGCAATTGACAATTGTTTAGGTGAGAAAAGGTGGAAAATCAAAAGCAACATTCAATTTCAAGTTTCATTAGAAATGTTTATTTTTTTTCTTCCTTTCCAATCTTGAATCAGTTTAAATCCTGGTTAACTTGATTTACTCGCTATTTCCATTGATTGCTATCAATTTGACTACTTAACTATGCTATAAATATAATTAATATCATTATACTGTTATTGTGATTTCATTATATTAATCGGTTAGGTTGAGTAATCTGACAGCTAAAGCGAAAACATGAGATTTGTTGAAAGTCATTGTGATTATCGTATCAACAATCAAAATTTCAGTGTAAGATATACTGAATCAAGTTAACCAATTGAATTGATTATCAGCCAATTAATGAAATCTTGAACAATTTACTGTCAAGTTGCATCATTATGCGCATTTCAAGTCAAAAGAAACGGTAAAATCAAGAATCATTTTTATTCGAATTCAATGTTTTTTTTCTCTCATTTTTTCCCTCGTCAGATTTTCTTCTTCTTCTTAATAACAACAGTGAATGTTGATTTTACCCTAATTGTGTTTATAAAATGATCGTATAATGATTAATATTGATTGTGAAATTGAAATAACACTCACCTTAAGAGTCTGTCTAAGAGTTAAATTAGGTAGGAAAATGTCATGTTGAAGGACATAATTAATCTTTCGTTTCATCCTTTTATTAAGCATCTCACCAGCAAGTGTAATACAACCTTGATCAGGCTTTAATCTTCCGGATAAAACATTTAATAAACTTGATTTACCCGATCCTGATGGACCCATAATACCAAGAACTTGACCTGGCCTGGCATAACCATTAATATCGTCCAAAATGCGTCTGTTTTCCGTTAAACTTGAGGTTGCCGTTGAACAGCTATCATAACTGTTGACTTGATTACGTTTATCATCATCTATTGTAATTGAAACATCCTCACCTTTACTGGCAAGACAAGATGATTTGGAGCAAAAAAGTCCATTACTTTTCACATTAAAAGGTTCATACAGAATAATATTCCTAAACACTAACTCCATTGATCGGTGGTTATGATGGTGGTGATGGTGATGGTGTGAATGATGGTGATGGTGATGGCGATGATGGATATCAGGTTGAATCAAACGATTTTCAGCTTTATTTGAATTGTCATATTTGCTTACTGAATCCTGTTGATCGAATGTTTGTTTATCATTTTGCTGATTTAAATGTTGATGGTGATGATGATGATTAGGTTGATGATGTTGATCAACTTGTTGATCAGTTGTAGTCATTTGTTGATTGGTAATATTATATTTGGATATCGTTAAAGGACTCGATGTTGATGACGGAGATGAAGATGAAGATGATGATGATACTGATATTGATATTAAAGATGATATTGTCTTTGTTGGTGATGATGATGGTGAAATGTTTTGACAATCAGCAAGAGTTGAAATTGTTTGATTGTTCATCATGAAATGCCGATTGCTCCTTTAAGGCGGTGACAGAGACTCACATCTTTCAGATGATTGGCAGTTTCTCTTCATCTTTTTCATCTTCTTTCTTTTTCTTTCTTTTTTCTTCCCTTCAATCCGGTGAAGGAGGAGACAAAGGTGATTAAACACTTATCTTCCTCTTCTTTTTACTTCTTTCTTTTCTCTCTCTTTTCTCTTCCTTTATCTTTCTTTTCCTTCTCTTCTGTAAAAAAATGAAAAGACAAAATGAAATGATTTTGTTCAACAAAAAAAACGTAAAGACAATCAATTGAAACAAAACTGATTAACAATTTGAATCATCAATCCAAGGCTAAAGGATAAGATTAACTCCAAGACAAATGGACAAACTTTGAGTATCGTTAACCATTTATCAACTGTCAATCCAATTGTCAATCCAATAATTGCAAGTCTAACTTTAGATTTCAATTGTAAACTCATTTTCAAGTCAAATTTAGCGCATTTTTTCATTTATTTTTAAACCAATTTTGATTGATTTGCACTTCCTTTGTTTTCATTTTTCTGATTTATTTTCATTTTAACAATTTCATTTGATTTTTACATTGCATGTTAACAGGAAAAGTCAAAAGCGCAAAGGACTGAATCAATATTGAACTATTTGTTCAATAACATTTAACCCACCATATTCAAGGTAACCAGTATTTAACCAATTGGTTAAACTGTATCAATTGGTTAACTAACACAGTAAACTAATTAAGCACAGTTTACCCAAATGACAGTGATTAGACCTATTAAAATGTCAAAATTAAAATAAGGAAATGAATCCAATGAAAAATTAAGACATTTTGTTTTGAAAATCAAGTAAAAAATAAGTGTTGAGGTTGGATTACATATTGGTCTAAATCAGTTAAACCAGAATCTCTCGAGGCTAGGAGATACTCGGGCTTTGCTTCGAGTTTATGTCTCATAACTTGTCTCGATTGTTAGTTGATATGTATATAAATGTATTTATATTTATATGAGTGTACATTTTTGCTGAGTTTAATAATCTTAACTCTGTTTTAATTGCATTAAGGTTAATTAAAGTCAAGAGGTTGACCAAAGATTAGTGATTTAAAAATAGTAAATTGAATGTAGTCTTTCATTTCCTGGTTCATCCATTCAATCAATCTTGAATTGCATCGTAATTTAATTATCAGTTGTCTTTGAATGAAAATTTGCAAACAAGTTTCTATCCCGAGTTGACCATCAAATTATCCAAATGTGAACAATGTTAACCTCTGACAGCGGGTCAACTTGACTCTGTATTTTTGAATCGCTATAAATGACTGTTAGATTTCGCCTTGTTCCGGTCAAGGTGAAATGGTCAAGGTAAGTTGGTCATGCAAGGTCAGACATTTGATGTCTTGGAGTGACCGAAATGCTAAGTCAACATAGCTGGACAACAAGACAAAAAGGTTGAGGAATTTGAGATTCTCAAAGGTTACTCAATTGTCAACGTATTTCTCAGTGTATTTCACTTTTGTGTTACTCCAAAGATTATTGTATTTCATTGAGAGAAAAAAAAGATTGAATGAAAAGATTTTCTTCTCTCTTCTCTCTTCTTCTTTTTGTCTTCTTTTGCTTTCTTTTTCATCTTCATTTTACAGGGTCATTTACTTTACTCAAGCAGCTGTCTTGAATAAAGGTCACCTTGTCTTGTCATTGGTGACACCTTTTATTAAGGTTAAACCATTAGCCCGACCTTTGTATGTGTGTGTGTTGCTTGAGTAAAGGTTAAGTAAGAAATGTAATGTTAACTTTGTTTGGGACAATTTTGAAGGATACTTTCTTTACTGACCTCTAATCCAAGTTCAATGGACAATAGGAACCACGTGAGTTATGTCTTCTTACTTTTGCCATTCTTTTCTTTTCTTGCCCATAATTGTCTAAATTTGGACACTTGACCCTCATAAATACACATGTACCTAGTGAGAGTAGCATTTTACTTCTGCAATAAAAATGCTTTTCGTCTTCAAATGGTTTTCAAGTGAAAGCAATGAAAGCAAAAGAGAAAAGGTAAAAAATTATTTTTACCAAGAAATTTCTCATTTCGGTTTTATGATTCAACTTTTATTTTATGTTTTACCTTAACCATTTGGTTAGGTAAACAGGCAACAATTAGCTGATGTTCACAAATCATCACTTAATCAATCTTCATCTGTAAATACTGGTTAACTCAGGCTGGAAATGTCAAGCCTAAGATAGTCTTGACTTGATGCTGTAAGGTTAAGCTTCTAGGTTGCAACACGGATTGATTGGCAAGTCAGTTTTACGAGGAAAAAGATTGTTGAATTGAAAAATTGATAAATCATAATTTCTTACTTATAATTGTAATCAACTGTTATAATCAATGTTGAATGTTGATCAAGAATAAATGATGAAGATTTTTTGGGTAAAGATCACTTTGAATAAAGGCACTTTCAATGATCACAATTCAAAGTACGTTTCATGACACTAGATTAAATTATTGGTACAAAACTGAAAACAAAAAACACAGATTGCCGTTGATACTGAACTTGATACTGACTGAAGCCGAGTAAATGTAAATCTTTGTGTGCCTATTAAAAGCTATCCAACCCTTAAACTAGTTTCAATCTTGATCATCATTAATGCCTCTTCCGCATCACCTTGTCATCATCAACTGATTGCTCTTTAACTTTTCAACTTTAACAACAAAATATACCTTTGATTGTGTAAATGATCATCATTCTTGGATCAACCAACAACATCATCTTCCGGATCAAGCAAACAAAAAAACAACAACAAAAATAAACCATTCCCTGGTACAAGTTGGTTACGACAATTTACAAGATTTGCTGTTTTCACCTTGATTTATAATTGATTTATAAAGAAATTAAATTTGCCTTGAGTTACAATTAGCTTGATGGTGAGAATGATAACAATCACTAAACATTTGTCTAATGTAAGAGTTGAAATTTCGGTCCAAAAAAGGTTTTCAATTTTCTGGTCAAAACATCATTTTTCCCTTTCTGTCCATTGACACTTCAAACTACTTTTACCTTAAATAGCTTCTAATGGTGAACATTAAGATGAACATAAAGATGATTATGAAGATAATTGTTGATGTTTCTTTGGATTATTGAGAAATTAAAATGAACAAAAATTGTCTCTTTACATGATTGTATCGAGACGTTAGTTAATAGGTTTGTGGGACAATATTGATGATCACTTTGGGTGACAATTTAATGTCACCAAGACATTTATTAACCGGTTATTGATCTGTTTCCTCCTTTTCATTATAATCATCTTCATCTGAATCTTCATTTTAATCACTATTTTGGTTAAACAATTTTTCGCAACATTTTTCACTTCTTTTTGTTTTTGCACCTTTTTTCAGCTGGTTTAGGCGCCAAAGTGTTCAATGAATGATCAAGATGAACATGATGAATGAAAGAATCATGATTGGGAAAGAAAGAAAAAAGAAAAAGGAAAAAGAAAAAAGTTGAACATCTGATTGAACTTGAATGATATTATAAAACATCTGATCTTCTTTGACCCTAACCCGTCTTTAAATTTCAGGTTTAAAGCGCTTATTAAACTAGTTTCCGTCTTCCGCATCATCTTCACTCTTCTATCTCCATCCTCATCGTCTTCACCAGTCAGTCTTCCCTTTTTTGGGTCTAAAAAAGGGTAAGAGTTTGAAAAATGAGATGAAAAGTCTTGAATAACTTTTATATCCACTTGTTTATCATCTTCAGTTTTTACCTTCTTCCTGATTCAGGCAGACAGGGAAGTGCCTTTTTTGGATACTTTTCACGGAATCAGATAAATTGACATAGATGAATGTAAATACACAATGAAACCTGCAAGATTACCTGTGATTAAAGAGTTTAAACACTGGCTTTCAATATTAATGGCATCTTGGTTTTTTGGGTTTAACCTTACTGTTAACCTTAGTCTTTTCATATTTCACCGTTATTGCTGGCTATTGTTTTGGGCTTATTGTTGCTAATTGAGGATTTTAGTGATTAATTGATTAAACATAATTTACATGAGTTAATTAACAGGAAATAGAATTGGTAATTTGAGAAGAGAAGAAAAAATATTTCAAATTAAGATTGTTAACAGTATCAAATGGTAAATAACAAGTTGCTTGGTTAATAGTTACGCTTCATTTGAAGACTAGTACAAGGGCAATCTATTTAAAGTTCATTCAACTTTTCATCAGCACGCGGGTGAACATGATAAGGGATGAGAAGGATGAGAAGAGGAAAGAGATTATTAAGAAGGAAAGAAAGAGAAAAATAGAGAGTAAATTAGCTTTCAAGCTTAAATGATTACTCTGATGGTTCTTCATCAGTTGACGATCATGAAAAGGGAAGGAAAAAAATGAAGAAGAAGAAGAAAAACAAAAACAAAAATTTTGCTTTCTTTACTCAAACAAAAATGGGTTACCAAGATGATTCCAAGATTGATGGTCCAAAAAGTCAAAGGGTCAACTAGATTAATGCGTTTTTTTCTGGTTCAAGTTCAACTTTGATTTTGGGTAACACTTGGGTTTGGGTTAACGGTTTGGGTTAACATTTGGGCTTTTTACTAGTAAGTTTTTCAACTCATCCTTTTCCTTACAGACTCTTTCCTTAGTTAATGTCAATGAACTTACTTTTTGCTTTCAATTACACTGTTGCTTAACTTTAACGTTTTTTTATTGTATAATGTTCATTATTAACCGATGAAACAATGTCATCGACTTGAGCTGAATTTTTCCTCAAATCAAGAGATGAAGTAAAGAGTCAAGATTATGTAATGAGGAAGATGCTCAATGATTAAGATGATGAGAGAAAGTGAAAGATGCAAAAGTGAGTAACCTCTCAGTTAACTATCAATTGGAATCGGTATTGTGTTCAGATCATTGGCATGTTACTCTTATCTTGGTGGAGGCTCAATCACTTTCAAACTTATTTCACTCTCATCATCATCTTCATCTTTTTTCCTCTTGATTATCACTTGCCTTTTCATTTATCAATCTTGACTGTTTCCTTAAATCAGGAAACCAATGTTAAGATGAAGACAATTGAAAAATTACACTGCAAATGAGGTTTAATGAAAGGATGGTGATGATGATGATGATGATAATGATAGTTATGATGATGATCAATAGATGATGCGGAAGAGACTCACAATGGATGAAACTAGTTTAAGGGCAGGTAAGATTATCATCAAGTTTGGTTAGGGTCTGCTGATGAACCATTCAAATGGCTTTAAACATCTTTCAAGTTCAACATGAAATGTTAGTCTTTTGTATGCAATGTTAACACTTGTTCAACCATATAAACACCACAAATGTTGATGTTAATAATAAACAATTTACTAATGGTGTTAAGCTTTAATTGTTGACAAATTGATGTATGTTTATATCTCCTTTCAATTGTCCTACAAACCTAATTGACTTGATTAACGCATAGTGTTGTTTTTTCCTGAAAATAAAAACGCTTCAACCATCAACACCAAGCAAGCTTTGTATATTTTTGTTTTGCCTTTTGTTTTATTCAACCTTTGCTTCTTGTGTCTGTCTATTTCTTGCTCTTTCTTCTTCTTCTTTCTGTCTTTTCCTCTTTCTTTCTTGTTTACAATTTGATGGTGATCAATGTGATTAGTTAATTGTTGTTCAAATGAATGCCTTACTTTGGATCATTGGTAAGACTCAATTTTTTTGTTATCATTAATATTGATCGACACTTGACTAACATTTTTCCCTTCACTATTTATATGTATCAACATCAAGTAATACCATTTAACGGAATCGCTCTTTTGTTTCTGTCTTTTTCACCTTCAACAGGTCATTTAATTGGTTTAATTGCTGCTAATGATTCAACGTGTTTTGATTGCATTTTTAAGGTGATTAAAATGATTCCAATTGATATGAATACTTTCATCATTCACATTAACCACTTAACATTGAAACTTTGCTTAAGGTTTTTTTACACTTTCCTTTATAAAGTTAACCTTTTCTTTATTATTCTGGTTTCAACCCAAAAAGCCCAGCAAATGGTTAAGTGATTAACAGTCAATGTTTAACTGTATAAAGGTTTAAAAAATCTACTAATCAGACGATTCTCTGTGAAATAACCGTTTTAATCTGGTTTTAAGACATGTGATGAGTCAAGTGTTAAGTGAAAATCTTATTCTTACCAATCTTACATACACAATGTAAGATTGGTAAGAGTTCATTGCTTTGACTATGATTAATATTTGAAAGTTTATTCACAGAGGTAGATTGACAGAGGGATAAAAAGTGAAATTAACTCACCTAACAGTGATGATGAACTTTTACATTATTTCAAGATAGCAATTGCGAGGAAAGTGGAATCTACTAGAAATGTGATCTTTACAAAGAAAATGATTTAAGATTTTTCAATGGAAACTCACAATGGGTCATTGACATAGACTTGATCAGATTAATCAGTCATTTACTTAAACATTACACCATAATCAGAGAAAGGAAATCGACACTTTGGAGGTTCCATACGATCTTGATTTTATACTCATATGGTTGATGATGGCGATGTAATGGGATGATGATTTTAAATATGAAGAGTTGAACACAATTTAAGATTAGGAAAACAAAGAAACATAAAGGTGAGACTTGATTGAAGTTATTGACTGATTTATTTTCAAGATTTAGTAAGATTTAGATTCATCGGTCTTGCAAATGACATCAATGTACTGACAACGAACACCAGAATCAATAAGAAAATGAAGGTAAAAATGGCAAGGCGTCACCATAAAATTAACCGCGAACTCGGATAATTGGTTAAAATGTTTCATTACTTCAATATCTTCTGTTGACCTCTTCTCTTCATTTCTCTCTCACTCTCTTTTATCTTATTATTATTATTTAATCAGCTTCAATTTAGTTCATAGTTTAATATCACTTTTGATATTATTAAGATAATGTATATACGTTTTAAGGTGGCCTGGCATTCCAATTAAAAATTTGATTCACTTTGAGGCCCCTTTTTTGCACTCACTTTTCTTGGTTTTCATCTCTTATTTACTTTTCCTTCTTGCCACCATCATCGTCATCGTCATCATCCTCCTTCACCATTCTCATCGTCTTCTTGAAACACCAGCAAGTGTATTTCCTTTACCATACTACCTTTTGAAACGTGTTTATCAACAACAGCAACACGATAAAAAAGGTCGTTTTCTTTGATGCTTTCTTAACCTTCAAAATTTTTTCTCCTTCAATCAATCAAGTCAATAACAACTATTAGTACTCGTTGATTATGTATTGTTAACTTGTTCAATAATGTTCAGTCAACTTTACATAAATAACACCAAATGAGTTATGTTAATTCGAAGAAATTCTGAAATTTCCTGTTCCATCTATTAACTTGCCATTTCTTTTCCCTCTGTTGCAGGTTCAGTCGAGTAAAGCGAGTGAATCGTTTGTTCAAAATGATAAGTTGAATTTTACTCCAGCTTGGCTCCAATTAGGCAAACCAGACAATGATATTGATCTTTGCTTAAACTCCATTGAATGTCGCCAATCCGTGGTGAAACAGTATTTAATAGACAATGGTCATGATTGTAATGGCGATGGCTCGATTGGTTGTATAGATTATGCGCTCATTTTCCTATCAAATGATTCCAATTGTCAGACAGCACCGTCAATAGTCGTTGAGTCCCTCAGTCAACAAGTCAATTCATGTCTTGATCAAGGTAATTGGTAGAGACAAAAACAGAAATGAGAATAATTCGATGTTATATTTCTATCTTTTGAAACGTACGATTTATACCTTTTTGCTCATCAATCCTCTTTTTTGCCGACAGATAAAAACGTTATCTCTAATCTTGATGAGGTTACAAGTCAGTCAAGTTACACCTTAACTGGCGATAACCTGGAGCCATCAACCGAAGGTTATGAAACCTTACGCACAACCATTCCACCAGTTGCAGCCAATTTGATTAATAAAGAATGTTTGAAATGTATTTGTGAAGCTTCGACCAACTGTGACAGCAATACTTCGTGTACTAATGAAGCATGTGGACCTTTCCGTCTGTCTCGTAATTATTATGAAAGTGCTGGCAGTCCTGGAGATGGATTTGAAGTTTGTTGCCGTGATGTAGCTTGTTCAGAGAAAGTTATCCAAAGTTACGTTTTGAAACACCTTAAAGATTGTGATTCCAATAGCCTGATTGACTGTGACGATTTTGCGGCAATTCATCGATATGGAAATTCTTGTGCAAACTATAAACATAAGCAGACCGAATATTGGCGTCATTTTGAATATTGCACAGTTATGGCTGATAGTGTTAGACGTAAGTAAACATTTGTGTACAAATTAACAATTCAGAATACAGTCCAAGAAGATGATTTACAGTCAACCCTTTCAAAGTTAGACGTTTCAAACTTGATCCTTTAGAAATGATAAGACAATAAATCACCTAGAAATGTTATCCTTCAGTTAAATACATCAAAAGGTATAATTTCTATGGCCATCCCTCACCTCATCAAAATTTGCGAAGTACCGAGTTTGATTGTGAGCGTCAAGTTAAATTATATCATGACAAACTCATTTTCTCTGAATATATCTGATTTTTTCAATTCAGGTGAAGTCGATCCATGGGAAAATAGTCCAAGACCAAGTGTAAACCAGCCGTCAATGTCATTACCACCATTGGTTCCTTATCCAGTTCGCTTGGGCTTTTCTACTAAACCACCAATTAATACAATAAATCATTTAACCAGTCAAATGATCAACTTGGATGAGCACTGTTTGAATTGCATCTGCCAAGCAAGTAGTGGATGCAATATAACTCGAACTCAATGTCCCAATGGAAGCAATTGTGGTCCATACCAAATCGATTTATCTTATATCAAAGAAGCTGGTGGAGATTCCATGGCAGATAACACGTTTGAGGATTGTGCCAATGACAAAGAATGTTCTGAAAACATAGTTAGAGTTTATATGAAAAGAAATGTTATGGATTGTAATGAAGATGAAATATTAGACTGTACTGACTTTGCATTGGTTCATAAACTTGGTCGATCTCATTGTCGTCAGGCCAGGGAAGTTGAAAGCTTCTTGAATTCAGCTTATTGGGCGGAATTTCAAGCTTGTTATGGCTTTGATTAACTAAATTTATGTAAATAGAAACTAAATGTTTAAAAATTAAATCGATTAAAGGTTTACAATTAAAAAACTTCCACTTTTTACAAAAAATTTTCAAAAGAAGCAAGTTGAAGTGCTATTTACAAACATAGTCACTATACGCGCGTCTTTCAAAATAAACATCACAACATTTATGTTGTTGTTGTTATTCATTCATCATTATTCATTAATATCAATATTTTGATAATTTACCTGATGATGGTTATTATGGCTTTCTTTAAAGGGTATGTTGAAAAAAATAAATCAGATGAATTATTACCAGAACTGTGCTTTATTTGTCATAAATAATAAATAGAAAATGAAATCTTAATCGCCATAAGTACATGATAGTTTCATCTTGATCATCATTGATTCAATAGCAAAGAATGTTATCAAATTTAGGAGATGCTATTTGAAATGTGCAACTATTAAATGGGAAATAGTAGCACAGAGAATGGTTAAAGAATGTGGATACATCTAAACCTAATCTCTTATTTCGGTCAACCACAATTGAACATAAAGCAATTTGATGTTCTTTTGCTATTGCAACAAATTGTTCTACAATTGTTGGTAAACAATAGAGTAACGGATTTAATTTAGCAGTAATCAAGCTTTGCAAATTAAGTAGCCTCAACGATTTAAGTTGAATTTGGCTAAAGTCACTTATTTTACAAGAGATTAGATAAAAGATTGATTGAGTGACAGCATAGAAAATTGAATGGACATTAGGATTAAAATTTTCGTCAATTATTACATCACTATATGACTCTGAATATCCTAAAGCCCAATTGATGGCATTTTCTAAGAAAATTAAAACATGGTCAGTCTTGATATAGCTTGCTTCTACCATCATGGAGGCTAACAGCAGTACAGTCCTTTGGTTACTTTTATCTGGATAGTTGATGGTATTATACCAAAGCCTTTCCAAGGTTCGTTCACACAGATCTTCTGAAAAACTCGACCAATAAACCAATGTAAATGGAAGGTTGATTAAAGCTTCAATGTTTATTACTTGATGGAAGAATATGTCCTCGAGAGCATTAATTGCTGTTTCAGCTTTTGTGAAATCATATGCGTGTCCATCAGGATGAAGTAGGTAATGAACTTTGTTGAGGAAAAGGTCAAATCCAATATCAAACAGACTGAAACATTTTACAGACAAATCAACATCATTAGCACTGGTATCAGCTTTAGAATTATCTACTTTATTATCACCGGCAACCTTGTATGAAGATAACTCCAACCAAATTAATTTGTCAACCACAGTATTTAGAATGTCATATGTATCCAATAAATAGTCGATTGAAGCTAAAATATTAGTTAAATAAGAAATATAACCGTGTGATGTTGATGTTATGTAGTGAGGAAAATTTGATCCAATGAGACCGGTGATCAATTGCGAGGCGGATGGATAAGTTTCGACCAATTCTTTCATGAAAGTGTGTGTCCTTTGGAATACATGAGATTCAGCAGAACTGAGTTTATCACCAGTCCCATCACTAATGTCTCCTAGATAAATTTTAAGAATTATATTTTTTATAATTGGCTGAATAAAGCTAGGAGTAATAGCTATCATATCACTAAGCATGTCCAATAAACAGGTAAGTAAATCAAGTCCTGCTTGATCTTTGAACACCAAATTACGCCAAGGAATAGTGAAAAGTATTTGACCCAGTTGAGTTGAACGTCGCCATTTAACAAGAATCAGGTTAAGATTGCTGGAAATAAGGTTCAAATTGTCAATTAGCACGGGCAAGTTTGCTTGGTTCGATATAATTATTTCACGCAGTTGAGTAAACCTTGTAGAAATATCACTCTCGGATGCTTGATCATCAGTCAAAATATTAGTTAGAGATGGTAAAGCCTTGGGTTTGGCTTTAAGAGTCTTCAAATAATTCATAGCGACTAAATTTAATCAACAGGGTAGTCATCAAATTAACAATTAAAAATGTAAATAAAGAGCAACCGGATAAACCAGGAGACAACGTGGTAAATGAAATGTTTTGCAGTGGTAAGCTGTTCAACTAATCTGTTCAATGTAGAGAGTCTGCTCAATAGAACTCATGTTAATTGAAGAAATAAAAATTCTGATTCTTTCGCAAGTTTTCAAGGTAAATTAGGTTTACCTTGCAATACCAAAGCCTTAATTTTGATCATTTATCAATCTGCTTTGATAGGGTCAATTACTTAATTTGATTATTTCTCAACTCCAAGAACTTTTCTATTCTTTAACAATTCTCTTGAATCTCTTTAACTGTCTTCGTCTTAAAGACTTAAAATAAAATTAAAATTGTCAATAAACTTCGTTTTAATCATTGCAAAGCTATATTCTATATTTTATTACTATATTATTGATGTATTTCCGATTGAATGAATAAATAGTTTAATAATAATTGTTTAGCAATAAATGGTTCAGAAATAAATTGTTTTTCTTGTTTTTGCTATGGTTGTCATGTGACTTCAATCAGCTGTTAAGGCTTTTTGCGGTTTCCTTGATAATTTGTTTTTCTCAATTCAGTTTCTATTTTGAAGTGTAGTGTTTAGAATCGGCCTGTATTTTTGATCTATTTTGGTTTTATCTTAAACGATAATTAATATTTAAAACGAGAGGATGAGTAATATTTATATTCAAGAGCCTTCAACCAATGGAAAGGTAAGTTACTTTTGACCATCCGTTCTTACTTAAATTACTTTCCTTTCCTTTTTATTCATGATGTGATATATTAATTTGTTATGATGTTTATGCGAGAATGATATATCAGCTGTCGTTAATTTAGCTGGAAATTCATATGTTATGTCTAAACACATCTAATTGTGCAAGCCTAATTAATTCTTCTAACATTGTTTTCCATCATCTTTTGACAGGTTATCCTGAAAACTACTCTGGGTGATATTGACATTGAACTTTGGTCTAGAGAAGCTCCGAAAGCATGTCGGAACTTTGTTCAACTATGTATGGAGGGTTATTACAACAATACGATATTTCATAGAGTTATAAAAGGGTTTCTCGCTCAAGGAGGAGATCCGACAGGCACTGGATATGGTAACTTTTTTAATACATAAATTGACGAATGTACAGTGTTCTTTTGTAATATGAGCTAATTATCTAATAATTAATTTTAATTCTTTCATTTCATTGTATAGGTGGAGATTCCATTTATGGAGAAGGATTTAAAGATGAATTCCATTCAAGATTACGCTTCGTTCGCAGGGGTCTTCTGGCAATGGCTAATGCAGAAAAGAACGCCAATGGATCTCAATTTTTCTTTACTCTTGGCCCATGTCCACATCTTCAAGAAAAGCACACAATTTTCGGGAAAGTTGCTGGCAAAACATTGTATAATATGATAAAATTTGACGACTTACAAGTGGATCAAAATGAAAAGCCGCTATATCCACCAAAGATAATTTCAACGGAGGTTGTTTTCAATCCTTTTGACGATATAATTCCTAGAAAGATCGAAGCTAAAAAAACGAATAAAAAGGAAGAAAGGCCCAAAGTAAAAGGAACCAAAGATTTTAAATTACTCTCTTTTGGTGATGAAGCTGAGGAAGAAGAAGAAGAAATAAGTGAAATTATAACAAAATTCAAAGGAAAAAGTAAAAGTAGCCATGATTTGTTGAATGATCCAAAATTAAGTTCAGTTCCAGCTGTTGAACCTTCTCTAACTCTCAATAATCGAAAGATCAAAGGTGACATCGATGACAGAATGGAGGAAGATGATTCAACTAGTGATGATGAAAGCAAGAAAAGCTCAAAACTAAATAAATTGAAAAAGATTAAAGATAAATTTAAACATTCTTCGTTTGGTGAAGGAAAATCAACAGACAAATCAACCACAGATCCATTCGGTGAAGGAACATCAAAAGATTTTAATGAAGAGCAAAATGAAGAAGACGAAACGAACCCTGGATCTAAATTGTAAGAAATTTCAACCGATTTTCAGCGTCAAAAAATAACTTAATATTACTTTCTTTTTATTTCAGAGATAAAATTAAAAATGAGTTCAAACTTTTAAAGAAACAAATGAAGGAGCGAATAAAGAAGACGGTAACCACTGAAAACCCTTTCTTTTCAAGTGATCAACCTGATGCTGTGATTGAGTTCAAGAAAGAAATAGACCAATTCAAAGCATTACAAAGTAAGGATAAGAAGAAACGAGCCGAAAAAGTAAGTGAAATTCCCTTATTATTCAATTTTTATCATTAGGCATTAATGGTTAACTATTACTTTGATTCATAACCCTAATTTATCTTAATCAGGTAATCTGTTCATTTAATCGCTGGTTGAATGTTTCATTCAATTGACGAAACCAGAATTGAGCTTATAAATAAATAAAATAAAATTGCCCATCGTAAAGAAAACAAACAAACATTTACATGATATATTTTTGGTCCGCTTTAAGCTTAATACGAGACTTTATTATCATTTTGACCGGTGGCCCATCGTAAAGTAAAAATGACCAGATTATTAATAAAAGCATTTTTAATCTGGCAGCGCGTAATGATCTAGTCATCCACACTCGATCATTTTAAATCTAATTCTTATTCAAGAGATAACAATGATGATTATCAATTGAATTTAAAATGAGCTAACTAGGGCAATTAGCCATTTTGATCCTTGTTTGATTGCAATCAGTTCTGAGCACACTTTTATATTTTAGCCAGCTTTCGTCAAGATATAGTTAAACCATTACCGTTTCCTAGACTTCAATCACAATTCCGGATCTAGTGAAATAAAGTTTAACTAATTAATATTTCACAATAACTTTCACTAATCTATTATCTTAGAGCATTGATTTTATAAAATACATATTAGCCTTCATTGTACAAAATTGGCAATTGTTCTAATTACTTCTTTATTTCTTTCATTCCACAGAATTTATCCATTTTTGAAAAATTCCAAGCAAAAATATCAAATATTGAAGGTGATTCAGATGATGGTACACTTAGTGATTTGTTTAAACATAAATTGGTCAGCGAAGAAAGTGAGCCTGTTCTAGCAAAAGATGCTAATATAAGGAAGGAGGCTGAATGGTTTGATATTTATGATCCAAGAAATCCAGTTAATAAACGTCGACGTGAAGCCGATAAAGAAAGTGAATCTAAATCAAGTAAAAAAGCGCACCGCAGTAAAGAGAAACAATAAATTCGCTCAACATCTTATCATTTGGATTGGTTAAAATACAAAGCCTTAATCTGGAAAACTCCAACAAAAACTGTTGAAACTTACATCGAGTTGATGATGTCTACTTGTAACCAGTTTCAATGAACAATTAATTGACTTTTCTATGCAGCAAATGGAGAGTTGAGAATGATTTTATAATTTAAATTCATCTCCTCACCTTGAACATCAAATGATAATGGTGTTTGATATTGCAACGATATTTTCATTTTCACCAGAAGAGGACAAAGCTATAAAGAACACATATAAAGATGATAGAACAAGTTGAAGAATGAACAAAATAACGAAGAGAGTAAAGAAGGAGGAGAATAGGTGAAGACGAAGAAGATAGACTTACCCTGGAAGGAGGGAGGGAAAGATGAAAATAGTGAAACAGTAATTTGAACAAATTGTTATTGAGGATTACCTGGAAGATGCTGCCTGTTTTCCTGCGATAAGCTTTGAAAAGGAAGCCTGAAAAAGTGAGATAATCATGGACCAATGCTTCCGGAGACAAGCTCTTTACGCATTCACTTTCTTTGGCAAACTGTTTATTCACAAATATAAAGGTTGTTAAAAGATAGAGAATCAAATTAATCAATTGAATTTGTTTTTTTTACCTTACAAATCAATTGGTTATTTCCTTTGAAAATTCAACTCCACCAGTTGTGCTTACATCAAAGTCCAATCACAAGCTCATCGCAGCCTCATCTTCATCTCCTAAACCTGCCATAATAATTTATCCTTTTTACCCATCTTTATGACAAATAATTTCAATTCTCATCACCTTTTGATCATTGATTATATCAACCAATTATGTATAGTTAATCTTGTAAACAAATTACAACTGTAATAAATTGTTTAATCCATGCCTTGGTTTAGTTTTCACGTTTAAACCTTGTTTCAATTTAGTATAACTGTAATACAGATCAAGTCACCAAATGATTTTCAAATATAATTCACTATGCAAATAGATTGTTGTAAAGAAATTGTTGAAATTACAATTTAAAGGGTAATAATTTTCTCACAATATTATCAACAATTGCATTGGAAGAAAAAATATTTACATTAATTGCGCTCTCAATGTATTTTAATGGTGAAGTAATTTAGACTTTTGCTGTCTTTTTCATATAATAATCATCTTTTAAGCAAACAAACTCATCTTCAATAGATATTCATCTTAATCTAAATTACTGATCAAAAGATTAACTTGGAGTAAAAAAAGATGATCTTGGTTGTGAGAAAGGTTTAAATGTCTCATGTTAACACAAAGTCTGAGAGTAATATTTTTTTTCTATTAAAATGCATTCTTCAGCATAACCAACCAAACAGATTTGATTATTGACAATCTAAAAACGTGATTCTAAGCAGTTGATGGTAAATTTTCATTCAAATGTTTATCCTTCTTCAAGTTTATCCACTTTTCAATACATTTTAATATTATACAATGGTGATGAATAAAAAATAACTGTAAGGGATTAACAGTGTATTAATGTAAACAATTGTCAAAACTGCAAACGATGTGCATGATATTGATGATTGTTTTTTAAACAATGTCAATAATATGAGCATTCATATTGTTAAATAATTGCCTTTATTGATAAAAAAGTAGCAAAAAAATAAAAAAGTCACAAAAAGGAAGGTTAAGCTGAGGATAAACGCGTGTCAAGGAACCAGTCGATCAGGCCCATTGATAAAAGATGATCATCATAATAAGCACCAACTTCATCATAACTTTCATCAAGATTTTTACATTCATCAATGTTATGATTATTTTCCAGTCGCTTCACTAGTTGTTACCTTTGTTCAATTGCTCATTCCCTTCCCTTTCATTCCTTTCATTTCTTTCTTCTCCATCTTTTTCATCTTTCTCTTTTCCTCCCTTTCTCTCTGTCTCTCCGTTTCTATCTCTATCTCTGTCTCTCTTCTCATCCTCTGTAAGTTGACTTTAAATCTGTTATAACCTATACAACGAAAGTGATATTAACAATGGAAAGCCTTCTCATTGGATGTTATTCACTCCAACCTAGCCTGATAGGTTAGCATCCACCAAAGTTCAGCCTCTTTTATCATCTTTTGCGTTTCATCCAGATAGTCACTTGATCTTTAATTTTCATCTTCATCCAGATTCTTTCTTCAATCTTTATCTTTGTTCCAGTTTTAAGTTTTTCGAAATCTTTTTTTTTCATTGTTCCATAAGTGTCAAAAATCATTCAATACTTGTAACATTTCTTGATTCAGCTTTTACCATTTTATACGAAACTGTGGCCATTAATTTTATCTTAATAACTTGATCTTGATCTGGATTACAGGAATCTTGAAACTGTTTATGTGAAATTTTTGAATAAACCGTCTTTTTGCTTTACTTTGGTTCATTTATAAATTCAATGGTAATCATGATTAGAAGTACTGGTTCAATCAGATCCCGGAGAAACAAATCAAATGATAAAGATTTAGCCTCAAAGGAACCAATTAGCAGCCTTAAAATAATCAAAATTGAAGCATCTTCAGTCAGTGAATCATTTATCAACAGTTCAACTAGACTTGATCTCTCATCGCCAAGTCCGAAATCACCTTCTCTGTCTTGTTCATCTTCACCTCAGCCAAGTACCGTGATAACATCCATTCGAGTATCGCCCAATCATCGATCTCAGTGTTATATAACGACAACTTATACACCTTATCGTGATTTAATAAGAACCAATTTGATAAATACGGAAACATCATCACCAGCTGCAATAGACAGCAAGCAATGTTCAGGGGAACCTGCAACATCAACCTCTCCATCAACAACCATAGGAACCGTTTCATCTTCATCAGCAAAATCTCGAAATGGAAGGTCAGTAAACAAACGAAATGGACGTTGGACGTTTACAAATTGCCGAGAAAGACAGCGACAGCAGAATGTAAATGAAGCTTTTCAAGAATTGCGATCAAAAATACCAACTCAACCAATAGATAAAAAGCTATCCAAATGTTCAATATTAACAAGAGCCATTGAATATATCAAGCTTTTAAACGGAATCCTGGAAAAGATGGATGATAATGGTGATTATTATAGCCAAGGAACTCGAAAACGTGCCCGTTATGATTCGGAAGACACTCAGCTGGATTGTAAACCATCTTCAAGAAACTCTTTGTTGACCACATCATCATCCTCTTCAATACATGATTATGAAAGTGATTGTCCAAACCCAGGTGAAGATGAAGAAGAGAAATATGAAAATGCCAATTTGGTTAAAACGGGTAACAAAGGTCTAAGAGAGAGGCAAAATTTGGGTTCATCTCGTTTATCATGCAACAACCGTCCGTTGGAAACAAATGTATCAATTACTCGGGTTAATGGAACCATCCAAAGTCCACAATTTAGCCAGATTACGGATCGAGTTATCCTAGATTGTTCACCAGTTAATGGATCAAGTCAACGATCTTTCACCAAAGAAAACCTTTCCGATGGTTTCTCCCAAGATTCACAGGAAACCATAAGATCATCTGAAGATAAGATAATTATGGATGATGTTAGTCTAGTTAGTTATGAGTTTGATTCATCTAGAGAGCAAAGTATTTCATCAACTGTGAGCAGCCCATCTGATTCGGATTAACACTAAACACAAATCTTTTGCTTCTTTGCTTTTCTCTCACCATCTTCACTTTTCATCAGCAACAATAAAACTGCTATTTTGACTAATAAGACTGATTTCAGAGAAAGATAGTCAACTAGTTGATTTAAGTATAACTGACGGGTCAATCAATTGTTGACAGTTAATTAGTTTGGCAACAAATGATGGGTGTTCACATTACAGCAAAACAAACATGTAATATATTCATAATTAGTCTGTATCATTAGTCTCAAATCAACTGATTCTCCTTCTCTTATTGTTTAAAAGTGGTACTGTTTTTCAAACAATCAACAGGATAACGGCTCAATGAACAGTGAGTTTCGTTGTCTGTTCAATATACTCACATTACTTTGATTTACAAAACAAAAAGAGACAAAACTTAAACACAATTGAATAAAGTAAACGTTTAAAAACACATGTTGTAAACAAATAACTGATTTAAGTAAAGATTTACGGATTGTTTCATTTGTTACCATTCTAACAAGGGAAGTGAGGTAAGTGGTACGGTTAGAATCGGATAAAAAGTGTATAATTCTATTGATCATGATGAAAATAGTTGGTTACCGTACAAAGTTGAGAACGCAATTATCCTTTTCTACCTCGAAATTCGATCATTGCTTCTCAAAGCGCATAAAGCCATAGTGAATATAATAATAAATTTTGACTTTTCAACAAACCAAAAGTTTACCTCTGTGGTAAGTTACACAATTTCAACTTATCACTATGGCTTTATGCGCTTTGAAAGACAATGATCGGATTTCGAGGTAGAAAAGGACAATTGCGTTCTCAACTTTGTACGGTAACCAACTATTTTCATCATGATCAATAGAATTATACACTTTTTATCCGATTCTAACCGTACCACTTACCTCACTTCCCTTGTAAGGCCTAAGCTGAGATCTAATGTTTATTATGGTAGGCATTATGGTGTGTCTATACATTACAATATGTAATACTAGACCTTAAATTTCAGACCATTTACCTCGTTATCTTGTTGACATTACAATATGAGAGTAAAAACATATTTACTAAACTATTAACGATGTAAACTGGATTCAAATTCAGACAATTAAACTCTATGATAGTCAATATAATGGCTATCAACATTATACAATGCTATAAAAACTGTTAGATACAACAGCTTTTAACATTCTTAACCCATAGCCAAGACTTTACACATCAAGAAATATATTGCTCATTAAGTATTTCAGTATTTCAGTATTTAGAGTTGAAACAAGTAATATTTAACTTGATAATGTTAACTTACAATTCATTAATTTGTCAGGCTTTACATCGATAAATTAACTTCTCAAGTGACCCTTGAAAACGATGAATCCAACTTCCTTGGGTTTCCCTTTTTGAGGCTAAATCACTGTCTCTCCTTTCCTTTGTATCACTATTATTATTTTGTTAATCAATAGGATAATGTTGGAGTATCAAAAGGCTAGGTGGTGGGTTTGATATACAAAACATGATTGTCATCACCTTAAATCTTCACAATTGATAACCAATCAACCCTTAACACAGTAAAAATACACGAGTCAAAAGAAAAGCTAAAATCACATGCAGATGATTTGTCACACGTTCAAGATTGGCATAATTTTTTTAGGGAGTTTGCTATGATAATGAAGTAAAATGGAGGGAAAATTCATTTGTCCGGAAATTAATAGAAATACAATTGAATAATTTCCAAACGATTAACACTCAACAGATAAAAATAATCAAAAATATTCAAAGCAATTCTCCCATAAAAATAAAGATAAAAATTTTTATTGTTAAACTCATCATAAACAGTATAATAGTTGTCACCCGAGTTGACCAAAAGTTGGCTTTAGCTAATAAATCTTGAATAATCAGACTTTCAATCAGATCTTTCTGTCTTTGGATCATTCGATTGCTAATTAATTTTTGGATGATCAACCTTTAAACAGTTAATTTGATTTATTGGTTACCATTCAAAGTACAGCATTGAATCTATCTTTTAACCATTCAAAATTAGCATATTATTCGATATCTTCTAAGATTTTTCAAACTACATACGATGAATCACAAATATTTTAAAAAACTAACTCAATTATTATCAACAATTACCTAAAATTATTTTAAATTGTCAAAAAATCAGTTAATAGCGAGATTAAGAAGCGCCATCTAGTGATACAAAAACTTGATTGTTGTTGAAAAATCTTGTTCAAACTGTCATTATCTTTATTTTCACTGAATCATCAATCAATTCTGGTTGTTCTTGATTGGATTGAGCCCTCGTGATTTATCCTAAGCCTTCTCAATTGAAAAAAGCATTTAACTTGTTTAATCTGACATCTGTTGGTAAATCTATCCTATTTACTTCTGTTTTACGCTATGTTTACGTGATTCCGTTCAACCTGTGCAAAATTTGGAAAATTTAAATTGTTTGCTGATTATTGAATTTCATTTATTCATCGTTGGGTAATTTTTTGTTATTTGCTGTCTCTTTCATGTACAATTCAGGATGTGAATGACTTTGATTGTAAAATGGATATACATTGATAGGTTTGTAAACCTTTGATCTTTATTATGACTTATCGCTTTATCATGATTATTCAATAACTCTGTGATTTTTTCTCATCTAGATGAACCTTTGTGCCTTATTGATGTAGACGAGATTCAAATACGAGCAAATCTTGAGCTTAGTTTGTTCATTAATCTTTTTAACAATTGTTCTGGAGTTCTACGTTCAAATATCTGTATGCTCTTCTCTGATTGGCTGATTGGCCACCAAACCGTTGGAATACATTTCAAGTGTCTCGAGCTCAAATCTGGTTTAAACTTTAAAGATAGATCAATTGGTGTATATGTTTTTATGTGTTTACTCTGTGAATCGACTGCTGCGAACTTACAATCATGATTGAAAGCTTGGTTAATTGCATCCGACAAGGAAAATTAGAGTAAGTTTTACTTATAAATTTAGGTTTTGTAAACCCTGTTCTTGTTGTTTACTAAACAATGTACTGCTGATTGTTATGACTGACTATTTTTTTGTTTCCCTTGTTTACTATTTCCAGTGCCATTTCTGGTTTTATCAAACGTTTGAAAAACATCAACATTGTTTTAATTAAAGAAGATGACTGCAATTTGAATCTCCTTCATATTGCTGCTGGTATCGACTCAGTCTTTCGAGATGATGTTGTTAATTTAATTGTGAAATCAAAAGAACTTGACATAAACAAACCTAGTGGACCAGGAAATGATTGTTGGACCGCAGCTCATATAACTGCTATCAAAGGCTACTCTACAACTCTAAAGTGTTTACTAGATCACGGAGCCGATCCATATTTACTAGACATTGACTGTAACACTGTTTGGGATGTTGCATCAGCTAACAACAACCACAGCTGTATTCGCGTTCTAGAAAATGCAGTTAATTCGCCACCTTCTCCATTAATTGATGACTCCATTTACTTTTCTATGAGCTCTCTAGGATTGATAGACCTGGACCAGACCATCAAATTAAGTGACCAATCCTCAGTGGTCCAAGTCACATCTCAAGAGCTCCAACTTCGTAGAAAAAATACAGATAAATTGCCACAGAAGGCTCCTAAATTGAAATCAACTAGATCACCACCCAGAAGACCGACAGCAGATGCATCATACAGTTTAGTGACAGATAAATCAAATGACACAGTAATTTACACTGATCCAGACTTTAATGTTACTTTAGTTGGGGTCAAAGATACAACTTTAATCTCTAATGACTCCAGCTCTACTTTAGATAATACAACGCTGAGCCCGCTTGATTCAAATTTGAAGAAATTGACCGATTCAGAGATATACCAGCAACTTCAGCGTTTTGGTGAAAGCCCTGGACCAGTCAACAAATTCACTCGGGATCTTTACTTAAGAAAATTAGGAAAAATTATATCAAATAGAGTACAGGTTAAAACACCGATCAAATCATCGATTAAATCACCGATCAAATCACCACTTAAATCATCAGTAAACAAGACACAAACGCTTTCTTCTTATCCACAAGAAATCAACAACATAGTCTCGTGGAAGTTTGATTTTGTCGAAGCCAAAGAAATAGATAAAGAATTTATGGACATCTTTTCAGAAGCAAAAGGTCCTCGAGATTTTTTCAATTACCTGCTGTTAGATCCAAGAAAAACATGTAATCTATCTCAAGCAGCATCCGAAGCACAAGATAAGAAAACGGAAGTCAGTCTTTTTGTTAAATTTATAAAAGCAATTTTCTACATTGGTAAAGGTAAAAATAATCGACCTTACATGCATCTTTACGAAGCTGCTTTACCATTAAATAAGCGAAAACCAATTAGCGCTAAAGTTAAAAGGATAATTGAAATCTGGGATCAGGATTATGGAGTAATTTCTCTTCATTTTCCCAACGGAATGACTTCTGAAGAAGCTTTTGCTCGTGAATCATTAATGATTAATGCCATTGATCTTGATAATTTAACCAATATCAGATTGGGTCAAAATAAGGTGCATTCTGGTTATTTGACTGACGCCAAGAAAAAGGTTCTTGGTGCATACTGCCTTTGGAAGGCTTATAAAAATCTTATTCTCAATGGTGAACGGCAAATCAAGCGTTTTAATATTACTCGTTAAATTATTATTCAACGATTATCTAATATGATAATTTTATGATTTTATCTTTTATAATTTTTCACCATCATTTTCAAATAATTTGTTTAATCACATTGTTTATATATCATCTCCCTCATTTGCTTTTATTTTTCATCAAGAAAGGTTCTTTTATAAATAAATATAAGAGGCGAAATGAAATAAAAGTGATCTTATTTGAAGTCAACAGGTTATGGCTTGAAAAAGAAAGAGAGAGAGAGAGTTAAGAATAAAGTTCCGAAGAATGAATCGAAAAATTGAAAAGTAAATTGAAAAGTGAGGAATAAGCAGAAGACAATGATAAAAAGTGGAGAGAAAAGCATTTAAATCAAGTCGATCACATTATACATTAGTTGCTGTTGAGGCAGATGCAACGGACGTAGTTACTGAAGTCGCGGTCGCCGTTGTGTTTTTTGTGGGTGTTGATGGTTCCAATTTCATTACTTGACAAACCCATCGAGCAAAATCGAGATCTTCACTTTCAGATTTCTTAACATAAGGATGATTCTAAGGAAAGAATAAGAGAAAATGCAAAATTAGAACATCGTAAAGGAATTGTGATACATCCATGCTGAGGTTAAACATAAAATAGTAATTGATTCAAAACAAAATAAGATAGAGAAAAAATCACATGGAACGATATTGAAATTTAAAGTCAAAGTAATCTGTTTTTCTAACTGTGAGAATGGGTTTACAAAATTTCAAACATGTATGCCTTACCATTAAAGTTTTGAGATCAGGTCTTTCTACTGGATTCTTTTTGAGACAACTATCAACCAAATCTTTGAATTCTGCTGAAAATATCCCGGATGGTATAGTTGGCTGTGGCTCATTTACGATGTAATCTAATAATTCAAAGATGGATAAACGTGGACAAACGTCCCCTGCTGTTGAATTGGATGCAGAATTTTGACTAAAGCTAGCCGGACGCGTCTTCGAATTGGGGCTTACAGGAGTTTTGGCATCGTTTGAGCTATCCTGCAGCTCGGGTTGATATTGTGAGCCGAAGATGGCCTTGAGCTCTTTTGGCTCTGGAGGTGGAACAGGATATCGACCAATAGCCATTTCAACAAGGGATAGTCCGAGGCTCCATATATCAGATTGAATGGTATAATGAGTACCTTGTAGCCTTTCCGGCTGTGAGAAATTATGCAAATATAGAGAGTTAGAAATTATGGAATAGGCATAGCAGTGTCAGTAACATGGAAAAATTTCTATTTTGATCATCTTTCAAATCAGATTGTGTACTTCTAAGAGCCAACCATACATAATCTTGAAATGAAAATTACAATATTGAAATTGTTCGATGTTCATTGGTAGATCACCGCTTTAAGAATGGTGTACGTTACGTACAGACATATAGGATCTAGTGCCAACAAAAGAGTTAGCCATTGAGTCAATTAATTGTCCACTGACGCCAAAATCACATATTTTAATTTCTCCTCTGGAATTTACAAGAATGTTGGAAGGCTTGACATCTGTGAATAGATCATAAAAATCAAATGAAATACAAGATTCATCTAAAAATATCAAGATATTCATTATACCTCTATGCATAATTTGATGTTTCTCCCTCAGGTAATTGAGTCCTTTTAGGACAGCAATGGTAACTTTACCAAGCACTTGTTCAGGTATTCGTCCAGCTTTTTTGAGGACCAAATCAAGGGAACCTCCATCCTGAACAGAAGCATTGAAAGTATTAGATAAGCATTTTTGTATTTGATAAAAATAACCCTGTAATTACCATATATTCCATACAGATATTAATCTCTCCATCACTGTAAAATGCACCATAAAACCCAACAATGTGGGGTGAATTACATTCATGAAGAACTTTTAATTCTCGGATTATTTGATTGCGAATGGCAGGTTTAACTTCAAGATGAATGAGCTGAATAAGAAGATAAAAACGCGCGTTAATAAGTAATTGAGAATACCAATGTTAAATGTAGTCTAGAATTAAAGACAAAACTATACCAACCTTACGGGCCATGATAAGACCAGATGGTCGATGCAGGACTTTGGTGACAACACCTCCATTACCGGCACCTAACTCTCCTAGATATTCAAAATCTTCTCCTGTTAATTCACCAACCTTTTGTTTCTGAGTTAAAAAGGTTTCCAATCTTTGCCTTTGTTGATCATCCAAATCAAGGCCTTCGAGTGTTTTATGGAGAGCTTCAATGCTTGTGTCCAATGGTTGCCTATCATATGAAAATATGGAAAGAAAAAGAAACAAAACAGTGTTAGAAGGATAAAGTAAAAGGGTATCAATGGGATAGAATACAGAAAGCACAAATGATACTCAACTCATTTTGGTCCTGACTGGAATCACCTGAGTCTACTGAGCCAGGAGGAAGTTTAAGGTTGAGTTTATTTTTATTTTGGTTACGACTCATCGGAACTAAAATTCAAGTGTAGACACCAGTATTATGGATAATGGTTGAATAGAGTGGAGAGAAGAAAGAAGACAGATGAGAGAAAATTGGATAACAATGAAATTAGTTGAACACTTGATAAAGCCAACAAGCCAATTAACTTATTAAACACTAGGCTAGCCTTAGAATGACTGAATTAACTTGATTCAAAGAATTAACAAAATAATGATGCATAAGATGACGCTGATGAATAACTGAATGATAAGTTGAACATTAAAATACCAACCAGAAACCCAAATGTAAAGCTCTTTTTGCAAGCCATTGAAAATATTTGCCTCTTACAAGCTCTCTTTCTCTCCCTTTCCCCCCTTCTTTTTGCATCTCTTTCTTTATCTATTTACCTTTCATTTTAGTCACTTGACTTTCTCTGGATTTACAAAAATTTAAAATTAAAGAATTAAATTGTCTCAAAGAATTAATATGCCATGTAAATGATATAAAATGTGATAATTTGCACAGTTAAAGTTACCAATTTTGTACCTAAAATTAACATGCGGTAAGTACCAGAAACATGTTGAACTAAGTAACGCATTTTAAGGGTTAACAAGTGTTGTAACTGCTAATCTCTATTATCCAACGGCTATAGCAGGATTCGGGTAGATAAGCCACTGAACCATTTTCGGCTTGTATTTGTAGTTATCATGCGCTGCTAATTGACTACATTCAAATCTAGGAATATTGACAGCTTTACAGTGTTTAAACGTCAATCTAACGCTTAATCGGATTCTTTTTACCTGATATTATTTGAATTTTTCAATATATCAATAAATAAATAGCAACATTACCTTGACGAATAAGTTTACTGATGATTTTGTTGGCTATAGATGAATATAATGGTTCCTTGTTGATATAAAATTTCACCACAAGACTTTATTTATATCAATACTCACATGGAAAGCACCTTTTTTTATCTCCTCAATAAACTTGAATTTACATGGATTGATGTTAGTGATGATTTTGGTGGTGATGATGAATATTAAGAGATGATATCAATAAAATTGTAAATATTGAAAAATAAAACGAAAATTGAATGAGAAAAGGAAAGACAAGAGTTTGAGGAGAGAGAGAGATGAATGCTCTGAGAAGTCGATTCTTGTTTTCAATGAAGGCTAAGGTGATGGAAAGAGTTCAATGTAAAGGGGGAAGAGCTTTCACTATCTCTTTCTAGTGTTTAGAATTTAAAGAAAGTAAAATAGACAGTGAGGTCAGATGAATGAAAAGATGAGGAAGATGTGAGGGAAAAGAGAAAAGAAAAAGAAAGTAGAGTAAGATTTTGGATGAGGTCGATCGATGCTGTCTAGAGTCTTAGAGATGTAAAAAAAAGGTTGATGATCTAGAGCTGAAGATTGAAAGGATTTATGCAAGATATAGTTTTTTTAGGTCATTCTCATCCTGATCATCATCCTCATCTTCATAGTCATGATCAATGCTAGTTCAACATTCATTTATTATTGATTATATTCACAGATTGGTCGGTTTCAATCATCCCTTTCAACCAAACCCATTAAAGCAAAAGAGTTGCACATCTGTTTCAACATTTCAATGTTTCAACTTTAATCACTGTCAAAGTCTGGTCAGTTGTTACGAGACTGTTGATTAGATGAACGGTAATATATTAATTAGAGATGAAGCAATTAAAAAGTCGATATGCTCTTCTAGCCTTTCATCTACCCAAATATCAAACATTTACAACCAAAGAAATTAAAACTATGCAATTTCAAGCCTTTACAATGATGATCTTTTGTTTCAAACAATAATGTTTCTTGAGTAAATATTGAATTATTAAAGTGAATTATCAGTAAAGTATTAAATTTGAAATAAATAGGTCAACATTCTTGACTACTGAAAGAGTTCTGTGTTTGATTGTTTAGAGAAACGAAAATATATATTCTTGGATAAAAATGAAAATTGCTTATCAAATGGCTTGCACTTATTAGACTTAATTTTGTAAAATATTAAGCTTACTTTAGTGAAAAAATGAACCAATAGTTTTGATGTGACCAAATCATCAAATGGTTGAACCAACTTTTCATTTCAGTTTCTGGTTAACTCTGTTTTCCATATGATTCTGGTTCGCATGAGCATTATGATTGTTGATTGTACACGCATGGCATCGAACCAAAACTGATTATTGACATTGAACTGAATCAAAATACAATTTGAAACGCAAACACAACAATAATAAAACAAATTGTTTCTGAAAATCAAACTCTGACAAAATTTCATTTTGAAATAAACCTGAATAGTCGCGCCATCTATAAGGTAATAAATAAACAATAATAAAACAAATTTCTGTTGAAAGTAAACAAATGTTTAGATTTTAATGTTGATCTATTTATAAGTTTTGATTATTGTGTCTTATCATTTAATGTTTGCTTTGACAATTAAATTTAAATTTTCTAATTTTAACGACATCATTCTATTTCTTTTTTGACTTTAAGTTCCAAGACTTCTAATGTCTAGCAAGGATAGAGATCATTCGCTTGTATGTTTTACTCGCATGAAACTGAGTGTCCATAATTGAACATTTGGATTTTTCGCAATTTGCAAAGATACACCGAAACAATGAAAATACTATGATGAACATTCTAGATGAAAATTTTCTTGAAATATTTCTTCAACTCTTTCTATTGATGATCTGCTTCATGCAAATACTTGGACATATCCCAAAGTAGGCTTTGTTATTTTTAATGGCATTGACAACATTGAATTGTAAAAATTATATGGACACCTGTTACACCTATTCAGACATCTATACCAATCTAGACTGGCCGTTTCATGAAATACCTTTGCTCGCATGAAACAGTATCATCTCTGCACTTCTTCTGATTGAAGGGAAACCAAATAAACCAAATATTAGGTAATAATAAAAGGTAAGTCGTTATTTTTTCTTGTTAACTGAAAGGTAATCAATTTTACTTGTACTTAAGGTTGAGAGTACTCTTTGAGAAACGTGCTCTTTTTTTCATCAATATTATTATTTATCCAATTAGAATCGGATTCATCTTTTTTTATTCACTAATTTAATTCATTTCACTTTTTACCTTTAGGTTTTCCCTTCCCTTTAAGTGAAGGATTGATGAAGGTAAATGCAAAAAACAAGAGAAAGTGAATGGTCTAAAAAATTGGTTGAATATGCTAGGTTGATCAACTGGAGTTCATTGGTTAAGTGATATAAAACGTTTAAAAAGATCACTTTATTGGAATAACGATTTACATTTATTTGAAGATACACTTACATTTCCGTGTACCCAGATGTTGATTAACGATGGTTAAGGCTTGGCAAAGTACAAAAGAGTTAACTTTTGATCAGGAAGCTAATGTAATGGATTCAGTGGTTCCTTGATATGTTGATCAGGAGGACAAGGACGAAAAAGAGAGCAATTAATTGCCTGTTGATACAATCAATTTTATCAAAACTCAAATCAGCCTAATTATACTAGGCTTGAGATTCGTTGCAGTTAGTATTTTTATATTGTTACCGGAACACTTGAACTAATCAAAGTTACAATTGAAGAGGTACAAAAAGATGATTTATTAATGTAATAAATGGTCAAGCCTTGGACAAAAATCACTTTAAACCAAGGAAGAAGAGTTACCAACAAGATATTTATCTGGATGATCTGTAAATACTGAAGTATTACCAATTTCTGGCAATTGAACATCTATTAAAAGACAAACTGTAACAGTTAAATCAAGTCTGGTTTTAATGGTTTAGGTTGAAACCCAAATCATATGGTTTGTCATTTTACTGATGCAACTTTAGATCTTCAACCAGAAAATGGACTCATTTTGAGAAATAAAATTTCTGTTTCTGTTCAACAGATCAGTTCGATTCTCAGTTCAACCTTTTGCTTCAAGTGACCGTAAGATTTAGAGATCGGAAACTTATTATTTATCGATAAAAATTGTTGGAACACATCAACGATCGAATACTTTTTCAGTCCGAACCCAACTCTTAAATCAAAAGTCACATTTTCTGCAGATATTCCTTCACGGTAAACCTTGGTTAAAATTGAAAGTTGAAAGCAACAAAAATGAGTCTAATTTATGATCTTTTCTGTTGACCAGGTCACTATAAACTTAATTAACTGGATAACTAACTCTCAAGCTATTAAATTTTGGCATAATTGAAGTGACCAGCTACCGTCTCAAATCAACTATTATTATTATATTGGCCAAAAATATTGTCTTGATAAAGTCTTGAAGGTTGACCTTAACAACCTTTACAGCCTTTACAAACCAGGGTAACCCAAAGTAATCAAAAAGGTGAAAGTGACGACGGAAAAGCCTGGATTAAGGCCAAATTGAATGTCAATTGAGATTACATTATCCATTATTTTCGGGTTTCAATTCAATGGGAAACTTGGCCTTTCATTTGATCATTAATAATGCGAAAATACATTTCGTACTTTTCTGGTTGATCAATTGTTCAATTGAACAATAATAATATTTTAAAAATCATTTCTCATTATTAGCAAACTGGTAATCATTGCTATTGTAATAAGTTATTACTAATAACAAATTGATAATGGGCAGCAACAATATCAACATTATAAATAGTTAATCACAAATGAAAATAATGAAATCATAATTAATCTATTCACAGGAGTGTCTAAGGCCATTTTGATTAGTAATATTTTAATTACAACCAGAAATTACTGCAGACTGTTAATTCTTGACTGATAAATTAGCTTTCAATTGATAGTCTCAATATAGCATATAAATTAACCTTGTTTACCGATTTTACTATTTACATCTTGCGATCATTTACGCTTTTGAATTAAATTACTAACAATCCAATCAAGGATTTTCCAACAATTATGCTCTTTTTCTTGATCATCCTGACAATCATAGTCAATCCGTGTAATTATCAGTTGAATCGATGTAATTTTACTCTGATATCATTGCTTTAAACTCAATGTCGACCCATTGGATTTAAGAGCAACATTTCATTATTTTTTTCAGGTTGAACATTATCCTGATCTTTAAAAATCTGGTTCCAATCCAAGGAGGTGATTCAAGTGAAAGTGATGACTCTGTTTTTTGTACTTCAATTACAACTGAAGGATAGTTTTTGAAAGGATGGTTTTCACCTGATGTAATTTGGTAATCAATTGGTTAATGTTAACTGGTGAAGAGTGTCAAAAAAGAGCGGAAAAGTAGCGCAAAATTGGTATTTTCCTCACCAATTCGTGGAAACCAAATTGGCATCGCTTCCTTTTAAAACACAGTTGGAGATGAATTGGAATGAAAGCAAGAAACTGTAATCACTGTTCAATCACAATTAACATTTTAACCCACAAACAATTGTTGAAATATCATCATTAACCATTTCTCATCATTTTATTTTAACCTTGCTCATAGTTTCCATCAATAATTATTAGTTGATATTTAACCGGTAAAACCATTGATTTCAATCAATTTATTTAATTTGCTGGACCATCAAATGAAAAATTATAATCAGATGTTTAAACAGCTGAATTTGAATCATTTTTACTTTCCATTGTTCAGGCAAATTGCAAAGTATATTTTTTCCTGGTTTAATTGTGAAAATGGTGTCTACAGGCATTGGTCATACATGTTAAATTTCATTTTGGTAATCAAGCTGACAATTTAAAAATTAAATTAATATTGTGTTATGAATACAATTTTTCCACCCAATAATTCATCATCCATTCCATCATGTTCACTACAATTCACTTGATTCTTGGTGTTATTCAAAATTTAAACAAGTGTCAAAGTTAAAGCAAATTAACGTTTGCAAGACTTTATTACAATATGTAGGCTTATTGTGACAATTAGCTCTGTCATCAGTTGAAAAGCATGTAAATGTGAGCCTTAAAGACTCTTAAATTGTATTTCATTTCCGAGTTGATACAATAATTAAAAAAGTACATGAGTTAATCATTGAGCCCAAGACAAGCTTAATAGATATCAATCAATACAAATGAAGATTTCAATAAAATCTTTCCTTTTCTGGTCATATTTATCGTATTGCTTAATTTCAAGATTAACTGGATTTGTTTTTTGCTTGATTAGACATTCAACTATGAATCATGTTTAAATAAATACAATTTGACGCTCACAATAGTCTTAATAGCTAATGGCGTTTATCTAGGCTTATTTATTCACGAATCAATAATATATTCCTAATCCAGGTCACAATTTAGATGTGGTAATTGCTTGTTTGGCCTACAATCAATCCACCTTGAATTAACATTTCATCGTCAAATTGTGAATCCCGATGAGTAATTTCTTTGTCCATTCATGACATCAACAGATTAAAATGTCCAAGACTTGTTATTGTCTCCAAATTGCTTCGGTTATCTTAATTACTTGTTGCTTTCATTGCCTAAATATCAACGGAAGAAAATTATTAATATCTCGCAATTTCATCAAGTTGCTGGGCTTACCTTAAAAATCTTGAACACATTTAAGGACAAGAGTGATAATCATGGATAAATAGCGTTGACATAATGTTAATCTTAATAGTCAATTTTTCGCACCTTTTGATCATCTAACCAACCAATTGAATAGATATTTTAAAAAGTAAACATTTGAGACTAAACCGTCAAGTTTAGTTATTTTTGTTTCTGTTTGCATAACCATATTGAAGGAGAACAGGTAGAATGATTAATTATCTTATAATCTGAATTAATAACTGAATCAATGAAGGTAAATCATCCCCATTTGATTGTGTCTGAAATACGGGAAAGAAGCTGGATAATCCAAATACAAGTGAAAACCCTGAAAATAAAAAAATAATAATGAAAAATTAAAGCTCAACTAATCCAATATACATATTAATGATAAGCAAAGCTAATCACTATTGAGGTTGAAGGTAAAAATTGAAATGAAGCAAAATCAATGTTGATATGATGATTAGACCATCAGTAAGGCCTGATGATAATGATGATTAAGGTAGAGACAAATTGGCTTAGGCCACCATGAAGGTTATGATGAATAAAAAGGTATCTTTTGTTGGACGTTTGAAAGCAAAAAATGATAATCATCTGTTAACAGGGAAAAGTCTCATTTCTCTTGTTTACTTCTAAGGTTACTTGGGTAAAGTATATTCATCAATATATCATTAATAGTAATCAATAGATTTTAGTTGAAAATGAAAAATGATATTATACTATTAAGAGGATGGATGACGATGATGATCAAGGAGGGATAACATGATGCTGATGAAAGGGCGTGAGTCAGTCTATTGAAGAGAGAGAGAAGAAATATTGACCAAGGTTGAGGTCAAATTTGGCGTTGTTTTACTGTATTACAGGTAAATAATTTGATAAGCTAGTGAAAATGATTAAAATTGGGATAACCTTGACTAAGCACAGGAATGAATCTACTGTTTTGGTCAATTGGCATTTGTAAAGGTAACAATTTACCTTTCAAACGCAATTTCAATCTAAATATTTCAAGCAAGATGAAGATGAAAGTGCATGTATTACAGGTAAACTTGTCTTCATCCAATTTCATCCTCAAGCTCAAAATGAAAAAGAAACAAAATTATAACATTTTCAAGGTTATTTCCTCTCATTTTTGTAAGTCAATCTGTTGATCAACAAGATGATAATGATGATGATGATGAATGGACTGAGAAATGACCAGATCAAGAGAGTAAAGAAGAAAGGTAAATAAAAATTCAGGCCAATTTGTAGCGACTTTCAAAGAGAATGTAAAGAGAAGAAGAAAAAAAGGAAAATTGAAAGAAGTAACAAAATCTTTCTTTTCTTTCTTGCTTTTCACAACATTTTTTTGCTACCTTCTTCTTCATCTTCATCTTCATCGTCGTCATCATCATCATTATCATTATCTTAAAAAATTTGTTTCCATTCTTTGTTTATTTATCTGTAACAAGTTGGATGCGAGCAAAATCCCACCCAATCTTGAATCCTCCCTTGCGACAAAAGCAAAACCAAGTAACCCAACCTTAACTGATCTCACCCACCAGCACCAGCATCAGCATTAAGAGTACCAAACATTAAGAGAGAGAGATCGAGAGAGCAACAGATCGTCATCATCTTGGACAGACAGACACACACATCATGAGTGGCACCTTTCGCTAGAAAAAGTAAGAGAAAAGAGAGAAAAGAAAGAGAAGATAAGAAAAAGTGAGTTAGACGATTGTAAACATTGAAAATGTTATTAGTTTTAATCAATTGAAAATTCCGTTCGTTCAAAGAAGGAAGAAAGATATTTGGTTCAATTTTTATCGTTTCTGTATTATAACCCAACTTATCATCATTACCACCACTATCACCATTATTATTATTATCATCATTATTATTATTATTGCTATCATCATTATCATCATCAATAACAACAGCAACATTTGTTTCTCCCTCACAATTTCATTTTGTTAGCATAAGTCTGAACATCTTAAAAACGTTTTACCCTTTAAGATGCTTTAATATTGTGATTTATTAATTGTTTTTTACGAATGTTGACGGACAGTCTTTCAATTGTTTGATTAGAGACTTACATTCATTGACAGTTAGCTGCAGTTATGAACAGTTGAAAGACCCCATCGAAATCAGCTGTCATCTGGATTATCAATTTGTATTAACTTTTGCCCTTTTTATCAGCCGATCGCCATATTCCAATGGTTGGTGTTTTTCATCTGGTTGGATTGGGTTCATATTAATTTGTTGTGTCCTTCAGGACTAAATTGTGCCTTCAAATTATTTTCCTTTATGAGTGATTAATTAATTTATACAAAGTGGTTTGTCTCAACGGAATTAATAATACGGCCTTTACTGGTCTATTTGAGTTGATACTCAAATGCTTTTCAGTTGATACAACCAAAGTAGCCTCATCATCAACTCCATCGGAACCAGCTTGTGCATCATCGTCTTCACCGTCTTTCATTGAAACTCCATCGGCATCATCATTGACTTCATCTTTTCAACCAACATCGCTTTACTCTATACCATACAGCCTTAATCAATCATACCAAGGATCAATCATGAAAAATAAGACACTTGATTGTTGTCGTGCTCATGGTCAAGTTGCTCCTTCTTCAGGTCCAAGTGCTTTACGTGGGGTTACAATGAATCCTGAGGGTAAACCAAAAGCCCATATTCAACATAATAATCATCGGTCGCAAGCAAAATTTGATAAAACCATTGGATCTGGATTAATTAGAAACGAAATCAAATCAAAGGAAATTGTTAAATTGGAAAGGTCAGTTTTCATTCTACCATTTAATCATTAAGCTTGATAATGATAGTATAAATCATTAATAATAGACTTGGCGAATCAGATTACCAACAATTAGATCAATCTTTCATATCAAAGGAATTTTCTCTTAATTGTATTCTACCGTTAATTTGAGGTGAAAAATTGAGGTTACAAAAAATTCAATTTCATTCTCATTTTCATTTGGTAAATTTACAATTTAACCTGTCTATTATTAAATTGATATTGATCGTCTAAAATAGTTGAACACTTTTTAGATTCATTTTAACCAGAGAAATGGTTAGATTAAAATACTAATTGCAGTAATGGTTAAGGTAAAGAAATTAAATAATCATCGTTTTGATTGCAATTGAATTGCAAATCAAAAGACAGTTTTATCAACAAAATCATCTTTGATGCTAATTCATAAGATATTTTGTTCGTCCAGTTTGAAGAACACTAATTAATATGAATTTTTGACTGTTTAGCAATACTAATGAAAAATACACAAATTAACTGATGATTTAGCAATGAATAATGACCATTTAAAAGGCTTCAACCATCAACTCTTCACGGAAGTTTATTGATAATTCAAGTCACGATGATTAAAATCAGTAAATCACTTTGTCCTTAACCATAACAGAAACCTCGCAATCCATAATCCTGATAATCAAGTCGACCAAATTTAATCAAATATCCTGAAAAGATGAGAAATAATATTAATAAAAAAAGATGACAAGTTTAAAGGTTAAAAAAATGAAGATAATTCGGTTAATTCATGTGTTAATTGTTGCTCTTGATTGGACCATTTCTTGTGTGAACCAAACATTGAAACAGTTTCCTTGTTAAATTGTTACAATTCATATCATTGTGCATGAGGATAATTGTGCAAATAATTTACTTGATAACAATTATGAAGGAATCATCGATACTTAAAATTGTCGTTATTCAGATTCAGAAGCTAAAGGATGATTACGGTGATTAGGATTAAACATGTTAGTGGGTTCCTTTTTCAATGATAGTACAAGATTGGGTCAACTCACAGTTGATTTTTTTCATTGCTTTTCACCTAACTATTGGAGTCTCTTTTCAATTGAAACAGTTGCAGTGATTAACCAATTGTGAATTAAATTGTTACAACTTGAAAACAAATATTCAGTTAAACTGTTAAAATTGACAATCAATTAACTTTGATTGAAGACTCTTCCTATCTTGCTATCTTTTTCATCCATTCAAACTAAACTCTAAAATTGATCATCGAGCAAACAATAAATCAATATTAATGAAATTATGATTTAAATGAGCCCAATTAAGTGATTAATTAGCAACTAAGCTTTGGACTCTTAATGGTTAATTCAGTTATCCTTTAGGCCAATTGATTCTTGATCAATTGGCCTGAAATTTGCTTAATTTTAACCTAAAAAGGCAAATCTATCTTGAAATGTGTTAACCAAATTTTGTGTTGATTAGACATTAACAGTAATTTGTTAGTTTATTTTTTAGTTTAACTATCACTTACTAATTGTGCTGATTTTAGTAAAGTTGAATGGGTTAAAGGTTACGAGTTTGAATATTTTCTCACTTTTCATATTTTTGATTAAATCAAAGTGACATTTGATATTAAGGTTAATCTGATTGAGTTTCAATTGTCAATATCAATTTCAAAAAGGTGCAAATGAAGCTTACCAATTAAGATTGAGACTTTGCCAATTATTAAATGATGATGATGATGATGATGATAATCTCCCTTTTAAAGGCGTTAAATAATCCTTGAAATTAAATTGATTTTCAATTGAATTGTGGATTGAAATTGATTTAAACAACTATTCAATGTTGACTGTTGAACCAACCAATCCAACTGAACTGCCAAACCTTTATAATAATCAGTTATTTGTTTCAATCTTCAATCAATTTGACTTTTCAATTGTCAAATAATCTTATCATTTTCAAATAATTGGCATAATAATCTATCTGGATTTAGAGTACTTAAACTATAATTTAACTGCTTTTCTCTTTTTTGGTTTATTTTAACAGCCCGCAACCTGAGATGATTAGTCGGCGAGATATTTTATTACGTGCTAAACAAGCTGAATCAAAAGGCCACAGAAAGACTCCAGATTGTGATTTAGATGATGAAGATGTTTGGCATGATAAAGATAAACTTTGTCAGGTAAGTGCAATCCAATATAAACAACAGTTATGGAATACCAAATTAACAATTAGCAACCAGCAAACAAAACCAATTCCAATTGACTCAAGTTGGCTCCGTCTTTTATCCAATTGATCCTGTTCATTCCTTGATACTGTCGAGTACCCGGTTAAAGCAATCTTTTTTTCTCAGTCTCCATCTAGTGATAATGCCTTGCAGAAAGTGGCAACGCTTAAGATTTAGGTAATGAAAGGATTCTATAAATTAAAAAAACAATGTAAATTTTCAAAAAATCATAGATGGCGACTGTGAAAATTGCTTTAAATGGGGCTCAAAAAAATTGCTTTAACCGGGTACTCGACAGTATTTGTTTTGTCCGATTTCCAACTGTTAACCTAACCAAAAGAAAAAATGAATAATTAGTATTCTAGTTTAAATATGATTGTTGCAGACAATTAAAAGCAGTTTAGTTTTCATTCTTAATCAATTAGCAAGTGTTAGTAAACTCAATTCAACACTTTGTTCACACTGTAAAAAAGGTAACTTTTTACATTTTAATCACCTTTAATAACGGGTAAAAGTGTTAGATAGTTGGATAGTTTATGTTTTGAAAATTTTAATATCTCCTAATTGGCAAATTAATAAGGCAATTTAAGCTTAAATCAGGGCATTAATTCAAATTTATAAGGCAACAAGAAGCTTTAAAAATTTTAATCGATTGATACTAAATTTGATTATTGGCACAATAACGTCTTTTCAAAGCAAATTGTGTATCAATACTTGATGAAAAGAAGCAATTTATTGCTTTATAATACAACTTTTCATGATAATTTTAACACTAATATAATGAATTTGACCTTAAAAAGCTGACGATGATATTGAATGCACCTAAAGAATTGAAGATTTATAAGAAAAATGGTTTAAAATGAAATTTATATTAAAAGTCATCTAACCAAATGCAGATTGAATGATTATCACTTTAACTAGCAGAAAAATTTTAACACTAATTTGCTAAAAGAAATGAAAAAAAAGAAGATTACACTTTTATTTCAATACCTTTAAACCTTACCTTTTGCATCTCCATTTGCCGATCTTCATCTTTGATCTTAAGAAAGGATTAAAGTGTTTTTAATCTGGCAATAACTTTCTCTCCTTTCAACTTGTACTCCAAGGTTAAACCGTGATTTTTTAACATGAAACAATCCATCATTCACCATGATAGGTTTCAGCCCAATCGTATTAATGATATGTAGACTTAAGACCAAGGTATTGAAAAGAAACCTTCTGAAATTAATAACTGCTTTGTTGAGTATGGATTACCTCTTTTATCACTTTCTTTACTTGCTTTCCATTTTATCAATCGACGAAGGTCACTTTAAAATTATCACTTTCCTTGATTGAATATCGAACAATTATTCTTTCCTTTCAATTACATTCCATTGGTGGGCGGCAAAATTTGATCCTGTTGTAACGGAATACCTTTTTGAAACATTATTACATTGTATCACTTTTTCTTGTCTTTCAATTTTCATTTTTTAATCTTCAGGATTAAAGCTAATTTCACACAGATCAGGATAATGATGTTGGTATTAATTTTAAAAAAGCTTGTTAATAGCATTACTTAAAGCTTAAACTGTTCAAGTAAACATTTTGAACGAAACCATTGTTTAATAGAAACCTCTTTGAATCCAATGACAACCAGATGATGAACCAATAGTTATTGAAGCGGCATTATTGATTCGTTTGCTATTCAATTTAAAAATTGGTTAATTGATCAGTTGTAATCTGTCAAACACGAACTAAATAATTTTAATTTGTTTATCCAATTTTAAAAAGGTTAAAATTATTGATCTTTCAGCATTAATTAATTGTCTAGTTAAAAAATTCATCACAAGTAACAATCGATTTTTCGATCTATCGAAATATTAGAAGTCAATCACATGGTACACTCAAGTTTCTAACTGTTAAAGTTACAATTTTTATGTTAATCTCCAAGTTAACTTTAATTGCTGATGCTTATAAACAATGATTTAATTTTTTCAATTTTAAAACTGTTTTGTTTCAAATTAGGTTGTATCAATACCTACAATTTAATCGACAATTAAGTGTTAAACTTTCTTTTGTTTTAACTTGTGTTCGCTATGAGTAAACGTTTTTGTCAACAACTACAATTGGATATTGTTGGTATCAATAAAAAAATAATCAACCAGAATTGTGATGCTACTTAAAGTGATCATTTAGAGTGTTTCTTCATAAATTAATTGTCAATCGGTGGCTTCCCTAATTGCTTTATTGTGTTTTACTTGTCTACCTATTTTTTGTGTTTGTTTCTCATGTTAAATTGTCTATTACTTTTGATACTAAAGTTGTAATTATATATAAATATATATTTATTCATTGCTATTGTTACGATTTGTAACTCACAAATTAGTGTTGATGCAGTTGAAAAGTGAAGTTAAATTTAAAAAATTATAATAATTGTGTTAATTTCACTCGAAAGAATTACTGTTTACCTTTGCTACTCTTATACACACACACTCACATTAATATTAACTTTGAATTTTCTAATTTTCATTTTATTTGTTAACATTAATGATTATCCCATTTGAGTGTTCATTAGCATAAAATACTCACTAATTATATTAAATTGAGTGAGATAAATTGCGGAAGACGATTTGCTTAATGAACCGAAACAATCAACCAAACATACAATTCATTTCAGTTAGTATTGACCTCTTGTTAAAAGCTTTTGGTTAAACTGTCAACCAAATCGTTCATGGATGGTTCCATTTAATATACACAATATTTGAGTAGATTAAAAATTCAACTAAAGGTAAGGACAATCATTAATCTATTAGTCGAGTTGATATAATAATTGAATTACGACCATCATTTAAATTTGACTGAAAAGTAAACCAATATGACTAATTGATGTTTCTTAATTTCTTTCCCTCTACAAATGTGACATTTATTAGATTCAATTAGCAGAAGCTTTTGTTCATAATCAAGTTAACTGTTCACTTAAATGAATTGGGTCTTGGTGATGATTTGATTACAATCTGATTATACTTCAACTGTGTTCGGAATACAAGAGCAGCCAAGAAGGATTCTTGATTTATCAATTAGAATGAAAACAAAAAAGCTTTAATGATTGAGTCCCGTTGAACCAATGAAGCAGATAAATTGTCCATTTTTTGTACCAACCTCTATTGTTTTAAACGTGAATGGACCTGAAAAAAGTGAAATCAGTTAATTTGCTAATTGTTTATCGCTCCGATGATGAGAAATTTGCTTTACAAATTAATAGAAAGTAAAATTTTGATGACAGCTGATGAATTGGCAATAACAATAAGATTTCCAATCGAGGGTTAACCAGAAGAAGGTTAATAATCAATTGAAAAAAGGGATGAATCGACGATCAGTTTTGAATAGGTGAACGTTGAAAGATCAAATGATAAAAGGAATGGAAACAAATTCAGTAATCATAATAGGAAATCAACATTTCCAAAGGAAAGTTGAAAGATGTATTTTGTTTGGGAAACGAGCAATTGTCAATGTTGATGGAAACAATGTTATCGTTAAAGATTTGGTTAGGGTAAAAATTTGATTTAGTAAATTAACCAACTAATGATTACCTTGGTTAATGATGAGAAATGCTGTTCGATTAAAATCAATAATATATTGGTTGTAAAAGAAACAATTGTTTGTATTTGTATATCAAAGTATTGAACTACTTTAGTGTTTAAAGCGATCAATCAAATACGAAATGCAGTTAAATCAATAATTTTAATAGATCAAGCTTCCGTTGATTGACTATGGGTCAAGATTTGTAGGCTTTATCTATTCTTTTATTGTGATCTTATTGTTGAATCTTTGATTAAAAATTTTTTGATTGTCACTCAAACCTGAATCAGTCTTAACCAGAAACTGGTTTTTCAAGTTTAAGTCCAATGTTTGCGTTTGTTGATCAATTTTTGTAGATCAATTGAATAATGAGAAATAACAATTTCTTTATTATCATTATTATTATTACAATTAACGTTTTATGGCATGTTAAATATCAATCAAAGGTAAAAAGGTTGATTTGTGAAGTGAAAGGACAATTTTATTGTGAAAACTCAATGAAAGGTTATTTAAATGAGAAGATGGTGAAAGTGAAAGGTTGATCCAGAAAGGTTGGTTCTGGTAGCCATCGATAAGGGCCAATTGATTGCCAATTTTTCAAACTGTATTAACCAAATAGAGGTCAAAGATTGAATTATATATATTTGCTCATTTAACTTTCCAATGATTAACTGGGAGAGAAAAGATCAGTTAAATAATTACATAAATAATGATAATGTTGGAAGTGGAAAGTGAAAGTCACTTTTACTCGGTTTTCATTTCTTCTCATTCAATCTTGCTTCTGTTTGAAACTTTCACTGATTAATGTACAATAGTTGATATAAATTACTATTTCATACTTTAAGTCCAACATTAAAGTCAATTGAAGGTTTAGTTAATGCTTGTTGGTCAGTTGTTGCCGTTGTTGAGTTATTAATGGGAAATTGGTGAATAAGTTAACCACACCTTTGGTCAACATTTTGGGTTACCAGTTAATTCAATTGCACTTGTTTTGCCATTCATTTAACAACGGGAAAAGGTTTCGTATTTAACAGGATTAAAGTTTTAAATTGGATTCCTTTCTTGTTATTGATTATCGAGTGTATTTTCAATCTTGACCAATCTATTATATTATCTGGATCTATTGAAAAATGTGAACAAAAAAATGAGATTATTACTATTATATTGGTAATCAAAATTTTCAGTTTCAAGGTTGATGGTTAATTAAAGTACAATTTGTTTCGGTCAACATCTAATTCTTGATTTCACCCAAAATTATCTCATCAGCAAAGTTAATTTAGTGTGTATTTAATTCAATTTGCTGGACTAATTACTCGAGTTGAAACCTTTTCTATTTACTTTCAATTGAAAATGATTTGCGTTAAGGACCAATTTTATGATTGTAATGCAACAAATTGAAGAGTTGTCATTAAATTTATCTAATTGCCTATTAAAAGTCTGTCAAGTCTGACAAGGTTTCCACATTTTTGTCAATCAACATTACGTGTAAAGGTATTACATTACATTAATGTGATTAATAATCTTATAGCTTAATCGTGAATTTCAAGTCAATGTTTTCCTTTCTTTAAACTTCTATTATTGTCATCAATTGTCAGCACCATCTTATAAAAATTAATCAATTCAAATAAATTCAAACTGATGTCAGTCTAATATTCATTGAATATCCTTGATTAGCTTTACTTGATTAATGAACGGGAAAATTGTGATGGTCTGTTGCTCTTGGTCAATTTGAACGCAAATCATTTCGATACAAGGTAATGGTCAGGGTTGAACTTGTCATTTAGTGTTGAAATAAGATGATCATTTCCTTCCAAATTGAATAATTGATTCATTAATAGTTAATAGTTCCTGTCCGACATTATTGAGTCTTTCCATGAGATATTGGTTTTCACTTTCAGCCAAGTTTCTTCATTGCTTGGTAATTCACTGTAAAAATACAATTAAAAAGAATCATTAGTTATTACAATTAATGTGGATAATAAAGTCATTTTTGAAAATATCGTACTCCTAATATTTGAAGTTACAATTGAATATTGTTCAAGTCTTTGTACGCCTTTTCATGAAGATATTTTCTCCACCTTTTACTTATAAAATTTTCCTTTCATCCAGAGTTACCGCTCTTTATTTTTCTCTCCCATAAACAATTAACTATGAATTGGCTTAATTTGAATTCTGTTGGTTGATTACCAGGTTGATTATTCAATGCTCTTTAAAAAGTCAAATCTTGTACAACACGGAAGTGTAAGTGCCGATTTTAGGCCAAAAAGAAAGTTTTTTGGTCACAATTAAAGTAAATTTTCAAAGTAAATTGTATTATTTTGTCAACTCTTCCTGTTCATTTTTTATATCTTGTTAAATCTTGTTTGACTTTGTTCTTTACTCTTTTGTCATGTAAAGGGTTGAGAAGTGACTTTTTTCAAAACCAACCTGACATCAAAAGTATTTCAAAAAGCAGGGTTAAAATGTATCATCTTAACTAAACACTTTTTGTTGCAATTCAATTCAACCTGATCGGTACATGTACTTGACTGAAGCGTTTCAAATTAGCCACCAATGTAAAAGTTTCAATTCTATTTTTCGTTGAAGTTCGGCGTAAATGGCAATAAGACTGGTCCTGCGAAGTGACATTATGAGCATAACGACTGTAGTTTGCATGAAATCCAACTGTCCAGCTTAGCTTTGAATTTACGAAATCAGGACTAGCCCAATGACATGATTTACCTCACCCAGTTTTGGCGGAATTTTGTATTACCAATCAAGTTGAAAGATAATCTAATAAGCTAGTTCATTAGCAGCTTTGAAAGTGATTTACCTGACTGAATGCTTGCAAATATTTTTAGGTAATAATCTCGACTGTTCCTATCGGTTCTCTTTAATCCCAACCTTTCTTTCTCCTTAAATCGATTTGCGACAAAAAACTTATCCCATTTCAGAAATGTTTATAAACAATAAAGGGTTCCAATTAAGTATCGATATTGAATAATTCCATTGTTATTGCTTTAAGTCTTCAATCGAGTTGATTGTTTCGATTTTACTCTCACACTTATTGAGTTTGGTTTGTACCACCAACAATTTCCAGACATGTTTTGAACTTGAGTTTTCTTGTTCTTGATGCTCCAAACCAGGATTATAATCTGCGTCGAGAAGCAAAAAAAGATCAAATGGATTGATTATGTCCTTATTTTTGAAGCAAAATACACGAAAAAAGGTGCATAAAAAGAAAGTATAAGACGTCAATAATGTACACCTTTCACGAATTTTCGTATTAGTAAAATCAACTGATCAAGGCAAATCAGATCATGAGTGGAGATAATGAACTACTAACCTTTCATTAGGTGACAATGAGAGTACAATTGAAACAATAACATATGCTTGGGTGAATTTGAATCAATGATAAACACAAACAACGAAGGTATAATGCAAAAAAAGTGATGACTCGATGAACCCAAATCTTAATTGATTTTTACATATCAGCTTACAAATTCACAATTAAGAAAAGTTTGTTTAAAAACTAATTAGAATCCAAAGGTATATTAATAATAATAACAATAGATATCAAAACAATAGCCAAATATTACTCGCGCTCATTTTAACCGCAGCTTTTTATTTTGATACTTTAGAGTCGCCATCTATTATTATCTATTAATTTTGCATTTACATTTCTTTCAAAAACAAATATCAAATGTTAATTCAATTTATTTCATCAATTTAGTAATTTTTCAACTGTTCTTGACCACGTTGTCAATTAAGATGTTACAGTAATTTAACCGTGCGTTTCAAATGGAATGAAATTTGTTTCGCCATTTTAATAATTCAACTTGCTTATAACCTGACCATTTTGCCTGACTTCTGAAGCTTCATCCAACAGTTTAGATGATTATTAATTTGCCGTTAATTTTTAATACAGTAACCCAGACTTTCCAATCAACAACTAAAATGTAATTCAGTGTAAACAAACAAAAAAGGTAAAAGAAAGGTAAGTGAAGAGGTAAAAGGATGAAAGGTTTATACCGGCGCAATATTGTCGGGTTCAATAATTTTTCAAGAGAAAGTAAACCTTTGTTTAATAAATTTGAATCTGATTTGCTTGATTGGTTGCATTTTCAAAAATCAACAGGAGGTTGATACAGGAATGATTTACTTTTACTCATTTGAGGTCAAAGTCGTGAGCTATCAGCTTCCCACAATCGGCGTCCAGTCAAAATATTTCACTTTGGTCACTCAACAGCCACATAGGAAGCTTTTTCATCATTTGTTTTTGATGATGAAGCCAACAATTATTACGATAAAATGAATTGACAATAACATTATACATATATGTAATGATATCGACCACTCCTGAGCTCACAATCAAGATATCGTTACAAGATTGAAGCAATCAAGACTCGGTTGGTTTTACTGATCTGAATGTTAACCATTATTTGTTTTCCTTCTCATTTTGGTCATTATTCAAATCAGATTGGTCCAAACACCTTGATAATTCAAATAGTACTGTAAACATGTATTAGGTTATACTAATCATCTATCATTTTCTTTGCTAATTGTTAAATTGTTGTATCCCATAACAAGAATGCTTGACTTTGCTGAAACTGTAAAAAATCCAACTGAATTTATTGGCTATTTACCAAATCAATTAGAATTTACTAAATTATGAATAATTTTACTATGATAAGCAGAAGTAATACGATTTAGATTAATTATCAACTCTTTTTGTGATTCTTGAGGTGATTTTGCAAGCTGCTGTACAATTAGCCATACAAATGTAATCCAATATAGAAACATTGCTACGTTTCGATTGTTTTAAAATATAATTGCTGTCTCTTTGTTGAATCAATTAGCATCTGATTAGCATAGTAATATAATGTTTACAATATTCAAAATATACAATAAAATTAAAATGATAAGAGTTAATTTCAATAATTTGAACACGAGCTTGATGTAAACTTAGAATAGTCGTTCACTACTTATTCAATGGTAATAACAAGCAGAATGACTTGAAACCTTATAATTATCCAGTAATTAGCTTGCTCAATTAGTAATAATGGAACAATTAAGGTATTACTACATTATAAGCGCCTTTAAAGGAACAGTTATGATTTGGTAAAATCAGTTTTCAGTGGGTTAAACAGTTTTGGTTAGCACTTTGGTTTTTGGTATTTGTATTATTTTTGGACATCGATTGATTATTTCCTGATTTTTTCCTTTTAACTTGACACACAATTCAGGATCATATTCAAGAAGTATTCAACAAATGGGAACAGATTGACGATGAGATATGGGCAAAAGTAATCTGTATGGAAAAGAATCGTCGTGTTGCCAAAGCTTATGCTCGATTACCGTTTCTCATTGTTGATGGATCAGACATTGGTTTTGATGGAATCCGAGTTGGCCTTAAAGGTTTTGAGAATATTGATCGTCCTGAGAAAACAAAAGAGATTCTTGAAACTTTTGGTGAAGTAAGTAATCATAATGAATCAAAATTTTTCAAATAACTTACCACCATCAAGGCGATCACTATATGGGAATATTACTTTCCAGTTAGTAAATCATAAGCTTCCATCCATTCTTTACCTGTATGAAGCAGACAAAAATTGAAAATATTTAGTCCATTTTTTGAAGTCAGGTATGAGAATAGGCTCAGAAATACTCTGAGTAATTTTCCCATCACACACATTTGATTACAATGTCAATTAATGATGGAATAAGCTTAGTAAATATGCATCATTGGTGATTGATTAAGATCAGGCCATAGAATAGGGTCAGCTGGTTGGTAGCACAAACAATGAACTTATAACATGTTAGAGTTAGTAAAACACATAAATAAACATATTTAACGAACTTAAACTCATAATCTTTGGTACAATCAGTCGCCATATACTAACAACAAATTATTGTATTTTAATGTAAATTTTTTTAACTCTTCTCAGGGTGTTAAAATTAAAATGGATGGAAAGGGTAACATATTAATTAAAAGAGTAGGCAAAGCTGCAGTCTATGTAAAGAGTTTTGTTGGATCATCAGATGGACTAGGATCTTGTATTGGTAAAGATATTATTGAATCAAAGGGCAAATTGGAATATAAAAAAGTGTCAACATTATTCGATATCCGGTCATTCCAGGCCGGTATCTCAGCCGAGCTTAAAGCCACTTATCCACAAACCCAAAAATTGGAGTCACAGTGTATAACAGCAATAGCTTTTGGTAAAGAATCTGGTACTCTGGATCTACTTGAAACACCATCTTGGATTATGATAATTAATATAGTAGCCCTTGAATTATTACGTAATGAAATTCCTTCGGTCAGCCTAGTTAATTCAACCAATCAGTCATTGGTTTCTGTGGTTAACAAGACTTGTCGATCTCATATTCAACAACAATCAGGTAACAATAATAAACCAAAGTCTCGTGAAGCTGTTGAACGTAAAGGTATCAATGTTAATAACAATACCAATACCAATAACAAGCTTAATAGCAAGGATGGTTCAATTATTGAGGGTAATACGGTTTACCAGTTGATTGCCTATGATACTGGGTTAATAGGAGACAATAAAAGCCCGTTAACTAAACAATTATCAAACAAATCGGATCTAAAAAGACTAGAGCCATCAACTAAATCAGTGAAAGGAGATAAATTCAATCGTAATCCATCCAATCGAAGTCAACTGAAATCGCTTGGTGGTAAAATTAGGCTTCCAGATCCTGATTATGATTTTGAATTACCACCAATTCGTGAGAAAACATTCCTAAGAAAAGGTAGGTTTGAACAAAAACGATCAAGAAACAACCTAAATTATGTAAATATTGATGATGATACTAAATCAGCTGCAAGATAATGCGATGCATTCATCAAAAATTGATTAACCTTGCCAATTGATTGAATTAAGTCATTTTTAATGACGACTGTCGGTCTATCCTTCGGACCTTAAGCTTTATTTTGACACACTGATTCGAGAGTTTCATCCAATCATTATTAGTTACACTCACAAGATTTTATAATACAATAAAATGTACCTTTATAGCTAGGTAAACCCTGAAGGAATAATGTTAAAGGTTGAGATTGAATGCGAAAATGTGACTTTTAAATTAAAGACAGTTTGAGGTCTTACAATTAAGATTAAGCTGTTCAGTAATGGGAACAACGCCTCTTAAGGTTTGCTGACTCTCTGATCAAATCTATCATCCAGTTCATCATTAATTTTTAGCGATCATTTTGATTACCATTCTTACTTTCAGGTTGCCAAGCCTTGATTATTTGTTGAGATTGTTTCTTGATGACTAAACTTTCATTGATTCGTCTTTAACAATTGTATTTCATATAAAATATTAGTTTGAGAGAGATAAGCTTAATTGGTATTACCTGAAGAATGAATATTCAATAAACATTTGTTGGAAACAACATTTATATTTTGAAATCAATTGACCAATTCAATGGATTAAGAAGGTTTTCAATAGACTTATATTTATTATCACAATATTTATCATGTGAAAGATGGAGATTTGAATAAATTTATTTATTTTTGGTTATTTGAATTCACAGAGGATCCATATTATTGTGGTTTAAGCGCTAAGGTTTCTCATGGATTACGGGAAAAACGAGAAAATGGCCAAACTAATGGACTGAATAGAATTTACAAACCTGCTAATGGCCACAAGAATCAAAATAAATATCCTCTTATTAACCGATTCTATTCATATTCATCTTCTGATTCTTCACCAAGCAGTAAGAAATTGAAATTAATTTATAAATTAAATTGTATTTTTAATTCTTGTTGTTCGCTATTTTAAATTTTGAAACAGGTTGTGAAACATCTTACTCAACAATTTACAACAGCATTAGTGACGGATCAACCAGACTTGAGATGAAAACTGGACGCTACTGATGAATTTACTCAAATAGGACGATTCTGCGATTACAATGATGTTCGTGAAAATGGAAGAAGAAGCCCATTATTAACTTGAAGAATGTCTGGAAAATTTGGACCCTGGAAATTGATTACTACTGACGATATGCACCGTCAACGCGCCAGATGATTCTTGAATCATCTGCAAACAAAGGATGTTGTTTGTAAACAATGAAGAAAAAAACACTAGATTTGATCTTTTTAGAATCAAACTAGCAAATGTTAAAATTAACTAGAAATAAATCTGTTCATGAAAGTTAAATCACAGATATCTTTTTTCAGCACATATCTGAGTGTTTGATTGCCTAAATTTAAGACACTATTCCGAGATTGTTAGGTTCAATCGAATGATGAACTAGAATCGTGGTCTCGACAAAATATTTATTTTTGAAACAGATGAAACTTTGGTTCATGTAAAAAAGAGTGAGGCGGATGGGGTTGGTACATTATTTACCAATACTTTCAACGGTTCCAGACAATCGGAGTCCATTGAAAAGGAAAAAGTTTCTAATAGGTGCATCTTGATGAGTAATAGATCGAATCATATCCTGACCAAGGGCTCCACCAATGATTGCAGAAACAGGACTTAATTCACCATAAACATGGTGATGAAATTTATCATCCTCTAGTATTTTCAAACTAGATTTAGAGTAGGCTAAATCGTCTGCAACTTCTTCTTTCAAGCGATTTAATAATTCAATGTCTTCGTCTCCATATTGGCTGTCAGGATAACGATCTTTCAATTGGTGAAATTTGAAAAGAATGTGCACTAATATTAACACAGGGCTGGTTCGCTTTGTAATTCCAATACCTGCTTTTCCTGATTTAACAGCTAAGGCTTGTCTTAATGGAACAAAATCAAGATATTTTTCAACATATGTTTTTTCAGGTTGTTCATTTTTGAGTTTATTCTCAGAGGGTCCTTCAGCATATATTTCTTTTTGAGTAACTTCTCTGTAATTGAATATAAAAAGAAAATGTTGTTTAGAAAAAAATATCATTAGAGATTTTGTCAATAGACTTACTCAGAAATATATTTGTATTTACGACCCAAGTCAGTAAACGAAAAACCATAGTAGCCCCAGTCACAAGCGGCAAAAAAATTAATGTTAACACCTTCAATGGAATGGCATAAGTCATTGAGTTTTATCATAGTCTCAGGATCATAGTTTGATATGAAAACAGCTGTGCTGTTTTTCAGAAGATTTAAAAAGTCTTCTTCTGGTGTCTCTATTTTCTTTTTAATATTCCAATCCAATGCTCTAACCATAACCATTGGATTCAATGTTCGTATATTTTCAGCAGCAACTTCAGCTCTATTCAAGCCAATTTTATTCCGTGTGAAAATATTACTAAAAGAATCTTTTTCACTGATCTGGCGTCATCAATAACTGTCAGTGAGTTGATGCCGGCCAGCACTAAAGAAAACACAAAAAAGAGAAATAATTAGATTATTTCAAATTACAGTACAAATCATGGGATAGAAAACATGACACCGGGTTTAAAAGAAGAAACACTAATAAAATATTAAAAATATTCAATAACTTACCAATATTTTTCACCACTTCAGAAGCAAGTCCAGACAACCCAATGCAAAGGACATTGGCCTTCCGAAGCATTTTTTGAGAGTTGACACCCCAAAGACGAATCTGTCTATCATAAAGCTTAGCTTCATCTTCAGTAATTTCTCTATCAGAATTCGGGTTTATAAGTTCAATAGACATTTTAAGAATTTAAAACACAATTAATAAGAAACAAAATATGACAGGAATAAGTCATAAAAGCGGGATTCAATGTTGAGCAAAAATGAACACATGCAATTTTAGGGGGCCGTTTATGAATTGCAACACGAATTTATCATAAACATTTAAAATAAAATAGATTTGAACAAAAATCGTATTTAAAAACAATAATACATCTGATTTCTCAATTTTAGTCGCTTTTGGCATCTCAACAGTTGTTATGTTAATTTTGAAAGATGAACATGCTATCGATTAAACAAATTAATATGGAACCAAATTTAGGACAAGGACTGGACGTTGGATTGTTAACTGGTTGTAGGTGGAGGTGGATCGAATTTATTAGATTATTAATAGAATAGGAAGACTGAACTTCTGTTGCTTCACCTTTTCTAAAGGTAAGAGATGCGTTCATGAGAAACTTCAATGTCACCTAAGCCATCATGATGTTCTTTTGATATTCCATCGACATGTGGCTTATCTTGCTCGGGTCCTATTGTATCAGCATTTGCATGACTCTGATCTTTGCAAGAAGCTGGTTTTTCATTATTATCACAGATAAAATCCGTTTGAATACTATTTTCTTTCATCATTACAGTTAATATACAGTATTTATTGCATTGCCTATGAAAATGGGTTATCCTTGATTGTTCAGAGTCATTTTGAATTGATTTTTCCACCATAATAGCCAAATGAGATTGATCCGGCTTATGGCCATTCTTGAGGTTTTTATCAGTAGGTTTACTCTTAATTTCAAAACGTCCAATACCTTCTATGGAAATATTAATAATAGATCCTTAGATACCATGTTGTGTGCAGAGACAATTGAATAGATTAGATAGAGTGGAATAAAGATCACTATTGTTTGTCCCATCTGTTTGCTGAGATTGATTTCCTTTAACATTTATCATGGGTTTAGTTTGAGGTCCAAGAGCTTCTTTATTGCCATTTGGTTTGCTGGACAAGTCACTTCGTTTAATAGAATCAATTAATTGAGCCTATCAACAATCCTAAAACACAAAATACTAAAGGTAAATAAAAAACTAACTCAAAGGGGAAATCACTTGAAATACATTTGTAATAAAATCAAGCTAAGGAAGGTGATTGAATTAAATTGTGCGATTAAATTTATTCGTAAAATGTTGTGTTTGGTAAATTTTTACTTTATTCATTATCATCTTGATCAAGACTTAAAAGAAGACAATTTACTCTGAGATAGTCACTCAATCTTTGCGAAATGATTAGTTTAAGTAATTAACACAGAAGATGAGAACACTATTAATTATGGCTTTTTGCTTTTAATTTGGTAATTGATGAACCTTTGAAAGACTCACATTTGGAATGGTCTTAATTCAGTTGAACAGTTTGATTAATTTGGTTGAAAGACTCAGTAACATTGTTATACTCGACTTGAGTTGTTGGGTTTAACAAATGGAAATCTAAGCAATAAATGGTTAAAATGAAAACAATTACAAACTGATATCAAATTATGGTGTACAAAATAATTGTTAATTGAAATGAACAAAAAAAATATGATTAAAGAGTAAATTAATAGACGTTTTGAAACAAGAATTAAATCATTACACAGATTAATTGTCACTGATTAGAGTTGACATGCTAAAGAGAAATCTAACAATTTGTTTCATTTGCATTTTCATTTGTTTATCTCATTTCTTATTTCAATCAAATTTACTCTAAAATCAATTTTTTTCTTTCTTCTCATTGTTGATCAATTAAAAATCAATTATCAGAACTAATTATAAAGTTCTCTCTGTAATAATTAATTTATATATATATAAAGTTTCCAAAATTAAGTTGGTTTAACCTTTCAATCAATATCAAATGAAAAAAGAGAGAAAAGTCATTTCTAAAAGGTTAGGGAATCAAATTAACTATTAACCATTTAAGTTGATATTGGATTGAAGTGGATTAGCTTAATTTTGAAAACTGTAATTACAATTGAGATTCTCATCCATCCAATCCAATTTTACATTAAAAATGAAATGATAAGACGAATAAAGAAGTTAAGAATTAATTTGAATTGATTGTCCAAGAATCTCAACTTGGATATTTAGGAGTTTTTTTATCGTTTTTTTTCTTCTTTTGCTCAAGTTAACTACGAGTTAATTGTGAATTGAGAGTGAATGTGAATTAAAATGAGATTGTGATGAGATGGAGACAATTAAAGGCATCCTAAACAGACTGAGCTGATTTACAAAGGTAAATCAACAATTAATAGTGATAAATATATTACAATTGTTTGTCAAACTTAAGAAATTAATTAAAACAATTACTATCAACTATCTACTCATTTGATTATTACAGTTTATCATCTTTTGGATATCGTCCTTATTGATCTTTGTCGCGGTTTCTGGTCATATCAATTAATTACAGACGAGTTTGTAACTAACTCAATTAATTGATTTAAACCATTCTTTTGTTTTTCTATTGAACCTTAAAAATCAATTATCAATTAAGTTGAAATTAATTCAAAGACTTCTTAGTCTCATCATTACATAGATTGCTGGGTTGATTTGATTTTAAACGCATTTTATCCCTTTTTCTGGTCTTTGACAACCTCGAAAAATAGAATGGGTTTTTACAATTTTGTTTTGTATCAATGAAGTTGATTAATTGTTGAAAGACATCTGGCAATTGATCATTGATGGTTGATTATTGTTCCGGCAAATTGTTGATTACTTCGCTTGATTCCTTTGTTTACGTTTGCGTTAAATTAATATTTCCATTGAAAGACTTTGGCCATTGTGTGTGGATAATATCAAATGTTAATTACGATTGTTTTGTCACTAGTGAATTGTTTTTGCATTGCAAGTTTAAATTGATCAGATATAACTGATCAGTTGTAGTTTAATCATGAAAGACTTGATTATGTTGGCAATAGAGATGTAGTTGAAACTTGTTAATTGATGAAGATGACGATGGATGGTGATGATGATGATGATAATGGCAATGTTATTATCATTTGTTGTAATTGTTGAAAGACTTGACCAGGTTGATTAGTCAATTAATCAAATTTTCAAGGTAGACTATGAGATTCTTGTACCTTAATATTTTTTTTGTCTGAACTTTACTTTCTCCAAGAAAGTAAAAGTAAGAAAAGGAATCTACATTGAATGCAATGAGCATTCCTTTTGTTTTCTTTCTCAATCCTTGATTGAGTTGATCTACTTTAGTGGTTAATTTAATATTTTTGATTGGTTCAAATCATTCTAAGATAGATTTCATCCTTGCTGGAGATTCCTGATTTCTGAGTAGCGTTAAATATATTAATAATAACCATAATAATAATGGTAATATGTAATAATTATAGTGGAAGTTAATTGTAAGAACAACACAGTTGCTGCTTTTGACTGTTGCTTTCAATTGTAAACATGATGTTTATGATGTCCAGGATGATGATGATGGCAATGACAACGATGATTTTTCGGGGCTTCAAGATGAGAAATGATGAAAAATAGGAAGAAAAAGATGACAATTAATCTAATCATTGGATAATCATCCTTAGACAGAGGTCATGGTTGTGACTCCTTGTTCCTTTAACACTCGCCGTCTTATTTCCTCTGTTATTTCAGGTATATCAGGTCGAAATAGTTTCTTCAGTTTCTGTAACAAAAAGATAGAGAAAAAAAATGAATGAGATGAAGGAATAAAATAAGAGAGCAAAGAAAGTAAACAAAATAGAAGAAAGAGAAAGAAGAAGAAAAGCTGAAGAAAAATAGTTAATAGCTCAAGATCGATATTCAACCTCATTCCGTTTCCTTCCCAGAGTAAAAATTCAAGCTCAAAGGAAAGATGCTGCGCATCAACAACATCCAAATCAATAAAGAAGATGAAGAAAGGAGAAAAGATAAATTTGAAAGAAACTGTGAGAAAAAAGAGGATGATGAAGATGAAAAAGGGAACAAATTGTTAAGGTTATGCAGCTTTAGACTGGGATTGCTTATGATCTCAATATTATTATTATTATTATTATATTTATTATTATGCCAACGATCAGTTGCTTTTCACGATCAAAATCAACGAAAACCCCATTTACAAAGTTACTTCTTTCATTACCTTCATCTTCATCTTCTCTTTCTCCACATCTTCCTTTTCATCTTCCTCCTTCTCCTCCTCCAATCCCTTCAAACTACATCTTCTCTTACTGTTACCATTGCAACTTTCAATACATCTATTTTGTCTACTTTTCCTTCTCCTTCTTAAGCGTTCAGTTTTTTTTTCTTCGTAGCTTTTCTTCGTTGAACCTGACTTTTTTTTCAAGTGTACAATTGTGTCGTCATTTTTTCTGTCTATAAAAAAATGATGCCGAGTTCAACTGTTCTTGTTACCTCTTGCGTTGTTCCTGGTGTTACCCAATAAATGTAAATAGCATAACCAGGTACACATAACATGGATGATAAAGCAAGAAGCCAACCAATCAGTTGACCCCACCATGGGTAAACATAATCCATGTATGTCAATGGTTTGTATTTCATAAGGCTATAAATGAATATTCCGACACAGATGATTGGAGTGGTTACTGTCCAAGATATTTTCCACCATATACTAGGCTCATAACCCATCATATCTCTTAAATTGTCGTAATATCGATTTACCCCTGAAAATTGAGCCAATTTGCAATCAATCCAGATTTGAACATGAAAAAAAAGAGAAACAAAAGATTGTTAAAAAATTGTTGACAAAATCAATGGCATTAATAAAGTGGATAACATTTCAAATCACAAGTAAACTCAACTCGTAAAATTTATATAAATTATTATATCATGAAAAGATGGTAAAACTAACAAAGATGTAATCACAAAGGACAGTTGATGAGGAAATGATGTTTGCTCAAAGAGTTATTGTGGCAAATAATTGAAACATAAGATCTAACTTCATTGACTGTTTGATTACAATTTTGTTTGATTGATTTTTGTTCTACCTCCGACCAACCCTGAAAGACTGATTAACATGGAAATTTGCTATTACAAGTTATATAAATGATTAAATGTTTCCATAATTTATTATTGCCCAAGATTAAAGGATAAAAAAGCACAGCGTAATATTAAAAAAAACGTTGTGCCTAATGATTAATTAAACTTACCGTAACTCCAACCTATTGAAATAACTTCACAAAAAACAAGGAATAACAGTGCAAAGCCACTGGATGCATAGTAATTAAAAAGTTCAAACCAATAAACGCCACCCTGTAAGTAAAATAATTGTAGTTTTAATGATAATGATTAACAATTGTATAACCTTTCTAGAAGCTTTCCATTCATTGTACAGATCAAGCAAATTGTTCAATTAAAAGCACAAAAGCTTATGAATATTGATATTGAAAGTGGTTTTCACAATTAGAATGAAAAGAATCACGTAAGAAGACTTGTTCATCGTTCCATATTTCATCATGAACACTTCATCTTAATCTCTTGGTAATAATGTTGCTGATTATTCATTGAACATTTAGAGTGTTGGATTTACATTGAACATCATCAACATTAACAAGTAAATAGTTATTTGTAAATTGAACAATCTATTGAAGAAGAGGTTAAAAGATAAAGTCAATTGGCATTTGATGGAGTGCAATCAAGGAAAATGTTGTGTACATTTGTTGGTATTAACAGACACTTGATTGATTTGTAAATTCAGCTAAATTCATTTTTCAATAACAACAGATTTCAAGTATAATTCAGTGAAATAAAAAGTCTCGATAAATCAAATGCGTTCATTTTCAGAGGGAAAAAAAGCTTTCAGGGTTAAAAAGTTGTTTACATGGTTATTATTTTGCTAGGAATGTTATTATGCTTAGTAAGCAATAATGAGTGGTTTGGAGTGAAATTTTTTTTTGCATCAATTGGATAAGTTAACAGCAATACCAAATGAACCATTGAATGATTAAGTTAACAATTTAAGGTTGAACAAAGCAAAAAGTGAATCATAATATTCACAAGAATGGAAATCTTCAAGTGGAGAGAAGAAAAAAACTTATGGTAACTGATTTTGTAAATATCATGTTATGAGTTATTGTGTGAGAAAGGGAAGCAAATAGGGAAATAAAAAGCCTAAATTTTGGGAATGGTAATGATGATTAAAATTTTTGATGATGACAGAATGAGAATAAAAGTGATGAAAATATACAGAGTAAAAGATGATGAAGGATTTCATGATGAAAATTGAGGTGAATCTACCTTTTTACCGTAAAGGTAGATTGCCTTTTTGCATATTAAAGGTCTTTTTAAGATATTTTTGTGCAGGCAAAATAACAGGGAATATCATGAGACATTATTCATGGTTAACATCATTCCAAGGGTAACTAAGCATTTAGCTTTGTTTGGCTCAAGCTTTTTGCTCTTTTTTTCAATAAAATCTGTTTTCTTCTTCATCATGTTGTTGTTCAGGGGAAGACAAATTCTCTGAATATTTTTCATACGCTGGGTTCGAAATTTTTGAATACAATTTGCATGAGTATTTTTGCATTGAAAGGAAAGATGAAAAGGAAAATTTATCTTTCAAGAAAAAAAACACAACTAAATGATTGTTCAACATAACCTTAAGCAGTTGGATCGTTTTACCAATTACATTTGTACTATTTACAACAATAACATTAAATTATCAATACTCAGAGTTAATCAATCAATCATCTTCAGAATATGCTATAATTCATATTAGAGTGAAACCAGTTTATCCAAATGTTTTGACCATTTGGATGATAAATATTTTTCCCTATTATTTATCAATATCAATATCTGAAACGCCAATAATAGCAGCATTTACGAAAATTGCTAAATAATGATCCAATAATTAAATATGATTTCTGGTTCTTGTTTCTTTTCCAATGAATGGTAATTTTTCATGATTAGCTCGCTTTAAGTCGGGTTATCGAACAGGGAATGAAAATCTTACCTGGACGACAAAAAAAAATCCAATAATATAAGATATAAGACAGATAAATGCGATAAAGGCTTCTTTATGTTTTCTCAATACAGATGGCCATTCATCGACAACGGCAGTGACGAAACCTTCCATCGTACAGAACTGGATGAGATGAGATGAGACAAATATGACATATTAGTAAATGAATGAATGAAAAAGAGGAAATTGATGAAGTAAATCCAAGTGATTTAAATTGAAATTAAATAACCTATTTTGTTAGTTCAATTTGACAATATTAAACTTGGATTGGGTTTTTTTGATTGATACCAAAGCTTTTCAAGAATTGACATTTTGTCTTGTCAAAATTTGATAAAGACAAAAAGGTCATAATATTTTGTTGTTGTAAAATTTACTGTTTCTTTCAGAGATTGTTGTAAAATCAATTTTTATCAAATAAATGTAGATATCAAAGTCATTCACTGGACAACTGTCAACTAACAAGTTCATTTTTCATTTGGTTATGAAATCTCACAAAATTTTTTTCATCATGAAATTCCATTGAGTCTAGTAAAATGATACTTACTTGACTGTCCAAACCTAACATAAGAATCATAACAAAAAAGAGGACAGACCATAAAGGTGAGATTGGAAGATGAAGAGTTGCTGATGGATATGCCAAGAAAGCAAGTCCTGAGCCTGTAGAGATGAGAGAAGAAAACAGAATTAGTTTGAGAATGAAAATGATGAAAATTTGAAATGAAATGAAATCATCTTGCTTTCATCAAATAAGGTTAGTTAAGATGTTGGATGAAAAAATGAGAAAATCTTCAAGTCAATGTCTTCATGCTAACCCATTGGTTAAATTAGTAAATTTAAAATGCATAATTTGCAAACTCAATGAAGGCAAATTTTGTATTGTTATATGAAAATAGTTAAGCTGTTTCATGTTTTGTGAAATTGCCTAATTTTTAAGATGAAACTCGGAATTCTGAATACATGAGCTTGTAAATGTAAAGCAAAGTAATCTGAAGAATTTAAAGTTCGATAAGAATTTTTATCACAACAAAGTTACAATATTTTACAATAGTAGGGAGAAAAGGAAAGAATGAAAAGGTTTTGGTTTGGTGATAGATCGATAAAAAAGAATGAATGATGAGGATGAAATGGAGATGAAGATGAAAGGATGAGAGGATGATAGAGTAAAAAAGGTTTGAGTTGAAAGTAAAAAAAAGTGTAACGATAAATAGCACATTTATAATGATAAAGTTGCCTAAACTGAAACAATAGATGATTTGCTTTTGATCGTTTTTTCACCGAGAGATGCTTTTTGTTGAGAAAGAAGAGGATGATGATGATGATGATAATGATGAAAGTCAGTAAGTGAACCGTTGCTTTTACTTTTTTTTGTGCTACCGTAACTAGTATATTAAGAAATGTGTTATCAATTGACTTTAAGGATGAAACCATTTTGAACCAGAAAACAACAAAAAAGTCTAAAAGGCATAGACCAATGGACAGTTTTATCCGAAACATTCAGTATTTTTGTAAAAGTAAGTAAACATTAAAGTAAATAATGTTAAAAAGCTGATAAATATTGTTTAGAGGCTAATATTGTCCTGAGCCTTTTCACTCCACAGCACACTTTTTTAGGTCTTGTTGGTCAGGAATAATAAAAATAAAGATGATAATAAATTAACCACTCGTTAAAGTGCTCATCTACCTGATGTTGCAACTTCATCAATAGGTCTATTCTGTTCATGAGCCATGAATCCGATTATGCTAAATATCACGAATCCAGCAAATATTGAGGTTCCACTGTTGATACATGATATAATCAATGCGTCCCTGTAGTAAGAGAAAAATGCAAAATTAGTTGATTTTGTTTCTATTAACATTAAGAAAGATTGATCGCTAGTTTGAGTAAACTCTGATCAATCCTATCTTATAATTTTTTCAATCCTTCCGTAGTAAAAGGTAACATTTATTGATTTGTTGAACTTGAACTGCAAAAATTCAACAATTCAAGAGATGCTCTCAATTACCTGTGCATCAACTTACCTTTGAACATTGTTATTGTATTTATTGTAACTTCCTAAAGCTATAAGAGCTCCTAAACCAAGACCATATGAGAAAAATATTTGGGTTGCTGCATCAATCCATACCTAATTGAAAAAAATGAGAGCATTAAATAGTGAAACAATTAGCAATGAAAAGTTTATGTTGAATGAAAAATGAATGGCAAGAAAGTAAATATAAGAATATCAATGTTATTTGAAATGTTAGCTTGAATGGAATGAAACTGTCAATATTAAAGCCTATCAAGTTAGTTTGTTTGGTTACTCAATGGGAACTTTAAGGAAATGGGAAAAGTAGAGTTATTATTAAGAAGAAAATAAGGGAAAAAAAGAAGATGAAGAAAATCTCATTTTGTTTGTATTCATTGAATGACAAGTTAACCAAGTCAAGGTAACGATGAAAAATACGATTTGATTGACAGAGTTGATGATTTTTTATGTAAACCAGTATCAAGAAGGGAAGAAAAAGTCAGACAAAAACATTGAATCATGATAGTTACATGAGCCTTGTTAACTTGACTTCTGGTTGCGACAACCTTAATTGAGTTGATGTAAAAATAAAGTTGATTTTGCCTTCATCATAATCATCTTTATTCTTATAATATTTACCTTCTCACCAAAAAGGATAGATAGAATGTAATGATAAAAGTATAAAAAAAAAGAAATACTTACATCTGATTCTGTTATTCTATCTATTTTAGGTCTCAAATAATACAAGATACCATCACCAGCTCCAGGTAAGGTAACACCACGAATCAATAAAATAATCAAAAGTACATATGGAAATAAAGCGGTGAAATAAACAACCTAGAAAATGAAAAATGAAAAACAAATGAAAGGTTAGTCGATACATTGAACAATACATTGCAACAAATTGACTCAAAACCAAAAAATTTACTCCATATTTATTAGTATACCTCAATTTTATACACCAAGCAAATAAAATTAACACAACAATTGATTAAATTTTCATAAAAATATCGAAGATTCAGTGACAATCATTGATTGTCAATCAATGATTACAATAAAAAAGGTTAAAAACGGTTGAGATTGAAAAAAGCAAACAAAATGGCTGCATAAAAGAGTTGAACTCTTACGAATCAAAATTTTCGCTCCTTTTCAACTTGAAGCTTGACACCAAAGTCAGTCGATACATTGATAGAGAGCAAATTTATTTTTAGCCATTTCTAGCTATTACACACACTTTTTAAATTTCATTGAACTAATTTTGAATTATGAACAAATCGAGATTTGAAAATCTGATTAAATGAAAATACGATCTCTCTTTACAATACTTTGAGTTACATCATTTACTGATACACTTTTACTGGTGTTTTTTGCTAGATTTAAACTCAAATGGACTTGAAATATAACTTTCACTTCATTTATTTGTAACCTGAATTTAGGTCAGCCTCATCCTTTTCCCATCACCATTTTCATCATCTGCATCATTATATCTGAACTTTTTTTATTAGCAGATAGATCCATTAATAAATCATTTCCCTCAAGCAAACAACCGAGACATAAAAGAAGTAAAAATGAATTGAAAACCATTCGATTCCATGTTGATTTAAAGTTTACAAATTGGTTACAATATTTACAAGTAATCAATTAATAGTCATTAATATGATAAAGATGCTTGATCATCGTGTTTAAGCATCAATTAAATCACAGTTTTTCAAATTATTCAATAGACTTCAACATTTAAATCAAATGCAAAAACAAATCCCAGGATAAAATAGTGAGTTAATGTCTTCAGCATTTTAACATTGGTTTTTAGCTAAGAATACAAAGCTTGACAATTCAGTGAATTGAAGTTAATTGTAATTTAATAAGCAACAGTGAAATTGGAAATATTGTCCAGTGAGAAATAAAATTAACCAAATTGGTCAAGATCAAGCTCAATTGGTTGCAATTGAACCCAATTTGATATGAAATTATTTTATACAGCAAATTAACTTTTCCTTGACGGAATAACCATGATTTATATTGAAACATTTTGATTTACTGCAGCTATTGTAAGTCAATTGGACTATCTCACTTTACCATGAACACCTTTTATTATTTTTTTCTCTCTCCTTTATTCCCTCTTCTGTCATCTTTCACTGATCATCTTCATCATCTCTGTTAGCTGATAATTCATCAAACTTAGAGTTAACTGTTACCTTTGATATAAACTCATAATAGGAACCTTATTGAATTACAATTTACCTTATCTGGTTCACTTTGGGTTCTCAGTTTTTTTTTCTGGTCAACTCAATATTAACTGGTTCAAATGGAGTATCATTTCAAGTTGACTCATCGTTGTTTGATAAAATTACCAGATAATGTACAATGTAAATGAACTTGTGTTGCACCAATTTTCACCCTTTACAAAACAGATTGAGTGAAACAAAAGTGAACTTTCAAATGATGAACATTACCATTTTTCACCAAACATATTATCTTCATTTTCGTCATTCTTATTATTTTACCAACAATGATAATAATGATGATTATGTTGATGAAAACATTGTTAAATTGTAACAATAATCAGGGCAAAAAGAAAGTAAGAATCAAATGAAACCAGAACGGAAATCGATTACATTGAATGCACTGATAATAGTCAAGAGTTTTGCCTCTAATATCTCAAGCTAACATGGATTCAATCTGGGGAATGGAATGGATTGAAAAGATGTTCATGGCAAGGAAATGGATGAAGATGATGATGATAAAAGAGCAAAGTAAGACAAAGAAAGTTGAGAAAATAAGCTTTTTTCTCTATTATCTGGTTAACCATTTTCTGGTTTTAATGGTAACCCAAAACGAGGTAACCATTTTCAATTATTTACCTATTATTTTGACTTCTTTTCAACCTTTTTCAGATCAACTTATTGATTAAATGAAAAATTAACCAACAATTGATTAACAGTTCAAGTTTAAAACTATTAACTGTCGATGCAAAAATCTGGTTATCATTATGGTTATGGTTAAGGTTAAGCAGAAACCAGAAAATGTTTCCTTGCCTCTTTCAATATTTGGGTTAAACTGATTGAGAGTTTGATTGTGACTCGATTGTTGTGACAACCAAAATGGCAAATGATTAATGATTATACCTTGATGAGGATTATTAAAAATTGTTATTTAAATGATTAAAATGTTGTTGGCTCTTTTTTTTCCTGGTTCAACATTTTGGTTTAGTTTAAAGTACAAGCTAACATGAGTAGCATAATACCTTCTGAGTAACTAGATATCATCAATTATAACTCTTGAATTTTTTAACTGAATTTACAATGGATATCAATTTACAGGTTAGAATTATCTTGAAAGTAAAATGTTGTGAGGATAATCATCAGTCAGGATAACATTGACCGTTAATTTTAATCACCAAAAGTGACTAAGGTAAAGATTGTGCTTCTAGGCCTAAGAGTTGAAATGTTATCTCAAAGTTTACTCAAGATTGAGAAAAGGTTCAGAGCTTGGAGAGGAAAAAAACACAAGTAATCATCATGAGAAGCAAACAAATGAGTTTAAATCAGAATGAGCAAAAAACACTATTAATTACAATAGATCAGTAATTACTGGTCTATTGTAAGGCAATTTTCATTAAAACCTAAATTTAGGTTACAAATGAAAAGGAGTTGAGCAAATAAACAAATAATCGTTGGCCTGTTTTTGCACTCCATTTGTGAATAATGACAAACACAGATAATACAGGAAAATAGGTAATGATAACAGGGAGTGAGAATTGAGAATTGAAAAGATATAAGAATAATAAAAAAAAGTGAATATCTTGATAGTGATCAGATTGCTCGGTAGAGAATGAAATTGAATAACTTCTCCATGAGCAATCCCAATCAATGATTTCTTCTTGCTTTTTCCTCATCATCATCATCATCATCATCCTTTTCTGATCAAGTCAACCTTTCCATGAATATCTAGAGATTTTCATTCCATTTTGAGAATCGATTTTTGTTTGTTGTTGCTGTTCATGTTATTTGTTTGTTTCCCTCTTCGAATACAAATTGACAAGGAAAGTATTGAAGTAACAAACAAAAATAGGCAAACAAACAAATTTTAACAAATAGTGGGAAATGAAAAACAATTGAACAATTGGAAACCACAGGAATAAATAATGTTCAATTCATTTTTCACCCAACAAACCAAGTACACTGGGAAACAGATTAATGAATCCAAAAGCAAAATTTAAATATAATTCAACTTTGCTGTTGAGATTTATTAATAATAGCAATTCAGTTGTTTAATTAAATTTTCCTAATCTTAATATTGTAATGCTGAGAGTAATTGCAATTGAAAAATGTTGATTTATCTTTAGAGGTTGAGCTTTTCAAGCATCACAGCTGATCCTGGAATCATGTTCAATGTTGGATATTTGCATGTTTATCAATCATTTTTGACGATTGATTCTGATAATGAACAAAAGGTGAAAATGATTTTGGTACAAAAATCAAAATATGTAAAGGTAAAGTGTAACAATTAATTGGAAATGGATTTTCATTTGGATATGCTTTTTGCTGCTTCGCTATTTTACCTTGGATGCTACTTGCATCAGGCTAGTTAAAGAGTGTCTACAATTTATTGATCGTCAGATGAAAAGAGAGCAAAGAAGAGAGGATGAGAGAGAGAGGATGAAGGAAGCAAATAGATGAGAGATGATGAGGATGAAAAAAGGAGAGAGCAAATATGATGCTTCGCTGAAAAAAAAGCTCTCAGCTTACAAATTGAGACACAATTATGGGTAAACGGTGAGAGAAAAGGATGATTTGACTTTGTATTATTTTCAAAGTCCAATAACAGAGTATGAGGATGCGGATGATAATGATGATGATCATGGTAATGATGATCAAAGTTTTAAAAAATTCATTTACTTGGCATGGAAATGAAAAGGGCTAGATATTGATTAGTTGAAAAGTGAGTTTTGTTTTCATATTATAATTTACTTTCAATCAATTGTAAAATCTTTTTGTTTTTCCTTACTTTCCATTGTACCTTAGTTAACCATAATTTTGATCAACTTTTCAGCAAATTTTTTTCATCCCTCTCTTTGCCATTGTAAAGAAATTAAATTAACTATTGATTTGTTCAATATTTAGGTTTTGTTAGCATTTTGCAAAAACAGCAACACTTTTCAAATGCTTTCATCTGCGTTCAATCAAATTACAAACACTTCAACTTCAACTGAATCAGCAAGTTAAATGTGCTTTTTTTGTTGATTGAAACTATTTCATTTGATTCAAGATTGAATCTTGAGATTTACAATTTTAAATTAAATTATTATTAATTTTGCTTTCATTGATGGACTAGGCAAGTTTGCACTTGAAAAGGTTTAACTGTACTTCAAATGTTTGCAAAGTGAAGTTATTTGAAATAATTAAATTTTGAAATGATTAACTGATTAAGCAAAATGTGGTTGAAAAGGTGAAATTAATGGGAAAATAAGATGAGAGAAGATTATGATAAAATGAAGAAGGAAGGAAGAAACAAATTAAATACAATTATTTTGTGATTGAATCAATAATAATACAATCAACATCATCTTTTGTCAACTTCAAGATGAGGTTAAAAAAGTAAAGATGATAATAGTGAAGGTAAAAAGATGAACCAAGAAAGGTGTATAAAAGGTGGACTTATCTTCATCATCTTAATCACAATACTGACCAAGTGAAAAAGCCAAGCCACTTTACAATTCTAGACTTGATGTATTTATCATGATATAATCAAACTTTGGTAAATATTTAATTTTCAGGAGAACCGGTAAAAGCTGAATGTTGAAGGTAAAGAAAATGCTACTCAACTTGGACAGCAGTAATCATTGATTGACACTTGAGTTTTAAGGTTACTTTAAATAAATTTGTAGCTTTGATTTTGGAGACTTTTAGGCTTTTGGTTTTGAAGTTAACTTGGATTTTGATTGGAAAGCCAATTATCTTACCTTTCCAGTCCATTTGACTCCTTTCCAGATGCAAAAATAACATACAATCCATGATACAGCAAGTGTAACTGCCAGAGGCCAGCGAATTTCACCCAAATCATGTAATCCCGATGTTACCTGGAGAACTTGTCTTTCCCAGTATTCCTTGACGGGACTTCGATAATTTGAAGTGTTGAGAAGTCGACAATCATCGAGAAATGTGATTGGATCGGATCTACAGTTTGTCCATTTAATTTTAAGATCGGAATCAGTGATACAACTTTTGGTATTCCAGGGGTTGTTACAATCCCGCCAAGGAACATCCAATCCAAGGGAACTCCAAGCATAATATAATGCCCAAGCCAAGACAACAATGTAAAATGTGTTCAGCCAAAAGGCCATAACAGCCGCAGCGTAGCCAACACCTAAAAAGAGGAGAAAAAAATTAAAGATTAATAAATTATTGATAAATCCAAGAGTAAGGAGTGAAAGTTATGACAATTCAATTTCAATGAATCATATTCATTCTCATAATTACCCTTGAATATTGGACAGATTCGCCATACACCGATTCCTCCGATACCAAGAAACTGTCCCAATGATATTTCCAAAAAAAATGCTGGGATTCCAGCTAAAAACAGGCAAATACAATATGGAACTAGAAATGCACCTGAAAGGGGAAAAGAACAGAAAACGTTGATTAAAAATTGGATTCTCTCAGAGTTTGTCATCAAGGCTGGGAATCAAGGATTGGTAAAGCTTGTAATAACTACAATTTAAGTCTAATTGTGATTGTCTCTCTAATACCATTAAAATGTACAACCAGTAGGTAATTGGCATAATGATTGCTGTTATACAGATGAGAAGTCAAGGTTAATTTAGGTTAACATGATTGTTGTTGTAATCTGTAAGTTGATAACCTTTTTTTATATCTTCCTTATACTGTTGAATTATTATTAACATTAATATATTATTATAATAATGATTATTATTACCATTATTAGTATTAATATTGGTATATATTAGTGTATTGCTTTGCCTGTATCACTGGATATATTCAATTACATTGTATATTCAATTATTTTATTGACATGTTATTTGATCATCTTAGCCCATTAAAAACTATTATAATATTGTATAAGATATAATTTGATCAAATTTGTTTAAAATTAACACAATAATGAACATTAAATTGAATTTTGTTGACAGTTTCAACAAGATTAATAGTTGCTATTTAATATGAAAATTTAATGCCAATTGTTTCAATTTTATACACAACTTTCACTGTAATGCATTAGACGGCTAATTTTTCAACAAAAGTTTGACTTTCATCCAAGAATTGCGTTAATTAAAGCAAAAAATTGGAAGATTATCAAATTTTGTAAACAGTCGGATCGATCAAGCTCAAGTTTACAAGAATTGGAAATTTAAACGTTGATATTTCACTGGACTAAATTGTCCAGTGAAATCAAGACAACCTTGAATGCGATCTCACAATAAAGATCATTTAAAGAGTAATTCAAAACCTTGATTGCTAGGAGAATCAAACCTCAAATTTGTTCACCCACACAGTGGGTCTGATGATTGCAAGGTAATCAGCTATTGAATTTTCAAAAATCAGGTAACATGTTAACCCATGCATCTAGCCTTGAAGTTGATTCAGACTTTTCAACCAGACAGAGAAACTAATTTCTTGAAGTCTTCAATCTTAATGGTGACTACAATTATTGGCAAATCATTTACCGAAACAATTTAACCCTCGTATTGATGGTTATCAAATTATTGTTAAAATCTTTCCATTAATCAACTCTGGAAAATTTGTATCAAATCTAAAAGATGTATCCTTAATAAACCTAAAGCTTAAATGCTTTACCAATCTAGGGGAAGAAATGGTTAAGAATTGAATGAATTATTAGTTAACTGGTGTTGACTGGGTTTGATTGGGTGAAAATGGGTATTTACCTCCTCCATTCTTATAACAAAGGTAAGGAAATCTCCAAACATTTCCGAGACCAATGGCGTAACCAATACACGACATTAAGAAATCAAGCTTTCCTGACCACTGTCCACGCTCATCAGTCTCTTCACTCAATAATTTTACCTCTGTAGGCACCAAATTACTATTTTGCGCTCCACCATTGGCCCGAGCCGGACGACTACCTGAACCCGAATTATTACCACCTCCACCAGAACCAGGGCGAGAAAAGCTATTCATTTCCACTTTATCAGTCATAGTGTAAGGTTGATGTTGATGATTCAAATTTTGACGGTTAAGCTGAACAAGTATTCAATCGAATTTTTTGTTGCAGTTGGAAGACTGTGATTTGTTTGATTAACTGGCTAATATCCTTTACTTCCAGAGTTTTCCTATTGCGAGAACCCTTTCAACAGGCCATTACGTATAAACTAATGATGATATGTTGATGTTATAATTTTGATTTTTACTGGATTGATTAAAGATTGCCAATGTTGACTGGATTTAGGAACAAGGCAACTTTTATCTTATTGAGGTACAATGATTAATAATTATATTATAATAGGTTGCAAACACAACACACAAAAATATTGAGTAAGAGTATAACTTTGATGGTGATTGGAATCTCACTTAGATGTTGATGCAAAGGGTTGTATCAATTTTTGAGATGTAATTTTAACCAAACGATGTGGTCCACAATGAGGCAGATAATGATTATGGTTGGTTAATTGATAGAAACTATGGTTGATGAAAGACTAAACTGGAAGACAGATGATAGATTTTGAGCGTTTAAAGATTATGTTTGGTTTTGTCAGAAGATTTTTAGCTTTTAGATTTTTCTCTCCTTCTGTTATTGTTGTCTTGTGATTAAAACCACTTTTACTTTTGGTGTTTTCAGGCTGAATATTTTACAACAGGGAAAGCACTGATGATTAACATATGATGGGTAATCAGCAAATTGCTTTAAATAAATACACTTGCTCAAAATTTTGCTTTGTTTTTAAAAGAAACACATAACCGTTGGTTAACACATATTTTAAGGAATGACTAAGAAAGTGTATGGGGTGAGAAAAATGGATTGATTAGCAAAGAAAAATAAGCTTATATGAAAAGACAGAAAAAGCGAAACAATTTTTACAAATGAAATAATCACTGGGTTAAAACAAGAAGTAAGATGATGTAAGAGATGATAACGGAGAGAGAGAGATATGTTTGTGTGGCTTTGCTGGGAGTAAGAAAGATGATGATGATTATGATGATGATTGAGACAGTGGTTATCTTTTTCCTTTCTTGTCTCCTGTTGACAATTTTTACAAAATAAAATGACTGAGCATTAAAAGTGAGATGAAAGTTAAAATGAAATCCGGGAATCACGAAGAAGATGACGATGATGGTATGGATGACAAAAAGAAGATGAGGATAAGGATGGAAGAGAAGAGAGAGAGAGAGTCAACGAAAGGGATGGAAAGAGAGGAAAGATGAAATTGGGCTTACAGTGAACGAGATAAATGTAAGGTTTTGAGGTTGGTTCCAAAGAGGGCTAAAAGTGTGAGCAAGGTTGAGAGAGAGAGAGAGAAAAGTAAGAATAATGATGATGAAGATGGAGAAGAGAAAGAGAGGAAAGAAAGTGGAATCGAAGGGATGAGAGAAGATGAAAAGATGAGGCTGAAAATGAAACGAAATGTCGACTTGCGCATCTTTGCATAATATTATTTGCAAGGAAAAAAGTGAACTTCATTTTTCCCGCCTGCGTAATAACCTTGCTCTGATTGGTCGCAAGAGAAACCCTTGAAATAAGCAAGTAACATCGAGCCTTACATTTTGTATACAAAAAGTAAATTGTTTTTTTTGATTGTTCACGTTTTATGATTTAAATTGGTTTCAATTGCTCATTTTGATCGTATTTTATCAAATATATTGTTTATTATCTGCTTATAACTCTTTTAATTGTGACTTAGGTTAATTATTAAGTCTATTCCCTTTTCATTTTACTGTTTAAACGTTTGATGTTAACTCCTGGCTTTTTCTGGTTTCATCTTTTCAATTTCTGGTTTTATTTTCGCGTTTTCACTGTTTTCTAGTTTTTTTTGGTTAATTTTTCGTTTTGATTTCTTTTGCTTTACTTATTAGGTTTCACCTTTTGAATGTTGTAAACAAATGGTATAACTGATATAAATAGCATAAAAATGCATAAATGGATTGGTATAAGTACATCAAAGGATATTACTAGATTAATCATTTAATATGGATATGACGATTGCGGAACAATTCAGATTGATAATTAATCCAATGAAAACTATGGTGATGATGTAAATAAATATAGAAGTCTGAATTGATGTGAATGCTGATCGCGAAAAGGAATGGAAAAGATAAATTGCAATCTATTATTATATTATTATAATTTCTCTTGTAAGTCATTTCCAAATATTTTATTTTCATCTTTTTTTCTCATCGTTACAACTTATTATAATACTTTAGTGTTTGTATTGTACATTTCGAGTCAATGAGAATTTTGAGAATAGAAATGGAATCAATTGAAAATGGTGAAAAGATGGAAAGGACAACACTAAAAAAGAGAAGTACAAGTTGAATACAAAAGTAGAAATTTTGATTTTCCTTGAGTTGAAGATTATTTGATGGTTCCTTTTATGATTTATCGATTTCACAGGTATTCTGGTTTTATATAAATTACTTGGAAAGTATTGCATATATCATTAGCATCAGAAAAGGTGGAAATGGTTTACAGATTTCAATGTTGATAACCATTGGTCTTGATCCTGGGTAAATCAGGCTTATTGAGAAGCTGCACCGTTAAACCAGTTTATCATCATTTAGGATGATTCGGGAATTAGTCTATTGTGCTATTGGTTTGGAAAATGAAATGTAACCAATGATCAAGTTATTTGGGGTTAACTTTAATGAACTTCAACTGCATTCATCATTTTGGGTAAAACCATTTAAATTTTATTTGATTTCACCGCTAATCCCAAACGGATGCACTCGTAATTATGAACCTGAGCAGCCACACTCGGAGTGCACTGACAAGTACGGCATACGAACCGTTTACAAAAAATGAAATAATAGTGAAAATTGAATTAAATTAAATTATAGTTTGAAAAATGAAAAGGTGAAGAAACAATTTGAGTAAAGTTAAGTCATTAGGGAAAGTAAACCTCGATTACCTCGAACCTTACCTCGATTGTTTCCGACAATAATTAATGAAAATTAAACTGTTTGATGAATTCACTGAGTGTTCAGAGTCTTAAAAAGTAATTTAAAACAAGAATAATAAACGAAAACTAAATCAAATGAAATTTAATTAAAATTGCAGCTAAAAATTGTCAATTCGATGGTCTCCCCATCTCGTATCAATTGACATAACCTTGGAACTTGAGTAAAAAGCAAATAATAATCGATTTTAGTGTAAATTTTTCATTTTTATTCAATTCTATTTGATTAAATTCAACTAAAACGACGCTTTGAGAAGGAAACGATCTACAAAATTGCGTTAATCAACAATTTTTGATTAAAATTTGATAGGAAATTAGTGTTTCAAGCTTTTCACCGGAAACATTAGACAAGCAATTTCAGGTACTCGACTGTATCAAAATTAAAGGTAAGACAATCATTAAAGCCATTGGATTTGATAGGAAGTCAATAATTCTGCCAGTTACTCTTGTTCTGAAATATCTGAATGAAGATTGAGGTCAATATTTTAATGGATAAGTAATTTGTTGAACAGCTGATCTTTTAATGTAATTCACTCTCAAGTTCATTCTCACACCAAACAAAGGTACTATAAAATGCCAATGCCCAAAGATTTTGAGCAAATCACTCCATTATAAAGTCATGGACTGACTGAACAAATATCAAGCCATAAATTAATCAATTTTTTAATTCAATAGACCATAATATCTTTAAATGAGATGACCGTTATCCAGTGTGAGTGACTTTGAATATTGACAATAAATGAAAAACAGCTGGTCATAACTTGTTTAATCAAATTTACTAAGGAACAATTAATGGAACACAAACCAATGGATTGATCAGAACTCCTCGAATTGTCAATATTCTGAATGATTGATTATAATCAATAGATGACACAAGTTTACAATGGGTCTCTAAAAGATCATACTGTCTATTGTTGGGCAAAAGCAGAGATCAGAGATCGAAGTCAGCTCAGGTAATACTTGATTGAAATCTGAAAATAGCTCTCGCCAAGCTCCAGTTATCTAAAGTTCCGTAAAATGTCGATATCCTATGGCTGAGATATTTGCTGATACAGTTGCCAGTTCATCGATTAAAGTTAATTTTCTTTAACTTTGACTCCTTGTTCAAATTATTGAACTTTCAATCGTGATCAATCACCTTCACCTCCCTCAATCGTATTTTTGTAAACAATGGAACTGAATGATAAATGATTTTAAAAGGGTTTCCCTATAAATCATTTCTTACTCATTACAGATCGTAATTTGGTATAAAATGTTAAATCTTGAATTATCAACTTGAAAATTTGGGCTTTTCATAAAAATTAAATAGTGTAACAATGGTTTTAAAGATTTTTTTGCTCAATTAATTAAAGTAGTTTAAATAAGTGATTGGATTAGTATACAATGTCAAAAAGCAAGGAATGTCTTTATTCAATAGCTCCTAATGATTGAAAATTTGAGCTAAGTGTTTTGATCATTGATCTGAATAAATAAAAAGAAAATATTAAATACTAAACAAATAACATTTGTTTTAATATACTCTCCCGAGAAAATAAGTAACCGAATCAAGAGAAGTGAACATGATCAAGTTGATTGTTAACAAAATGATAAACGACTTTAGTCTTGGTGTCTGTTAATATTTAAATGTAACTGTTTATCATGTTTTGACCATGTTTTGCTTTGCGTTTGTGTGTGTTTTATCGTAAGTTACTAAAAAATGGTCATTTTCATCAACATGCTAATTATAAACAGAAACAATTAGATGATGATTTAAGATGATGAAAGGATATGATGAATGAAGATGATAATTTTCTAAAATTAACAATTAGATTTAAACATAGAAAGTATTTACATATATGACTTCTTTTGTTTCAGTTATTTTTTGTTTCAATCTTTTACACCGTAACATTCAGTTTTTTGTGTTTTCTTTTTTTTTCTTTGAGGCAATTATATGGTGATTAAGAATTTTGCATCCATAGGACAGTTTTCAGGTGGGTCATCATCAACAGCCATATTTTCAATAAAGCTATTGCTATTATTTATAAAAGGACTAATACTTCGACATTGGGTAGAAATGTTTTCATCGTGAGATGACTGTTGATCATCGATTAAAGTTGAATCATCACCCAAAATTCCGGACTCAATGGGTGTTGAAGGCATCCTACTGCTACAGCTACAATCATCACTTGTTTTCGGACTCGGGGAAATGGTTGGATTTTGGTTAGGATCGTCAGGCTTGGGGTTATCATTAGGCTTTGGTGGAAAGAGCTTCAATGCAACAGCCAGGTCAGCCAAAGCTTCGGTTTCCTTTTCATCGATCATCATAAATTGATCATTGAAAAGCATGAAATGAGAGAATATGCAATTTGTCTGAGGATGGAGGTTCAAAAGTTCAATTTCTTTGAAATGTGAATGGTAGATGTGAGCCAATACACGAAAAAGAAGAAGCATAATTTTCTTTACAATTGACTCAAAGGAACTCGGGAATTCTTTATCTGTAATAATAGAGGAGAGAAGAAAACGATAAAAGTTAAAAAAGTGAGCAACAATAAAAATATTTATAAATTTAATAGCATTTAGTGATGAATGGAAAGCAGGAGTAGCAAAAAAGAAATGAAAAGATAACCGATGAAGCCTTTGAAAAAAAATATATGAAGTAACTGGATCAATTGTTTCTCGAAGCTCATGTGTCCTAGTTAGTGTAAATTTATGAAAAAATAGCCTAAATAAAGCAACCTGAGCGGAAAATGCGATTAATTTTACGTGACCTTAATAAACAGTTTGGTTACATTTTAACATGAGTTTCATTATTTGGATAAAGGTGTAAGGCTATTGATGAGCCACTTTCATCAGACTAAAAATTTAAATGGTAAATATTATTTCATGGTATTGACTAGATTGTATGGTTATGGATGAAATAATGAGTAAACAAACATCATCTATGGACAAAAAATCCTTGCGATTGCAGCTTTTCCTGAAATTTGTTGTCCAAATTTGCATAGACTGGTTTTATTGTATCTAATTAATTGAATCAAAGAAGATGTATGAAACAAAACCAACAAGGCACAATTCATCTGAATCTAATTTACTAGGAAAAAAGTCAATTCAAATTAAAAATTGATTGGCTAGTTCTGAGCTGATTATAACTTGGCTTATTGTATTAAAACAATCAGATTATAGACACAAAAAGGTAATGTTATCATTGATCATTCTTTTGGTTTTGATAGCCTCTACAGTTTCTATGAAAACCATGGGATTTCATGATTTATCAACCATGACTATGCATACCTAAGAATATTAAATTATTGCTGAACGGAATCTGGACTAGTTTCATCTCTTCATCCTTGCTTTTTTTTACCTGAAAAGGTTTGTCTACATTTAATTTTACCTCTTTTCTGTTTTCTCTGTTCTTCTATACCTCCTTCTAATGGCCTCCAAGAAACAATAGTGATAAATTTTATCGTTTAGCTGAGCTAGTACAGGAAACCCTTTTTCAGCTGTAACAATAAATAATCACATATACAGAAATAACAACTAACCTAGAACAGTGAATTCAAAAATGACAGTAACATTCATGTAACCTTCTTTAAATTCATTGAAAAGAACGATCTTCTCCTCGAATGCTTGAATGTTTCTTTTACAGAGACTAAGTACAGCTGAATCATTAGTTTTTTTTTCATTCATGTTCATGTATTAATCGAGTCATCCAAGGAACTAGGTTCTTCCATTAATTTACACAGACTCTTTTATATTTTAGTCTTTTAATGAGACATTCATTCTAATCATTCACTCACCTTGCAACTCACCTTTTACTCTTACATTACAAATCTAAAAAATCTTGTAAGTTTTAGTCTTTCTGCTCATTTTTTTCTGCTATCCGAGTTTAATTAATTATCTACTGTTTCCTATTGAGTGAGCTTCGTAAAAATAACATCAAATCATGAAAGGAGAAATAAGTGAGGTAGATGAGATGATTTACCGAATTTAGTTGGAAATATTGATTCATCATTAACCGTCCGTTGTGTATAGGTCATAACATAATCAATATACTGTGGAGCAGGTAATTTACAGCGTTTACCTTTCTCATCAACCCATAAGTACAATCTAGAAGGGAAAAAGAGAGATAAATAAATTAAAATTAAACCATAAATTTAAGTGTTGAAAGGATTACAATCAAAGAGGAGGTTAAAAGAACGAGGATAATTATCATGAAGAGACACAATTGTTTAGAACGTCATTTGTTTTGTTGATTAGTCAATGTCTCACCTATTGTTGGGTCCTATCATATCAGGACATCCTGAAGTATTACAAAACTCTGAAATCGTTCCATAAATGAGATTTATATGGTCAAAGAATGCTAAACCTGGGTGATAAGAAAGATATTAGAAACATTTAAAATTAATCTTGTTTAAAAAGTAAATCCATTTAGTATCTTTGTTGCTCATTTTACCAAAAGGAATATCATCATACATTGACACAAACAATGATTGATTTAAGGGTGACCATGATAGCAAATTTATTCATGGTGTATTACCTTAAATCGAATTAGAAGACAAACAAAAGAAATAAGTGGCTAGCTAATAGATGAATGAAGAACAATGAAGAAAAAGCGTCACATCAAGAGCATGCCAAGCTGGCTTCATCTTTCTAGTCTTTTAGTTACTAGAATGCACTATTCCTTTTGGTAAAAAAAGTAAAATTGACAATAGCAAAAAGTGATCTTGGTTACGTACAATGTGAGGCCAACCATTCATTATAATTTATACCATCAGGTAATTGTACAATATCTCGCAGTCTATACTCTGGTGTGCAGCATTCGAGAAGCTCAGGTTGAAGATATCTCTTAGATTCTTGTGATGGCAAAGAAGTAGCATCTTTCTCTTTGCGTCGACCTTTACTGTTGATGGTAAAAATATTAAATTTACCAGGAAAGTTGACATTGTGACAAGATGAAGAAATAAATAAAGACGTCAGAAAAGAAAAACGCATTAGTTTCATTTCAATAAAAATTATGTTATAAAGACAGAAACAACTGGCTCGAGTACAATCAACAACAACATAGTGAGTGTAATATTATAATCGATGCAACCTATTAGATTTAACCCATTTCTCTTATTGTGACCTATCTTACATCTGTTTGTCATTTAATAAGCATCAAAGATGAAAACCACGAACCTGTGATTCACTCACATAGGTTATGTGTTAATTGTAAATCATAAAGTGATTTTCATGACAAAACAATGAAAGGCCAAGTCATTTGAAAGGAAAGGTAGAGATAGAAATGAAAGAAACAGTTTAACTCATAATAGAAAAAAAGAAAGACAGAGAAAGAGAAACTAAAAGAGTGCAAAAGGTGAGAAAAATAAAAACAATGAAAAACAAAATTACTTACCCCATAAACCAATCAACCAAAGTATCTCTAAAATATTCTCCTAATTGTAATCTGTCCATTAATGTCCAATGGAAATAATATACAGAAGGTTTATGAATTCATATTTTCAAAAAATACAATCAGAAGCTAATATATTTTCATGACAAAAAATAAACAAAAAATTAGCGATAAACTTATGAGATACAAGAGAGGAGAAGAAATGAGAAATTGGAAAGAGAGAAAGAGTGAGCCAGTCGAAAGACCAGAAGAAAGAGAAACTGAGTGAGAAAAGAAAGCAATTTGACATCGCTTTCTTTACTTTATGTCGTTTCCAAGCTGAAGAACCGCTAAGTTTGAATTTTCAGATCAGCTAAATCATTATTAAATTGTTTTCTTGCTTTTAAAATACTAATTAACGCTAATTTTGTGACCAACTAATATTTTAATGGTTAATTAAAATATAAATATTTTAAAATATCTGGTTACTTCAACAATTTTTTCTCAAGTTTCTATGATTTTCTTTGTTTCTATTGTTTAGTCTTAAGCTTGTCTTGATTTTGTGCGATGACACTTCGTTAGCAATTAGTGCTTCTCATTATTATTTCTTTATTATTCTGTTCTATGATTCACATCTATGGTTAATTATTTATCAAATGTTTGATTGGAAATACCAGTTTGTTTTAAATTTTATCCGGAAATGCCATTTAATCCGGATTGCGAACGAGTTTTGATTGTTTCTCTTATTCTCGCTTTTTTGCAGCCTTTAAATGACAGATTTCAATCTTTATTCAATTGTCACCCGGATATTGAACTGACTGAGGAATTGAGCTGTGTTTTGAGTCACTTGAGTTTTTGTAATCATTTAAAATGCTTAAATGTCAACAATTACCGTAATTGATAGAGTCTTCAACTGATTGACACTCATTTTTGGCAGACTTGACTTCTGTTTACATTGCATATAAGCTTTGTCTTGATTCAAAGCTTTCTTTGTGAAGATGATTTACCATTTATTATTATGTGTCACAATGATATCGATTGTCACTTAATTCACCCAATTAAGTCTGCAATAATTATTGCTCATTAGTAAATTTGATAGAAATACTGAGATATATAAATACTAGATAGAATCACCAGTCAATGTTAGTTTTGTAAAATAATTTTAGACTCTTCATGTTATTGTAAAGCTGAATATCTATTCAACTCTTGTAAGACTATAGACTAAATTTATCGAAGTATTAACACTCAATCACTTAATCTTAATTTAACTCTAATTTTCCGATTTTTACATTAGCAAGCATAACTTGTCTCAATCTTGTCAATCTTATGACATCTTATCATTGTCTAATGTGCGAATTTGAGTAATAAAATTTCACATTTGTGCTCGTAAAATGATAACATCAATTCGTAAAGAAATAACAGAGCAAAGTTGATTTAGATGAAGAAAATTGATTATGACAGCAAAAATTGCCAATTATACATATTTTATATTAATCTAATTATCTATCAACAATTGTAACAATGAGTGGATACGGCAATAACGACGAACCAAAATATAAACAATTATTGATGTATTCTTGTTTTTTTCCTTTATTTTTATAACACAGTTGGAAGCTTGTTATTATTATCGTTAATATTAATTATAATTAATCTTTATTATCATTATTAGAGTTTCTTTGTCGAAGTAAAAAGATTGGTTGTGGTTGGATTCAAGGGGCTCATCGGGCTGATAACTGGCGATACATTTGGCTGAGCTCCAATTAAATTCAAGCCACCCATGTTAGCTGCTAATTGGTTCATAGTTGGTGCATTGTGTTTCTCGTATTTAGCTGCTAAAAGATTGTCCACATTAATGTTGACATTTGAGCTGTAGCTACTCCAAGTGTTGTTGCTGCTTTGAATCGGTGTTTTAGTTGCTGTAGTTGAATTTAATGACAAATCTGTCGGATTATTACCAAATGGAATGTTATTAAACATTGGATTGGTCGATGAAAGCAGTGGTGTAGGCTGCAAAGGTAGGGATGTCGGAAAATGAATATTTGCATTTGAATTTGCATTAATATTGGAAGTTATGAGCGGATTTATTGAATTGAGCAAAGGATTAGTATTTCCTTGACTCAAGCCAATACCATTGTCAGTACTAACAAGGTCAGTACTGATAAACGGGTTGATACCACTTAATTCGTTATTTAACAAGTCAATTGAGCTTGCTCCACTGTTATTGTTAACAGTTGTATTTAATGTAGCATTTAAAGGTAATTGAGCTTTCAGATCAAAGGGAGGAAGAGAGTTAATTATTGAAGAGGGTGTAATATCTGTTAAAGGTGCTGTCAACGAAGCTGAGGCCATTATATTAGGAGTAAAGGCTGACGTAAAATCTGCAAATTCATCAGTTTCTTTAGGTTCTTCTGGTTTTCCGTCAGTTTTGTTACCATCACAGTTTTCAAAACTAGTAAAATCAGCAAAATCAGCAAAGTCATCAGCTACCGAGTTGCTTACGATTGGAGCTGCTGTTTTATTTGAATTGTCACTAATTCCGCTGAAGATATCATCCAACAGATCTTTACTCTTTTGATTTGTTTCATTTGGTTCACTGTTGTTGCTCAGAGTTATACTCCCTATTAAATCACTATTATTTGCTTGGGTTTTCCCATAATTTGCTGCTGCCCCAAGATCAATTTTACGGCTTGGTTCACTACTCTTAGTAGATACTTTTGGTGGACGACCTTCACTTGTGGGCTTAGGAAGGGTTGGGGTTGTTGCTGTGGTCGGTGAAGATTCATTACTGGCTGATTGATTGGAACGTTGAGTTTTGTAGTTATTAAAATCGGGCTCCGTTTCCTCTGTTTCACTGTTCTCTTCATCGTGGAATTTACTTTTTGATTTTGATGTTCCTTTTTCTTCAGTTTCTTCAAAATCATCAAACGATTTCCTTGGTGTATCAGACCAGCTATCACTGTTGAAACGAGAATCAAAAATTGAAAAGTATAGTTAGAGGATAATCAATCTGACATTGAATTAAGTTGCTTGGCAAACTTGTACATAATTTAATAAAGATAAATTACTTGCAACACTGTATCGTAAAGTTGATAAAGGGTGTTAACTATTGGAGCTACCTTCAACTCAATGGGAAATGGAGAATACGTATAAAAAGCCAGAATAATGAAACAATCAACACCTTTCAAGATGATATTAAACAAAAGTTGTCCAAATCTCTTTCATGATTTATCAACCATTCAACTTGTAAATATATATATTTTTTTCTTACTTTTCTTTCATCTGTTTTGTTTTTTACTTTCTCCCTCCCTTTTCAATACTCTTTGTCTCAGATAATGGTTAGTTTGGTATCTAAATAGCTATTATATTCATACAAAACTATTAATTGTGATAACATAATCCCGAAATGATATAAGCAATCAAGTTATGATCGGAGAACAATTAAAAAATGATTAACTAAAGGCAAAAGGCACAACTATCAACTGTAATAACTAAATATCCTTGAATCTCTATCAACTGAACATATAGTCGAGGTGATAACGTTAGCAGGGAGATTGGAAAGCAGAAAACGAGTTCAATATGGTGAAATCTGATGAAAACAGCAGAATAAATGTTCAAGACGATAAGTATATAAGGAAAGAATTACCGTGAAGGAAACAATATCGATCCAGAAGAGACACCAATGTACTTGTCCTTAGCTTTCTTTGCTTTTTTTCGTTCCTCTCTCAATTTATCATCATCTTGGATGAATTCAATTAATGACTTAGCTCGATGTCTAATATTGATTCCCATATCTTTGCCTTGTTCATCGACAAAAGTGTAATTCTCCAAACTTCTTAGATCGTAAATGTGCTCCCGTGCACTAGTTATAACCCGCTCAGATCCATATTTAATGAGATATTGAAGTAGTATTAACGATTTATACGTCCTTCTCCAATTCCGCCGGTTATCTTGTAACATCCTTTTCCAAAGCATACCCATAACTTCGGGGAATTGATCATATGAGAATGTGTAAGAAGCTAACTCTTGCATCAACGATCCCGTAGGACCCCAAGGATCGTCATTAGTTGCTTCTCTGACTTTTCCTTCAATCTCAGTGTAATTCATGACAACATTGGTCCTGTTTATGTTATTAACAAAAAAAAGAGAGAAAAGAAGGTTTTTTTTATCAGAATCATGGCGGTTTACATGCATTAATATATGTCAACTGAGTAAAGCTGTGTAAGCTGTATCAAGGATATTTACAATGACTTGAATAATATTAACAGAAAATGATACTTACACTTTATCAGCTAATTCTCTTACTTTCCACATATTGAAAAACAGGTAAAAGGTTGTAATTAACAAAAGATAAATTAGATTTGGTTACAATAACAGGATCAATAACAAGATGTTTAAAGACTGAAATAGTCCTTGGGATAGAATAAATGTTCAAAGATGTTCAACACGTATAAAGCAGAGTAAAAAATAGAAGGAAAGCACCAATTTAAATATTATAGTAGGAAAATGGACCAATGAAAATAATTACACATTAGTATATATACATCGGGCACTTTTTGGTGAATATAGGGTTTAAAGGATACTTTGATTACTGACAATTAAATTAGGCAATGTGTATAATTAAAATAATAAAAAAAAGAGAGTGAAGAGACCCAAAAGAATGCGAAGGGATGAAGGTTTACCTGCTCTCAGTTAAAGCAAAAACAAGTTGTTTTAAAACTGGTGGCTACAAGAATGCAATAAAGACAGGCAGAGAAAGACAGTGAAAAGGAAAGGAAGAGGGTGATAGAGAGAGGTAGAGTAAGGGAAATAATATACGGTGTAAATCGGTTTCTGCTGCCTGCTGGAAATGAGGGTGGGATGAGAGATACACCAAAATGTATTGAATAATAAAAGCGATTTTACAACACAGTTGAGCCTTCAATTGATATCTGCGCACAAATTGTGGGCTGAGTTAAGTAACATAAACTTGTTAAACACCTTGTAGCCATGATTGCGTTACATCTGATTAGCTTTGTCAACTCTGTGATTAAAACCTGTGAACAATCAAATAATCAATTGATAACCTGATCTTGGTTAGTAAATCAAGGGTGAAATCTTTTGGTTCATACATCAAGCCTCAACACTTATTATTAGGGAATGAAACAAACACAGATTATTATTATTTACATCAGGTTTACTTTGATTATGTCGTTCAAGAGTCATCGAGTGGTCAGCACAAATGACCTTTCATGATGTTTGTCTTTTGGATTCTGGTTTTTTGAGAGTCAACCATTTCTTGGTTGAGAAATTTTGAACTTGATTTCGACTAACAAATGAGCTTGCACCTTTTTTTCAAAAAAATATCAATCGAGGTTAAAATCAAAGTACGTTTAAGTAACTACAAAACAAACTAAATAGTGAGTTTATTAATGATCATTAATCGATTTTGATAAACTTTTCACCTGAAAGAGATAATTAGCGTAAACTTATTGTTGAGCTGATAAGACAATCATTTAACTACATAAACAAGCAAAACACCCATCATTCAACAACAAAAAATTAGAATTAAAAGTTCATAACGTTGCATTTAACTTACGGAATAATCCGATTTCATCTAATTGATTTTGAGATTCTGTCTTAAATCAATTTACTTTTCAATCAATGTAGCAATGATTGATATGTTTGATATAAGCGAAAATTTACATGAAAGTATTAAATAAACATGATAAACAACATTTTATCTGGTTAAATTCAGCTATTACAGCCTTGTAAGATTTATGTTCAGAAAAACATTTAGAATATACAATGTAAACATGATGATCTGAATGGAAAGTATTTAGTGGTTTATATCATCGTTTGATAAGTGGCTGAGAGATTCAATTTGAAATGGCGTGAATTTCACCAATACTAAAAATAGGCAACTTTCCAAAGACATTATTAGAAAATGATTATCCACTATTTTCAATTGAATTAACGTCTTTTAGTTGTGGCGTAGCCAGCTTTCGTTTCTGTCTCAGTTTCAGTGCTAGCATATGTTTTACCAAAATTAGGGTTGTTTTGATGGGTAGACGATGAAAAGCTTTCTCGTGTATAACTAGGTCCGGCTGAATTTCTTGCGAAAAGGTAACCGAGAAGGCCTCCAGAAACAAATCCTGTACCAAAACCAGGACCATCTCCTGGACGAGTTTCTGGTCCACACGAAGGTCCACTTCCATGATCATAAGGCGGTGGGTTTCCAAAGTAGCCTGGTCTAAATCCTGGCGGTGGAGGTGGTGCAGTTGGTTCATGAGCATTTCTAGGGCTTCGGAACAGATATATTATGAAAAATAGAGCTCCAATGACAAGAATGATGATGAAGATTGATTGCGACCCAAGCTCTGAATCATCTGGTGTCATTGATTTAGGGTATGGTGGAGGGTTGAAGTTTCGTTGCCTGGGAGCACCATCAGCCACATTGATAGTGAACTCGAGGCCACAGGAACCGGCAAGAATGTAGTCATCATCAGGGTGTTCGTAGCCTTCACAATTAACTTCTAATAAACCAAACGAATACTTCTTGTCCATATCAGCCTTGCATTCCCAATTGACCGTGCGACCATCCCATCCTCGATTGTAACATTGAACGGTTTCTGGGATGAAGGAACACCTGGCTGTACCACCAACACACATCAGTTGATGCATCCGCCGCGACCGTCGGGCCTCTGTGTATTTGCCTTTCTGTAAAGTAAGTACTTGCACATCCTTTAGTTTTACTCGGTCTGATTTAGAAACAACTTGTTCGATTAAAAACAAAACGAAAAAAGATAATAAGAGTTTCATGATGAGAGTGATGAAAATTGATGTAAAATTTACTTAACACACGTATAACACCTGATCCAGACCACGTGATGTAAATGTCATTTGTTGAAACTTAAAGAAACATTGTTTCCATAAAATTACATGTTAACCATATTGATAATAAATCATTTGCTAGCTCATTCATTTGATTTTCACTGAATAGATGTCGGTTGAGAGAAAGGAATATTCCAAAAGAAAACTTTCGCACTTTAATTAGAATGATGAACGAGATGAAAGCCCTAAATTTGCAAATCAAATATTTAAGTGTTTAAGATATGTCTTGGATTAGGCATCAAGAAAAATATGCTTGTTGATGATTATTGATGATTGAAAATATTTTATTGATTCAAATTGAGTCAGTAGCAATTTAAATTGTGAGTATTATCTGTTTACATTGTAAAGTTAACAATATTTTTGGTTTCCATGAAAACAGTTAATATCATGATCAGCTGATTGACGGCTGAGATTCTCAGTCTGAGAACCAATCTTCAAACTGTTTAATTTGATAAGTTATCTCCAATTATTTCATTGGCCATTATAATTGTTGCAATTGTATTGTATTTATTTAAGTAGAAGTTACAACTGACGCATTGTCATAGTTCTTAATCATCAATAATCCATCTATTGTCTATTCATCAATTTCTATATTATTTTAATTATTCATAGAATTTAATACAATTTAAAGAAAGGTAAGATAATTTAATTATTATACTATCGATTCACTTACTCTTTGTACTTAAATCTGATCAGTGTTCACTTTACATTTCTTGCAGTTTAACAGATTAATGATCCCCTTTGGTGCATTTCGTATAGGGAAGATGTTCCTATTTATGTTCAACGTTTTTATCCTTTTTGCGGAATTTTTTATGCTGATTGGTCAAATTTACGCAATTGTATTTGAAATGTGTAAACAACTAATATTCCCTGTTAAAAGGAAATCGGTTCAAGGAAAAAAAGTTTTGATCACTGGAGCTGGTGGTTGTATCGGCAGGGAATTAGGTAAGATCATTTGACACGATTCCAGATTCTAACTGTGCAAGAATTCCTTATTAAAATTTTTTATGTTTTATAGCTATCAAATTTAGTAGACTAGGAGCAACAATAATTGTTTTGGACAGAAACAAGGTAAGGTTACATTTCTAAAAAAATTCATACATTTTTTAATAATACTCACCTTCTTTCACAGCACAAAGGTGAAGAAACAGTTGCCCAGGTCAGGCAAAGGGGTGGTATTGCTTTCTTTTTTGAAGTTGATGTCAGTAATTACGCTTGGGTTGGAGATGCTTTAGATAAAGTATATCAAACTGTTGGCCCTGTTGATATTGCGATTAATAATGCTGGTATACTTAACGCCCGACCAATCACGAGATTATCTGAGGAAATGGTTGCTGAAACAATCAAAGTTAATCTTTTGGGTCAAATGTGGGTAACAAAGCAAATCTTACCTCGAATGGTCGCAGAGAAACAAGGGCATATTGTTGCTATAGCATCTAACAGTGCAATTTTCGGGAAAACATTTTTAACCGATTACTCGTGAGTTTTATCCCATTGCTAAAATCAGTTCTATCAATCTAATTCAGTTGGAATGTGAATTTTTCTTTTATTCATTTATTCTTTTGCGATGGAATGATCTTAACTTATTGATTTACATTATTTCTCATTTACAGGTCATCAAAAGCCGGTGTCATTGGTTTTATGAGCGCTTTGGAGGAAGAATTACGTTATGAGAAGAAAGACTACATTAAATTAACCACAATCTGTCCGGCAGCAATCGACACTGGTTTATCTGCAGCTGTCGAAACTCGTTTTCCACGTCTTCTACCTATTCTTAATGTCCAGAAAGCCGCTGATATCATGATTGAAAATATCCTGAGAGAAGAGCCTTTCGTTATCATGCCTCTTGGCTACAAAATACTCTATTACATTCTAAGGTAACAGTTCATCCTAATCTATCTCTTACAACTCATGAATTTATCATTTATATTTTTTTCATTTACAGAAATCTTCCTTACAAAATTGAAATATTGGTTCGTGATTTTATTGGTAACACCGTCGAAGCAAAACCTTGCGATTGATTGATTGTTCCCCAAAGATGAACCCGCACTAATTACAAACTCAAAAATATTCCCCAATTTATATTCCTTAAATTTCTGTTATATGTACAAATTTTTATTTTATCTCATAAGTAGAGGTCATTGCATGAAAAACTTCCAATTCTCTTATCTCGATGGTGATTAGTAAAAATTGGTAAACATGAAAAGTCCAACCAAGGGTAAAGGTTAAGATTTCCATTGAACATTTCCATCTTAATTTTTTAATCACAATTGAAACAATATAATTGTAAGTTCTTTCACGCAATACTCTTTACTAAGAAATCGATTGAAATTTTATTATTGAAAGAAACTTTCTGAAATGTTAATCAAATTTTTACTCCAATCTGTGAACATTCCGTATTTACGCATTTAACTGATTATCAAATAAATACTGAATAATTCTTTTATAATTCGCCCTTATTTTCAACTTATTTAATTCTTATATTCTTAAAGGATGCTGTACATGTAATAACCTCAGTCGAGTAAGTTCACTCGACTTACTAGAATGTAGAAAAAGAGAAAGATGATATTAAGGATAAAGAAACGATAAAAATAACGTTGACACAACATTTGAATCGTCATATAGACATGATCAACTTTATATTAATTATCTCATTCTCATTCTTTTAATTCTAAGCGATTACTTGAGCCTTATTAACTGCAAAATTTTATATTCCCGGTGAAATCGGAATTTTCTTGTTTCAAAAAAATGAAGAGAAGCGCCAAATGAGAAGTTGTCTTGGAAACCAACAATTGCCTTTTTTAATGACTCATTGATAAGGTGATATAAAAACAATTTTTTGTTCAATTGTAATTATTTTTTAGTGTTACTGTGTATGATTTTATTTTTAAGTGTCCAGCAAAATGATTACTGGCAACATGATGGGCAAAGTTAAATCTTTCAATATTGGTAAAAAACAGCTGACAAAAAAGGAGCTGGAAAAACAAAAGAAAGAACAAGAGGAGAAAGATGCAGCCAAGGTATATCAGGAATTTGTTGAAACTTTTGAGAAACCTGCAGCCGCTGGCCAGGTATTTGTACTTGGCTCTGTTATGAATTCTGGCCATGAAGAAGGAAAGGATTCCTCGAAAGTATACAAGCCAACCAAATTGCAAGAATTGAGTGATAAAAAGAAAATGAATACAATGCATTATGGAAGTGCTCCTACTTCTAGTGCATCTTCACCAAAAATGGAGAAGCTGGTGAGATCTTCTTGCTTTATATTTTCATTATTCACATCGTTCTCTGTTATAATTATTTTTATGGTGTTTTTTTTATTTTCAGGGTAAAAAGAAAGAGAAGGAAAAAAAGAAGAGTAATCTTGAACTTTTCAAAGAAGAATTGAGACAACTTCAAGAGGAAAGAGAAGAAAGACTTCGATTGAAAATGTTGATGAAAAAAGAGGGCAAAAAAGAGATCGATCCTATAGTCACTAGTAAAATAGATGACTACAGAGGAGCCAATTTTGGCTCATATGACACTGGCGATCCAAACACTACCAATATATACCTCGGAAACATTAATCCAAAAATGTCAGAGAAGGAATTGATGGAAGTATTTGGTGAATATGGACCTTTAGCTAGTGTAAAAATTATGTGGCCAAGATCAGAGGAAGAACGAGCTCGAAATCGTAACTGTGGTTTTGTTGCTTTTATGAACAGAAAGGATGGAGAACGAGCTATAAAAGCGTTAAATGGCAAAGAGATTCAAAAATATGAAATGAAATTAGGCTGGGGAAAAGCTATACCTATTCCTCCTCACCCTATTTATATCCCACCTAAGTTAATGGAATTAACTATGCCTCCACCTCCATCAGGGCTTCCATTTAATGCTCAACCAGATCCTGCTGATTTTGACAAACTTCCTCCTCCAGGAGTTGCTTATCCTATGGCAACTCCTCAAGATAGAGAAAACTTTGAAAAAATATTAGCAAATGCCACAGTAAAAGTAGTCATACCAACTGACCGAGCTCTGTTATGTCTTATCCATCGTATGGTTGAGTTCGTTGTAAAAGAAGGGCCAATGTTTGAAGCAATGATTATGATTAGGGAAATCAACAATCCAATGTTTAGATTTTTATTTGAAAATCAAAGTCCTGCACATATTTATTATCGTTGGAGACTTTTCTCAGTACTTCAAGGCGAACATCCAAGTAAATGGAGAGAGGAAGAATTTTATTTATTCAAGGGAGGCTCTAAATGGAAACCTCCACCATTGAATCCTTATCTCTCAGGAATGCCTGAACATCTAATAGAGAAATCACCTGAAAGAGAAGTTGAAGAAGATCACCAGAGAAAAACTTGGAGAAGATCAAGATCCAGATCGAGAGAACATGATTCAACTAATCGAGGTTTTAAAGAATTCAAAGGAAAAAGCCAAAAGAAAGGTATCCTTACGGATACTCAAAGAGAAGACTTGGAAGATATTCTTAGAAATTTGACTCCTGAGCGATCTAAAATCTCTCATGCTATGGTTTATTGTATTGAACATGCTGATGCTGCTGAAGAAATCGTAGATTGTATTTCTGAATCATTAGCATTAATAGAAACACCTCTGCATAAAAAAATAGCTAGACTTTACTTAATATCAGATATCTTGCATAATTGCTGTGTGAAAGTTTCCAATGCATCTTATTATAGAAAAGGGTAAGTATTTATTTTAGTTAATCAACTTACCAATCAAATGAACGCTATACACTCATGTTTGGGGGAAAAATGTTACTTACCTTTTAATGTTTCATCTTGATGATATAATTTAGATTTCAGTCTCGTTTAACCACCATCTTTTTCGATATTCATCAATGTTTCAATGCAATAGAAGGGCGACTTAAAGCTGAACAATTTAAGGTAATAATTTTCTTATTTCTGCCAAGTTTGTTTTATAGTCGATAACGTGGTTTATGTTTTTCAGCACCGAGTGATGAATTGTTTCAAAGCCTGGGAAGATTGGGCTATTTACACAAGTGATTTTCTTATCAAACTTCAAAATATATTTTTAGGTTTAAGCCCTCGAGAGTCTGTAAGTAATTTTAATGTTCATAGTGTTACTTTTATTTCTTTTTGTTTCGAATTATTCTTTGCTTTGGAAAATGCTCCTTTCATTATCAATATATTAATTACGTGAGATGTGTTCAATTTACAGTCTACGGAGAGAAAAGCAGACGACAGCAATGATATCGATGATATCGATGGAATCCCTGTCGAAGATTCCGACATCGATGGTATTCCTATTGATACTATTGATGGTACACCTTTTGAGAGTACAAGTAACATTACAATCAAATTCAAACCATCAAAATGGGAAACAGTAGACCCCGATTTAGAGGAATCGCAAAGTAGTCTTCATGGCTTAGATAGTGTAAATAGAAGAAAAAGATTGAAATTAAGTACCAAACCTTACAATTTGGATAATTGTAGGAGTTAGATGACGGTCAAAATGAAATGTTCACAAATACCTGGAGCTTGCAAAACGGTAAACCTGATTTAATCAATTTAAAGGCTAATTCTCAATTCCATTAAACTATAGTTTTTCATTTGAAAATTATCAATGGTTGAACATTGAAACTAAATACTGGGATTGAGATTTAAGGTTTTTCTAGGTCCACTACCATCTGGCATCTCCGGGTAAACGCTTGATTGAAGGTTGGTTTCAATTTTTTTTCTAAGCGTGAATTTGTTAATTTAAAATTTGTTTGAACTTATACATTTGACATTCATTTTCCAAATTCACAAATATAAATAACTAAATGATTTACAATGTATCTTCAAATTATGTACATTTCTTTTAAAAATGATGATTCTTTTTCTTTCTCAATGCTTTCATTAGGATTCCCTTTCGGTATTCCTTATTTATACAAAATCGCGTATCAAGTCAATTAAACTTACAATTTGCATAAGCATAAGTATTTATATTACAATTAAAATAATAATTAGAGTGACAGCTTTTGATGATCACAAAATAAGATAGTCAGATATTGTTAAACAGATGATTTGAGGAGCAATGTTGATTAAGCTGTGATGTGGATGAATGTATTTCTTTGGAGATAATCAACGTTTACAATTAAACCGATAATAATAGTTAGTAATTATAGTTTCAAGATCAACTCTTTTGCATGTCCAAGATATGTTTATCCGTCAATGTCATCAATCGATGTCTTAGTTTAAGATTACGTGAACGGACATGTTTATTTACAATCTCTTGAGTGCATGAAGCCGGGAACCAACCTCGGGCACCATCTCGTATCCTTTCCCCTTCATACCAATCTGTAAACATAATAAAATTAAATAAATTAATTGTTTCAACAATGAGACACAATAATATAACCAGGAAAATTTACCATTTGTTTTACGGAAAACATTAACGACATCAGATTTTTCCAAGCTCAGCTCATCTGGTTGTTGCGCTGTATACTGTCTTTCACAAATAACTTGAGGGCAATCTGTAAGGTAAGAGATAAATTATGATTCATTGATTATTTCGTTATTTTTATATTACGTATTATTTCGTATCAGAGTTTAAGTTACTTACCCCATTCTTCGTAAATCTTTTCATTTGGTTTGTCCGATTTCGGTGGTTCAATAGCCTCAATGAATCTGATTTTATCAGTTCTAGAATGGAAAAGAATAAAATTAGATAAATTATGATTGATTGCTTGAAACATATCGAGTTTAATGCGCCTCCAATGTTTTTGTTGTTGTCCTTCAACTCATAGATAAAACGAAGACAATTTGTGATGATTAAGAGGCAATCATGATTCAATGAAAATCAAGGTTACAATGATTTGAATTAGGATAATAAAATTACTCAATATTGAAAGTTAATATTTTCAAAGGTAAGTTAACTTGCAGCAAATGGTTTGAATGATCACAATCAAATATAATATAAGATGAAAACAAACTGATGCTTACAGACAGTGGAACAATTGAATCAAGGTTAACCTAAATTGTCCTTTTGTCCATTATGAAAATTCTGGATTCTGTCAGATAATTATCAATGTTATCTAATGGTTATTGAATGAACTCTCTATTGACTGGGTCAAAATCAAGATGAAATATTGATGACTGTCTCATTGTAGTTTGATCAATAAATCTTACTAATAATTATATGAATATTAAGCTTGATTAGAGGTTATTTGTTTGAAAGTTGAAATAGTTGGTCGATAACAAACACTTCATTTCATTGATTGTCAAGCAAATTGCAACAGGCTTGAGTTAAATAATGTATTTGACTAGCAAAATCAATCAATCAGTTGAAGTTATTAAACTACTTTAATGAAGTAATGATGCAAACAAAAGTATCAACAATTGATTGGGATGGAAGATTTTAAGCGGATGAAATAAATACGGTTCACAGATTACTGTTAATCGTAAAAGGAAACTTGATGATATCAAGGAAATGAGTAAATTAACAATCAAACAAAGCAATGATCTTCAGTTTATCGTTGTTTAATTGTGACTAACAAAACTTAAAAGTGAAAGAGTGAAACTCAAAAGGCAAAACAAACAATGAGACTTGTTTAACAAAAAGATGAAGCTATTTTTGCTAAGCATAAGTGTTTTTTATCATCAATTTTCATATTTTCATTTTGAATAAGATATTTCTTCCGGTCATGATTACAGGTTAACAATTGAAACTGATCGAAGGGTAATCATGAAATAAAATGCGGTATTGAATTTTGACACAGATATAAATGATCATTTGAATCTTTAACTGTATAAGATGCAATTATGAATAAGTCTAGATCAAGATATGGTATTTTATTACATTAAAATGAAAGCTTTTCCAATCAGTGACTATAAGATATAAAGAATGATAAATTAGTCGATTGGTCTTCATGTTTGAAATGGTTATTAATTATCTGAGTCGGGTTATAATGAGGTGGATACGGAAAAAAGGGTGAAAAATAAGCTGTGAGTGACCCAAACATTAAATTACGTGATGGTAAATTTTAATCTTTGAATCTAACCTTTTGTTGGTGAAAGATGGAGTCAATAGGATGTAAGACAACTTATTTAGTGTATGTGAAGGAATCTACATGAAAATGATGATAACAATTGATGAAATGTTGAAACTCTTTTTCTCCAAAAGTACATCATGTTGATGCGCATATGAAAGGTGAAGATGATGATTAATTTGAAAAGCGAGAAGCTGAACAAACACTTGAAGGTCAATCTCATAAGTTATGAGAATCATTTGAAAACAAGTAAAATCTATTTCTGGATTTAGAGGCTGTCAAAGTTAATTTAAAATTAAATTTTTAACTCAATCAAGTCATTTGCTCTTTAACTCAGCAAAATGCAATGAATCAATTTTTGCCTTTTCCCTCCTTGACTTATATTCATGGTTGGGTTTTAATGATGATGGTGAAAATTGCTGAAACTTGGAGTTTATAATTTTCTATGGAAATGTAGCAAATTAAATGAATATGCAAATAGTGATAAACTATCGAATAAAGAATGGCCTTTCTTTTTTCTTCCTGGATGTTCTTGCATCTTAATTACTTTCATTTCATGTTTAATTTGGCTTGCCAATTATAACATATAAAAACATTTCCATATTTTTTTTCTGCGATCAGTAAAGGTTTTAATCAACAAAAACCTTGGCAACTGATGACTTGTTGAGGGCATTGGAAAGCAAGAAAAAACTGAAAACTCTAAACTGAACTTACTCAGTTGGAAAGGCGATATAATATTCACTGGTTCGTCTTGCATGATTTTTGAGAAAAGTCAATTGAATCAGGTTTTCTAGGCTTGATTTCATGCCTATTGGAGGAGTTATCTCTTCACCTGGAACATCCATGGAACGCACAGTTAGACAGTTTCTTTCACAATAATCATTTACAGAATAATAGATTTCACTGGAAATCAAAAGGAAGAATGAAAGAAATAAAAGAAAAAGATTATTGATTAGATTTGGATTGTAATTGAGAGATTATCACGAGTACTCTTTGCTTACCTTTTCTTTGAGGCAATCAAAAGAAGATCATTGAAAAGGTATAAATGGAGGGGAGATTTTTTCCACAATGGATTCCTGCCGCGAGCGGGTATTATTGAGCTGGATGTTTGCTTCAATCTGACAACTTCATCTTTTTTCATCAGGTATCTTGATTCACTAATGAGTGGGAAATATTTTACTTTATCAAAATTTAAAATACTATCCAAATCAATCAGCTCTTGAAGTCTTTCCGTTTTCTTGGCTTCCTCGTTACAATCATTGACAACCGTGTAAAGAGCAGCCAACGTTTTTTGACACATCTCATATTTATCCGTTTCTGTAGGGGCTCGATGGTTGAGTATTGCTTCAACTAGAAGTGGATATCGAGTTATCCGTTGCATGGGCAACAATAAGAAAGAGGTTAAAGCAAGTCCATGGCATTTTGGATTTGTTTCCAATTGTTTCAATGAGGCAGCAAATTTGGGTTGTTTCTGTAATGTTTTCAATGTTTTCTCTTGCTTTTTACAAAAACGTAAATATTTAACGTAATCTTCAAACTCGGAAGTTGCATAACGAAGTAAAATATCGCAAACATCGGATATAACTACATTTGTTTGCCAACGATCATCTAAATCTTTCATTAGTCGACGAGTAATTTCAAAAACAGATTCAATGTTGGAAAAAAGGTCACTTCGATCATGTGAGTTGAGAATTTCAGGGTTAGAAAATTCATCACTTTTCATGAAATGATTGACTAGAATGTCTAAACTTTTAAGGTAAGAAGCTTCAGAGGTGATAACTTCAAACATGGCCTCTTGATGTTTCCTTTCTTTGGGTGTTAATTTAGCTGCAACACCAGCTTCCTTGACTTGCGGAACCTCACACCATAACTGACGATTACCATTTTTGCCAACTAAATCAATTGCTGAAATATGAGGAGTAGCTGATGTTGTCGATACAATTGATGAAGTAACTGAATCTGTTGGAGTGCTCCCGTCATCCAATTCACATGAGCTACAAGCACACTTGGAAACACCATCCAATTCAGCATAAATGGCATCCAATGGATCAGCTTCTTCTTGAGAATCATCGCCTAAACCACTGGCCCAAAGGATTCGATTATGTTTAACTTGTTCATCATACAACTGATATAAAGGTTGCTCAGCGGTTGATGAAAAAAAGCCTCTCGTTTCTTTGAATTCCATGTACCCCTCATATTCATGAGTTTCATACCGAGATTCTGGATGAATTAAACCTTCTCGGTAAAGATCATTAATATTGGGTTTCTTTTGATCAGCTGGATTTATAGCCTCAACATAATCAGATGACTTTTTACTAACTAATGAGAGTCGATTGGAATGAAGAAAACTGCTGTTTTTCATCAGAGTTTCCGATTGATGTAACCGGGAATGGTATTCTGAACGTTTCATTTCTCTTTGAATGGTTTCTCTTAAAGAAGGTGAAGATGACTCAAGGATAGAGTCCATCAAAGAGCCTGATAAGAGAATTTTATTTTCCATTATGGAAGGAAAGTTTGCATAGCCTCCAGAATTAGACTCTTGAGAGGACTTAATTGTCGTCCTAGGTGTTATCTTTGGGGGAACTTGAGATGATGAACAGCTGGTATTCCTGATGCTTTCCAAAGATGAACTAGACTCACAACTTTTCAATGTTACTATTCCTGATGAAAATTCATCTGAACTTTTATCACGACTTTCTGAAGCATTGGAGCCATTTCTTGAAACTGAGGAACAGCTTAAGGTTGAAGGAGTTCTAGACATAGAAGCACCAGAACTATTAGTACTGTTGGTATCTTCTTTAGCATTACGATCACCATTGGGAGACATGTTTTCCAATTCTTTCAGTAATTTGCTCAACGCTTCACTTTTATCTAGAGTCAATTCGTCAGATAGATTGTTGTAATAAATACTATCATAAATATGATCAGCACCGTAACAATCGTCTTTATTGTCCCATTGATTTGATAAATAAGTATCCAAGGCAGTTAAACTGAGGCCACAGTTAGTCGATATGGGATTAAAGATATTAGCTGTTGTAGTGAAAGTGTTGCTGTTTCCTTGTTTACTGGCTTCTGGCCAACGAGGTGGTAAAGGTGGTGGCAGGATAGAGTGGTTACTTGGAATCACACTGTTTGACCTATTTGAGGATGATGTAGACGATGAAAGAGTTGAAGCTTCATGTACACCAGACGAGTAAGAGCCCGAGTCACTGTAAGTAAGAGATGAATTTTCACTAGCTAAGGAAAGATTGTCATCATAATCATGTATTATGGTACGATTATCACGATTTATTGCTGATAAATTGTTTGAAGGTAAACTTCGGTTGACACTAGAATTTAAATTAGAAATATTGACTGCTGGAGTTGTTGAATAGCTGACAGGTTCATAAATTGGTTCATCTATGCCAATGGTACTCTCTCTGTTGTTACTTTCTTTACCACATTGGTTAGACTCGTTAGGAAGATTATCTTTCCTCTCCTTTACATTAGCAGTTGAAGATGGTAATGTACAACTGGTTCCTGCTAACCGATTAAAGTTATGATTATTGTTGCTCCATAAGAAACTTGGCGTCTTTTTAATTTCTTCAGATGTTAAGGATACAAGTTTAGTTGACGATGACAAGGTTGATAATGATGATGATAAGCAAGATGAGTCTTTTAGTGTCTCATGGTTTCCCTCAATTTTGTCATTCTTATTAAATTTGCATGTGTTGGATTCCTTATTTAGCTCATGACCATGTCTTGAGAGTGAAGAAGAAGAGAGAAAAGTGGTTGATGATGATGTTGACACCAAAGTATTCAATGTTGCAGTGGTTTTTGGTGATGATGAAGATGATGACTTCACTCCTTTAGTCATATAACAATCTTGGTTATTTGATATTTTTCTTGGTGCTGGTATGGGAACCTTATCACTTTTACCTGAATCCTTAAGTAAATTACTAGGTAAGGCATGATTGGAATCTGAAGATAGACTCAACGTATTTTGATTATCATTATTTTCATTAATGTTTACAGCTGATAGTGAGCCATTGTGTAAAAATGTCGCTCCGGGCAGAGTTTTCCTTCTCGATGAAATCACTGGTTTGGTTGACTGTTGATCAGAAATTGATCGATTAATTTTAGCTCCTGATTGATGTATACTATCAACTGTTGACGCTTTAATGCATTCAAGGCGAAGGATAGTTTCTTTAACAGAAACAATTTTCTCTTCCTCATTTTCATTACGGATTGATTTAACATCAGTCAAACTGGACAATGAGGAGGAAGATGGAGAAGATATTGAATTGTTTGATGTAAATTTTGATTTTTTACATTTTTCCGATTGTTCAGAAAAATTACACTCAGATGATTGTTTAACAACTGTAAATAATGAAGTTGTAGAAGACGATGTAGACGAAGAAGTGGTTATCATCTTGTTAAACTCGCGAAGGTCACTTTTACTTTTACATGCTTTTGATTCATTGAAAGTACCACTGTTTAAACTGGTAGTTGATCCACTTTGGTTAACACCGGAATCAAATTTAGACGCAATTTTGGCTATACGTGAATTACTTTTCATCCTGACGCTTTGTTCCAGATGAACCTTGCCAGAACTACACATCCTTTCAATCGGATAATTACCATGGTTTTCAAGAGAGTAGGAGGATGATAATGGTGATAACGAAGTTGCTGTTGTTGATGTTAATCGATCAGTTGAAAAACTGTTGGGTCGATCAGTGTATGAACCATTGGTTAAAGTAGATGATGTTGAATGAGAAGAGGAAGAATATGATGAGGTTGATGAGGATGATGAGTTTGATTTCAAAGATGATGTTGAGTAGCGATTGTTGCATTTATTTGTTTCATTATTGGTTGATTGTAATGGAAACATTTTTTTATCCATAGTTGCTGTTGACGATGAAGAAGAAGACGAGAATGATGGCGTTAATGATATTGAACGAGCTTTTCCACAATTATTGGCTGATAATAGAGTCAAATTACTTAATGATAGGGAAGGTGTTAAATTTGATGTTGATGTTGGATAAGTTTTACGTCGAAGTTGTGGAGAAGAGTAAGTTACTATTTCAGTTTTATCCTTATTCTCACTGCTATTACCATTATTCGAGTCATTATTGTTGCTTGATTTTTCAAATTTTTCCTTTATAATTGACCATTTAGGTGAATCCAATAGACTGCCAACAATTCGATGTGAACTGGTCTCACCAGAATTTAAACCATGGTCAAGAGATTCACGTGAATTTGAGATTGAATTGGACCGATGAGAAGGACTTGTTGTTAAATCACTATTTAAACCATTTGGTATTGAAAATGCTCTTAAGCAATTACGAGGGTTTGGCTTGAAAATAGTTTCATCATTGAAATCATTTGAATCGCTATTTTTATTGCATGGTAAACTGTTTAACCGTGAATAGGAGCGAGTTGATTTGGGTGGCTTCAAATTACAGGTCGAAGTGGAATTGGCCTCTTTGGAAAAGCGGTTTGATTTAAAGCGAGAAACTCGAGGTTGTGGAGAGTCTTCAAGACTATTCACATAATCAACACAATCATAAGCTACTGATGATGATGAAGATGATGTTGAATCATGTAAACATTGATTGGTTTCACTTTGAAGTTTGGAAGAAACTAACTGGCTGGTGGATCGCATTCTTCTAGGTGATGATGATGGTGATGAGCTCACAAATCCAGAAGATTCAGATGGTGTTGTTGGTGATGAGGATGAATGTAGTGGAGAGGATGGTGAAGATAAACCGTGTAAGTGCGTTGAACCAATATTTATGTCAATTGGTGATGATTGAAGAGACTTTGATGTTGATGACCGTGATGGTGAGTGTTTCCAACTTCGAGGTAAAAGTGTTAGTCTCTTGATTGACTCGGATGTTAATGATGGTTCATCATCGCCGCTATTTTTCGCATGATTTGATTCACGATAAATTTGATCCCTTAAACACTTTCTTCGCCTGTTAATTTTACTATTAGTCTCGATATTGCTCTGTTGATCACTATCGCCATCACTTTTAATATTGATATTTTTATCACCAAAGTTTTCATTTTCATAATCACAGAAGTAAATTTTATTTTTCTTGGTTAAGTCTGTTTCATGCTGTGTTTCAAGCTCACGGTCAGTTAAATGTGAAATAAAATTTGGTAAAGATGACCGAATCGACTCAGGACCGGTTGTTGATCTTGATGGTGATGCTGTTGAGATTGTTGTTAAACGAGTTGAAGTTGCTGTTGTTGTTGTTGTTGATGTTGATGTTGTTGTTGAATTAGTTAAATGAAGATGACCACTCCTTGGCTTAAAGCCGTTTAACTTTAAATCAAACTCAGATAGTTTCCGGGAGAATTGTTCAATCTTGCTTGCTTGATCTGATATTTTAACCAATTGAGCTAAACAGCTATCTGATCCGGTCTTGCATTTAACAGTTAAACTTGAAATCAAATCTGTCGGTTCCATTTTTTTTGACGATGAAGAAGATGATGGTGAAGATGAGGTTGATGATGATGCCGTTGGGCTAAAAGTTTTAATCATCATTGAGTCCCTATTCTCATTTAAAATCATCTTGATGATCAACTTTTTTCTCTTCTGTTTAACATTAACCTAGGTATTTAAACCCAATTATGGATCAAGTTTAACCAATTCTCCAGCAAAACTCATTTAACGGTCCTCTTTCTTTCTAATTTTTTGATGAATGGCGATCAAGATGAAAACCAGTTTTTATGGTAAAGATGATTATAATAAGAATGAGGATACAGAATGAGGAAGAGAAAGGTTTGGTAGAATATTGAATGTAAATAAAAAAACAACAACAGAAAAAAATGATCTTATTGATGCAACAGATTCAACTGTTGTTCACCATCTTATTTTTATCAAAGCATTGTTATTGTCTAGTTTGCGTCAAATTTATATTAATTATGAATCACTAAAAGCAGGATCGGTTGATTATGATGATTGACTTTCCTCTCCTGGTTATTACATTATGACAAGTAATGCACAAAACAAAAAACAACTGACAAGATAATTGGGTTCACACAAACAATCAACCAGCGAAGACACCGATTTTGTATGGATTAAAATACGCAGAATATTGATGAAGCAAACTGTAGATGGATAATTGAATAGATTGAAGAAACATATTCAATAAGCAATTAACAACTGTACACAATGGTAATAATTGATTGAAAAAAAGGTAGCATTAAAGAAGTAAAGTAAAAAATTAACATCAATGTGACTAGATTTGCGCCCATTTGCCTTGAGACAAAAAAGTCAACACACAAAACCAGCGAACCAGAGGGAGGGGGAGATTAAATGAAGGGGTAGAAGGCGCGATATTAAGATGGCGTTAATTATTTAATAAAGTGTGTAAAGGATAAAAGAAACTTAATAAAGTGTTTAATTGCAATGTAAAGGTATTAAAATTAACTGACAATTGCAAGACAAAAAATGGCTGAGTAAAAATAAAGCGAGAAATAAATAAAGCCAAGATGACATTGGAAATGGGTAACAAAGCCCGGCTTTTACAAATTTTGCTTTCAATTTACTTTCCCTTCTCTCTTTTCTCGCCTATCATCCTTCTCATCATCAGTCTCTCCAATATCTCACCCTCTACCTTCATCTTCATCCTCATCCTTATCCGTTTTCCTCTTCTCTTTCTCTTCCAGCTTCATATTGCCATATTTTGCCTTATATTTCCTCCGGGAAATCGATGAGACTGTTGTTATTGGTGAGAATGAAGATGGTGTAAAAGAAAGGGAAAGATGATGAATAAAAGACTAAAATAATACCTGGAATATTGAACTAACCAAAATGGATGTGAATTGTTCATCTGGTAATGGCTACATGATTATGGTAAACATTGAAATGATTTCAGGTTAAACTGATTAAAATTGGAATGAAGGCCAATCTATCTCTGTACAATTAATTGGTTGCCTTAAAGGTATCAAAAAATATCTTCAAATATTGGTTTTGCTTTTAATAAACCAAATCTAAAATTACTTATTAAAAATAGTAAATTGAAAATTTATTTGATTTCAACCATTTGTTTGTTTTACTTCAATCAATAACCTTCAATCTAAATGATAATTTAGTCTTTACCCAATCATCATTTGGGTTAATTTTGCTGGACTGTGCTGGACATTTGGTACATGTTGTTTAATACAAGGTTTTACAAGGTTTTACGAGAGTAACCAGTTAACTATTATCATTGGCCTCATGTAATTAGTATCTCACTTGATCCAATTACTCTTCTTGTTGGGGTGTGTAATTAATCAGGTAACTACTTATTTAAAGCAATTTGATAATCACACCCTCACTAGTCGTTAATCATCTTGAGCTTTGATTAAACACTGATCAGTGGTCTTTCGCAAACTGAATCCCATTTTACACCATTAAGTTTAATCAAGTGAAGATATTGAAAAGATGAATTCAATTGAATTTCAGTTTCTTTTCACACTTGATTTCGCCTGGTTAATGTGTCTATTACTATTGGATTACTATTACTATTACTGTTTTGTATTTGCTCATGAATGATTTCAACAATAAACAATTGGTTTAATCAGAAAAAATCACAATTTAAAACAAAGCTTTTGTCTTTCGTCTTTATGATAATAACACAAAAGGAAGATGCATCAAACTTTGATGGAACCTTAAGATCAACATTTGAAGTTTTATCTTGCTAATGATGGGGATTCAACAATGTTTTTCAAGCTCATTGTCCCAATTTATATTAACATCGGTCATCAACAATTCATTATCACAATCATTACCAGTTTTCCTGGAAAACAGAAGAAGATAAAGAAAGATATTAATTACTTTATTATGTATGAGAGAAAGGCATCTCAGCTGTAAGGCAATATTACCCTGTAAACCCAATTTTGTCTTGCATCGAGTAGGTGGATCTGGTTAAAATGATAAATTTAACTATTTAAATTGAAATTTCAATTATGAATCCATGCCGAGGTTAAAGGTTAAACAGATTTGAACGAAAAAAAATTCAGTGTCGAGAAAAGTTCCCTGAACAGTTTAAAAATAATACATTTGCAGTCATCATAATGAACACTTGTTGTTACTCAACAAAATCTAAACATGATGTATCTATTATTATTTATGTTTTTAATTTGGATAACTGATAATTATAATTGACATCAATTAAATCAAACAAATTAAATTTATTAATTACATGAGATTGGTTAATTTGATACCAAAAAGGTAGACTTAATTTCATAAATTAATACGCACAATAAGGCCGAATGCGATGCTCTCGCGAAAAGAGTTATTTCATTACAGTTTTAGACTTACCATACCTGTGGCCATTGGATTTTAATTAAATTTAATTGTCACTGGGTGTTAACTGAGCAAAAATGAGCATAAGTTTTAAATAAATCAGTCACTTAATCAAGAAAAATTGAATTAAATTATTCTGGTTAAAAAAAATTACAACAAATTATCCTGATAGATGGTGCCATCTCTTTTTTGCCATTTGAAATAAATGTTGCTATTTTTTGTCTCGATATTATTTTATTTTTTATGATTAAGAAGACGATTTAACCAAATCAATGGCTGCAATTTTATCCTAATTTTGATAAAGATTATGCAGATTGTCAAGAAGTGGTCACTATTATTTGAATACATTATAATATAATCTTGACGTGATCTTTCAATGTTTTGCTTATGGTGTTAATGAGTGTTTGGTTAACCTCTTTTGATGCTAATTTTGTGACAGTATGAATTAATTTACAGCATTGATGAAGTACAAGTTTAATTTAAAGAGATTCATCTGGTGAGTCTGATTGCTGAACAATTTTTAAATCAACAACAGCTGTTTGGAGTTTAAGTCAATGCAAATCAAAATTATAGTCTATTTACATTGAAAAGGTTTATAAAGAAAATAATTTGAAAATTAGATTAATTTATTCTTATTAAATGTATTTAAAGACAAAATTGAAAAGCAAAATTAATTTGTAACACAAATTATAAGCCAGTTATTAGCAACAATCAAACTCTTTTATAAGTAAAATGAGTTGTAACCTTATTTTGCGTTCTTATGTTGCTATTGAGCTATCAACTTGGCAAATTGAAGTTGCCAGACTTTCTGTAAATTATATTCAAAATGTAAACAATTGTTTCAATCAGGATTAACGTTATTAACAATTTGAATAACATGATATCTTAAGTTGCAAACAGGCTTTGATCAGATTGAAATTGACAAATTTAGTTCAACAATTCATGCTAAAATTATATTTTCTTTCGTTTTTTCCAAGATTGAAAATACTGTAAACCTTAGAATCATGTTCCCAGAAGAAGAAGAAGGAATTTTCTCAATACAAAAATGCATACTTCTGAAGATCACAGAACAATTAAAAGATTAAGTTGAAACATTTTTAACACAGTAATGAAATGGAAACAGGATATCCACAGATTCAGATTCCTGGATGTTACTTTGTCCAAGCATTATTAAGGGATGTCCATGTCATGACTGATCGCTTGGATTTTGATATGAATATTGATGAATAATTATTAATATCAAACTTGAAACTGAAAGTAGATTTAATCTTTGCTTGATTAGGAACCAATGAAAAAACGAGCGACTTGAGAGGCCTGATTGTGTTTAAGATTCAAGTGAAATCACCGATGAAAGATGTCAACAATCAAAATTGTCAAAATGCTACCAGCGACACCCGTTGGCGAGATATTAAATGACTTTATACATTTTGCTTACTTTTTATTATCGCTTCGAAATTTACTTTCATCTTTAATTTTTAATCAAATTCAATTTTATTAGCTGAAATTTTGTTTAAATTTTATGTGTAAACTGTTTTGAAATTTGTTTTTTAATTAACTGTCCGTATCAAAGTACTTACACTTACAGTTAATTATTTTTACGGTCAACAAATGTAAAAGCCTTAATTTGTTACAATTTTATGTTTTTACCCTTTCAAATTGACTGCAGTAACACCTGACAATAATCAAAACACCAACAAACCAGCTTTCAATAAAGCTTTGTAATTCAACATTTTATTCAACATGACGTTCTGAGTATTAGAAATTTTAGACAATAAACTGGATAGAGTTATTGTACTTAAGATTATGTCTACTATTAATAATATACAATACATGTACGTGTCTGGTCATTACTTTTACACATATACCGGTAAATATAGATGTATTTTTCCGTATTGACGCTGAATACACGGTGCTCAAATGAGCTTTTAAACTTTGAATTTTAATTACTCGCTAACGACTGAAGCAAAATCTATGATTTTTTTCTGGATCTTCCGGACACGAAAGGAATTCGATTACCGTGATCAAAAATTCGAAAGCGCGTTTCTTAAAATTTCTGATTTTTGGCAGAAAATGCGCAAATTAGTGGTTAAACCAGATTTTAGGCAATTAAATTGAATTCTGATTTATTTTAATGAGATCCTCTGAATGAATCACTACCTTTCGAACTAAAAAAATCAATTTTTGACCCGAAAAAAGCAATATCTAAAAAAGTGGCTAAAACGACGAAACAAAAAATTGAAAAAATAGGTGACCATTTTGTTAACTTTTTCTCCTTGTTATCACTAAACAGAAATATCATTTTGGAAAATTAAATTAATTAAAATCCTTTTAACCCTAGAAATTATCAATAAAAAAAAATTTAAAAAAATAGTTGAATTAAAAAAGTTACAGAACTTTAAACTTTAAGAAGCCATTTGAGCACCGTGTATAAAGATTAGTTGAAGAATCGAAAAGGTGAGTACAATAACGTATAATAACAGACAATATTTTTTATCGCAAGCATCGTATTGTTTTAGTTAACATAAGACATTGAGACGAGTTTGAGATTTATAAAGGTAACGGAAATTGAGTCTGAAAAAGGCAATAACATTTTTGGGTTTAATTTTTTCCTGTGTGACAGTCAATCCAGTCTTTAAAGCCAATCCTTAAAATGAAAAATAGCCTGAATCATTCAGGCCCTTTAGGTACTTGAAAGTAAGATTGTAAAGCTTGGATGAAACTGCTTTGTTTATTTTCATGAAAATTTATTGGAATCGAGGTAATGTCTTGCACTTATCAAGGACTGACATGCATTCCAGCAACCAACTCAGCGCCTTTCTTATTCAAAACCCAAAAAAATACTGATTCTTCATCACATTAAAGCACTAAACAAGCGCTTCAAACCGATCGAGAGTAGTATAGATGTTGAGTAACAAAAGTGTCGACACTATTGATATCAAGAGTAAGATTGAAACGGTAATGGTCTGATATATCGTCCAACTATCAACTTGCTGCTTGGAATCAATGCTTAAATTTGGGCCTCGTTGGTGGCCCTCTGACCTTCATTTAAACGCCATCCTTATTAGTTTTAATCAACTTTCATCTGAAATGATAAAGTATATTTGGTAATACTCATCAATAGTGGACTAAACAAGTTTTGCAGTCTTTCAGAGTTGGTTAGTTGGTTGATTAGTGTCAGAGCTGAAGTTGAATCTGTGTGTTGATTCATCATCACCATTTGATGATCATTTTCACCAATCAAACCGAAAACATCATTAAATGCAATTAAATCTCAAATGAGTCCGCAATCCAAATCAAAAATGGAAACAAGCCTCAATCCTTCTACATTTTTCATAATCAAATTTTGCGAAATAATTTAATTTTCGCTTTTTTTCTTTAATGGACTCATTATAAACTCTTTCTGGTTGATTCTTATAATTTTGATTCTAATTAAGATTATATTTTGGGCTTGATGATTGGGTTTAACTAGTAAGAAGAGCATCAAATTGGTAAAACATCATAACTCAAACCAAAATCAATAATGAAGCAAATCAGTTTGTATAATTTTTGCTGAGAAAGTAAATTAAATTTTACCGATATAAATAGCAATCAATACATTGTAACTCTAATACTGTTATACTCTTCAAATTGTGATTGGAAACATCAAGAGTCTGTTTTAAGGAAAGTGCTGTTTATCAAGTATTTTGGTCAATAATTATATGACCATTAGCATAATTAAAATAATTGGAAGGTATTTTTTGTATTGAACTTTCATCTCTTATTTTTGATATTTTATAATCAGCTACTCTTGTGTTTAAACATTCATCTAATAAGACATCAATCAATTTAAACCATCAGCTAAACCATTTCAATCAAAAAAGTCAACACACACCTTGAGTTTAATAAATTTGATTGTAGGAAGTCACAATTATGGGCTTCTCTTAAACCCACTTTACACTTTAATCTCAATTTTGCTAATAATTTGACCTCCATCTAATGGCTATCTAATGTTGATTAACTTGCCTCCTTGTATTAGCTTCAATTCAATTGTATCTTTAATCAATTACTTTGAAAATTCAACTTTCAAACATCACTCCTTATAATGAGAAGCTCAACAAAAACGATGAAATTGAAAGGCTTTTTTTCATGTAAAATTCAATATCATAATTAACTGGATTGATAGATTGTCAAACGTATAAATGTTTACCTTTATCAAAGTGAAAAGGGATTGATGATTGACATTGTTTGCTTTTTTGGTTGACTTTTTGATTGATTCAGTGAGTAGATGATAATGATGACATGAAGGAAAGATGATCAAGTTTAAATCAAGAAAAGGTCAACATGATCTAAACCTTGAAATGAGCAAAAAAGCGATGATAAAAAGACAGATAAAAGGTGATGTGAAAAGATGATGTGAAGATGTAACTGAAAAAGCTAATAAAATTGTCATCTATTTGATTTCTCAATTTAAGTCGCTTTTGGCATCTCAACAGTTGTTGGGTTAATTTCAAAGATGAAATGCTATTGATTAAACAAATTAATATGTAGCCAAATTCAGGACAAGGACTGGACGTTGGATTGTTGAAGGTTATCAAAATGATTCTCTGGTCAATCAGCAATCTCCTGCAATATCCAATCAACATTAAGATTTTTCATTTCATTGTTCCGTTCCATATTTATCGATTCTATTGTTTTGCTGATTCAAGTATTTATGCATTGATATTGTATCTCATGTAACCCAAATGTTTTGTAAAATCATCTTTCGTTGTTTTGATTATATCTTTGCGATCCTTCAGGTTGGAATAGTTCAAAACTGATAGTAAAATTGGACGCACTTGTGAAAGTTATTGCAGCTATAAGGAAAAAAACAAAAAGTGTTAACTAAAATATCAGCGAAAAAGGTAATTTAAAGTAATTACGTTACATGTTTCGGTTCCCAGAGAGTAATCATTACGATAACAGTTATAACTTCCGTGGCCAACATAACAGGCTGGATCGGAAACAGAAAATTGCATGGCATCAGGAAGATCCAGATGAACATTCAGAAGCCAAATGGAACATAAAAGGCTTGATAAAGTTGACAATGTTGCTGATTCTTTCAATTAATTTTTGTTGACAGTTTCATCCTCATTTTCCCATGTCAGGACAATTGTAGTGTTGATTGTGACACCAATTAACTCAACATTACGTTGACTTAAAAGTCTCAAGAACTGATGATTTTCTAGTAAAATTTCAGGTGATTCAATTGAGAATTGCATCGATATAATTGTCATTAAAATGACATTCATTGTAGGGTAAACGTCCAACTCAAACTGGAATGTTTCCAAGCTGTGTCCATTGAAATTGCGTCCAAACAGCACAAAGATCAGAGTAAAAAACTAAAGAATCAATTTATCAACTATTTCCATGACTGAGTGCTCATTGTTATTACGAGCAATTAAGATCCATTTTCAGAAAAATGGTCAAAATAGTGATTAAGCATTCGCATCTCAATGCTTATACAAAAAATCCGTTCAACTGTAAGCGATTAATTTCAGCAATTGTATGTAGATCAATATGGACAGATTAAGGGTAAATTGAATTAATGTTTACAGTATTTTTAACATCCATCATTCCAGTCATCTTCATTAATGTGATTGTACCTTGAAATATAATAAATATAAGGAAAGATAATGATGAAAAATAGTATTAGAATGATAATCATGTTATTTGTTGATATTATTGTTTGTAATGTTGATTGCTTGTTAAGATTTTTACAACCACAATACAAATCATGTCTCAATTGAATCACAATCACCAACATGAGACACCTTTTTTTAAAAAACCTTTAACTCATTTTTTTGGTATAATTTTGAATGGTTCAACAATTTGAAGGTATTATTATTATATGTATTTAAGTATTATTACAAATCTTAATAAAGATGGATTCATTTTTTTCTGTTGAAACTTTTCTGTTCTCTTTCCATACAGATTATCATTACTTTTGTTGCTCTCTGCTTGACTCGTTCATTTACTTCATCTGCTAATTGTTTTAAAGGTTAGCAATACATTCAAATGATAATGTAATGTTGGTAATAATAACAATCGAGTAATCACCACCAAAGTTAATCATATTAACCATCTTAAAATCAATAAAACAATCAGCAAGACGATCAGCGAGACAAACCAGTAAAAATGGGAAAGTACAACATGTAACAAATATTTACTGTTGGTAAAAATAGATTCAATTGAGGGTTCAAATCAATTGTTAACCACATTTCACTGATAGCTCATAATTTCAAGAGCAAATATGTAATTAAAACTTTACAATTAAATCTAAAAGTCAGGGAACAGAAAACATTGCAACATTACAAATTGTGATTAACTTACACTTTGGTTCAGTCTTGTTTGGTGTTTTCAAAATTGTTAATGTTGTTGTTGGGCTTTACTTGGGCTGCTAAATTGCTTGTTAAATGATAATGATTAACATTTAATGATTTTCTTTTGGTTTGATGACTTTGGTGTTGGACCACAATTTTAGCAGCAACAATCATCAGGACACATTATGAGAGTTTACTTTTGCCATCATTAAAACCGTAATAACATCTACATCTTGTGAATAATGTTGCTTTCAGGTGAAATTTCACATGACAATCCATAAAATGATCAGAATCGCGTTTGTCTGCAAAAAAATGGAAAGTGAAGTGTTTATTCAATCAGTATTAATACATTACTAATGCTACTATTGTTGTTGGTGTTGTGATGATGATGAAGTGATGAACTGCATATTAAATTGTTATTGCACAGTTTGTTTAAAGGTTTAATGATAAAGATTTTTTAAACACCAAAAAAGCTTTGTACATTTATTTTTAGCGTTTAAAACGTTCAAGATGAAAAGTAGACAATTAAGTTGTTGAACAGATTGCTGTTTGTTGAGTGTAAAGCTTTCTCGCCAAGTTAAATAAACTGATAGCTAAATCATTATTACAGCACCAGCAAAATATAAAATAATAACATTAATAACAATAATTTTCACCTTATCCGTTAGATTGATATTATAAACTTATATAATAAGATCTAATGATAAGTATGAAAATAGTGAAATAACAGCTTTCTTGGATGTCTTTAGATTAAATAATCATTATTATTATTGTTTACCTTTTTTTCTGGCTTTTTTCTTCTTCATTTTCTACCTGTTTGTTATTATTATCACTGACAATTTCATGTTATTTGAGTATCTGAAGGAAGGGTCAGTAGGATTTTAAATGGCGAACCAGGCAGAGAAGAAGAAAAGGTTATTCTTATTCATGAAATTCAAGCAAGAATAAAAAAAGTCTCTTTTCGTCCTACATTGAAGTTTCTTTTTTCCTCTTTATCCTTGATTATTTTCAATTGTTACTGGCCATTAATGATCCCTTACCATCCAATGAATTAAATTAGGTTGACTTGTTTAAGATAATGGTAAGAAAGATGACGATGTTGATAATGATGGCAGTCTGGTTGGGCGTCCAGATGACATTGATTAGTTAGACCAAAGAGCCTGTTGATGCGTAACTCAACAATCAATGCCAAGTTTTTCCTACCAACTTCATCAACTTTCATGCACTGAACAACAAAAATGTGAGAAAACAATACAAAAAAAATAGCTTAAGAATACAAGATTTACAGAGATTGGATTAATCTTTTATTATAAAACTTACTTGATCATGAATCATAACCGTCAGACGATCACAAAAATGAAATCCAACGTGGTTGAATGGTTAAAGGAAGCTTCCATAAATTGACTATAATAGGTTCTAAATGGCGAGCCACAAATTGAGTATTTTTTTATCAAATCAACTGAAAAAACCATATTATTTAGTTGTCAAAAATAATAATGCATAGCACAAGAATAAAAAAATACCAACAGCAATAGTAAAATCTACAGCAATAGCCTTTATAACAAGCTAAACTTAGAGCTTTTTTCAGGAAATAAATTGCCCGCTTTATTTGAATTAATAAACGATTGTTATTAGGTTTACCTAATAACCTTGCTTTTTCTAGATTACCTTGACCTAGTGTCGTAAAGGTTATCGGAAACGAAGCATGACAAGATTAAGGATGAAAAAAGATGAAGATGAGGAAGAGTAGGAGTAGAAGGAATAAAAATAAGCAGAAGATGTTTACATAATGATGTTGTGATGGCGGTTGTGTTGTTGTTCAAGTCATCTTGGTTGCGTGTTTATGGTAAATTATTAATACATTAACATTGTATTCTGGTCAAGATGATTACATGAAATGAAAAAGGTTCCCTTCATGTGATCAACTAATGAATATTTTAAAGATTATGGATTAGATTACTGGACCATAATGGAAATTTAAGATTGTAATGGTAAAAACAAAATGTCAGACGAAACAAAAAGCGAGATCCAAGTGAGTATAGTTTTATATTTTATCATTAATTATTCCAACTTTACTTATCCTTTGTTTATGTTTTATGTTCCCCACCTCCTTTAGCACATCTCTCCCTCTCTCTATCCGTTCATCTTATCTTAACACCATTACGAAAATATGAAACAAGAAGGAAAGATTCTACAAAAACCAATGTTAAAGTGTATACAGTGCAAGTGTACAGCAAACCTGTCTGTCCATTAAGAAACTGGTTTCTTCCAAAAACTTCATCTTTTCATCATCATCACCACCACCGCCACCATCTTCATCATCATCTTCCCTTGCTCTCCTGTCTTTTCATTTCATCCTTCTTTTCACAACACAAAACAAGAAAACTGTTCTTTTGCTTCTTCTGTTTGTACATTTCATTTTCTCAGCCCTCAACCTTTTTACAGTACTTTTTGATACTTGTTAACTCATTGCTACATCCTAATCATCATCTTCATCATCATCTTTTGCTTCCCTCGAAAAAAAAGGTAAACAGAAAGAGAAGATATCGTCTCATGTTTAAAAGTATTGGTCATGAGTACGATAACCTCCTAATTCAAGCTTCAAACTCTCTCCCTCCCTCCTTCATTCCCTCTCTCTCTCTCTTTCTGCCGTGATCTTCCTCTTCTCTCCTCCATTCCTCTCATCATTATCATCTTCTTCTCCCTCTATTGCTTCTCCCGCTCAACGAATTTCATTTCTTATTCTCAGCCAAATGATTTGTTGTTGATGTTGTTGGGTACAGGTCTAAGTTGGTTGTATTAGTGACCTCCATATTCCGTTCCGTTATTCTTATTTTCCAACTTTTGCCCCTCTTTTAGTAACCCTAATCATCCTCATCAGCATATTCATAACTAACATCACTGTCACCGTCATGTGTCCATGAGAAACTTGAGAAATGTATTGAATCCACCGAGTAACCAGAAACTTTTATACAAATCATATGTTTCCATTTGGTTAATTTTAGTCTTGTTTTTACCAAACTCTAAAGCTTTCCCTTCGTTTCTTCCAGTTTTATTGGACAACATCAATTGTTTTTCATCTTTAATCAACCCAATTATCGACTTACCATTTCTAGTTCATGGATTAACCAAATTCTTTCCATCTCAACTCAATTACTGGTATTCAAGCAAGTGGATAGCTGGTTAACTTGGTTAAGAATTTCAACTGTAAACTATGAATTATGCTGATCCAATTCAGCTTTTAAGTGTGACCAAGCAAGTTTGCTTTCCTTGGTATAAAATTTAGTTTGCTTAAACAAAAGCTTCAACTGACAACAATAGTGCTTGAAACAACCAAATAACCACTCTTGGTTACTTAAAGATTGATTGAAAAATCAGGTTATTTAATATTGGAAATCAATTGGTAAATCCTGTTTTTGGGTTAAAGTGATTCCATTATCTCAAGTTGGTCATCGTATCAACATCAATAATTAGCTAATTACCTGTGATGGGAAATAGCAATGTTAAAAACACTTCTGGACAATACAATAATCGACCTCATTCTGTTCTCGGTGTTCGAGGTGATGACCGTTATACATTAACTGATCCTGATATACTTTCACGTTACTATCATTCACCCGTTCTTCACCCTCATCCTCACTACAGTCAGTCCAATCATCAAGAAAGATCACCATCATCAAATAAAGTATCTGGTAAAGCAATTCTTCCTCCACTGCCAAGGTCTCATTCATTTCATCAAATCCTTAGACCTACCGAAAACGGAGTCAATTTAATTCAAAAGGGTACCATCCGTGGTATTGACCATCGTCACAATCAATATCACCACAATTCTGGTAAAGATTTACAATTAACATCAGCCGATGATTCACTCAATCCCGAGTTGAATGCAATATTGCGAGAACGTCGCTGTAAAAGTGAAGCTGACTTGTTTGGTGATGCAGATAGTGATTCAGCTGCCCAAGAGGACCAATCAGTCTCTGAGAAGAGTACCGACAGGTCAATCGAAGGATTGAGGAAAGGATTAACAAACGGTGTTGCCGCACGAATTCAACGCGCCAAGTATAAAGCTCCTGCTCCACCTGTTCCAGTTAATCGGACATCAAATGATGCGCCTAATGGGAACAATAATATCAACAAAAACAATGAGGATGTTAATTGTAATGATTATAATAAAATGCGGTCCAATGGTGAAAGTAAAGTGCCATCTGCCTCATCTGGACTGATTATGTATTCCGATTCAAATAGTCGAGATAGCAAAAGAAGTTTACAAGCCAAAGAAAAATCAACGCCGCCACCGAACAAATCCAAATTGAGTTTAATTCGCCGTTTAAGTGATAAATCATATTTTCCAATTGGTCGTACCAATTCTAATGGTGAATCTCGAGCTGAACACAACAATTTGTACCCTAGTAAAGATAAAAATTTCATGTTACTACCAAGACTGAAAGATTCCTCACCTTCTTCGCCCAAACTGTCTCATATCAATGAAAACATCAAAAGCAAACGTGATACCGAAATTATTAAAACCAACAGGTTTAATGGCAGTTATGAAGAGACCAACTTTCAAATGTACTCAGATGGAAATGAACCCGCTCTCAATGAGATAAATGATTTTATTGCTCGGGAACTGGCTTTACGTTCAGCTGTTAATGATAGTCCAGATGGTGACAATGATAAAGGATCGGGACGAGATGAAAATAGTGGTCGTCGAGGGGTCAGTAAAATATTCAGGCGTGATAAATCCAACAGTAATGGGAAAAATAATAGTTTTAATGTTGGCTCCAACCATGGTGATGGTCAACCAGTTAAAAATGGAAAATCATTATACCTTCCTCCCGTTTTTGATGATAACTTTATTTTAAAAAGGACTACACCAAATGCAGGGCTAAATGGATCAAATAATATTACTAATAAAAAGTTGCTTGATCTTTATCCATCAAAAATTAACAACCATGATCTGGACAAAAATAGATATAATCAAGAAGGCCAAATGTCACCCAAACTTGGTTTAACTAATCTATTGTCTAATAACAAACACCGCCATCCCTATCAGCATCATCAATCTAATCATCAACTTGATGGATTAGCTGGTTTTGAACATCATCCATACAATCATAGTTCATCGGGGTCACCCTCACCACCAGATTATCATAATCGTTCCTCACATCACAATTCACGCCAACAAAAATCACCGGGAGATCATCGATCTCAATGGATTTTGGGCAACAATTATTCAAGAGAGACAACACCATTATCATTACTATCCTCATCTTCCCCACCACCGCCTCCACCGCCTCTTCCAACTCTTCCTTACCTTCCTGGAGACTCTTCAAATCTTTCATCAAACCGTAAATATGATTCAAAAGAGGAGAGCATCACTCGATTAGACTCATTGAAACATCTTAATCATTCATCAATAAGTGATAGCGCCAATTATTCCGATGAGGATGATGAAGAGGAGATTAAGGTTGTACTTAAACCTTACCTTCCACCACCTCGTCGGTTGCCTTTTAGCGAGGATCCCGTTATCATTGCCGATGATTTATTTAACACGGACGATAACAGTATAACCAAATGTCCACCCTTAACCTCTTCGGGGATTCGTCAGAAACACTGTTGGACTCCAATGGAGGATCTAACAAGTTCAGATGAAGAGGCCGAAGATGACGAGGATGATGATGGAATCCATTGTGACCCTCAGTCTGAAGATGATGATCAATTGAATGGGAAACGGGATGTTAGAGATTTAATTAATGATTACAATACAAGATTTACGTTGAAAAATCAATTGAGAACAATAATACAAAACAATAAATTAAGATCATCCCAGGGTTATCCTTAATTGAACATTTTTGTGAAACACCAAATACAATCTGTAAAATTGCTTCAACATTTTTAAATGATCATTGTTTTTGTAATTGTTTTTTCCTAATTTTATTTCATTTTCAACATATTTGCTAATCAATCGTAAATATCGTGATATCGTTAACAAAACAAAAGTGTTGTTATTGTCAAAATTATTGATTTTCAGTTAATTTAACTTCATTTCCAATAAATATCCATACTTTAACATTTACAAAATGCGTAGGTTTATTGTTTAATTTGCCAACCTGTCCAGTACACCATGAATGATGGTTGTTATAATACTAAAAAGACAAAATTGTAACATTACGACAATTATAACATAGCCATCACATTTATACACGAATTGGCACTAACGGGTAAAAATTAGTTTCATACAAATTAGGCTTCATACAAAAAACCTCATATCTTGGTAAATGAACCAAATTTTATGGTTAAACTTGCAAATGAAATGCAAAAAGTGCTTCCAAAGGCTCCAACATTTGCGTCAAGAGTTGCGAATTGGTAGATTTGTAGAGACTGTAAAATTGAATCCATTGGTACTATTAAATAATTCGTTCGATAGACCATTCTCGAGAGGATGGCCATTATCCTAGAAACTTTGAGTTTCGATATTTCGAGAATGGCATCACTTGCAATCATCATTCTTTCACCAATTCATTCCTACACTAATTAATAATTTAGTTCAATCAAAAAAATTCCCATTAGTGCATTCGGGTTACGATGTTTGGGTTATAAATGAAAGACCAACATCTTATTTAACACAACAAACTCATATTAGTGCATATCTTGGTAAATGAAGCAATTTTCTGGTTAAAGCTGCAAATGAAATGCAAATAGTATGACCAAAGGCTGGAATATTTGAGTACAGAGTTGAAACTTGATAGATTTGTAGGGACATAAAAACTGAATCCATCGGTGCTATTGAATAAATCGTCCGATGGACAGTTTTCTAGAAAATCGAGGTTAAACTTGAAACTTCGAACGCCTTTTGCTCCGCTATGGAAGCAGATTTTTTCATGAAACTTATTCCGGCTCATGTAAAATTTGGTTAACAATAAGAAAATGAAATAATTTTGAGAGAAAAAACTTTTGTTTTTGCGTAAAACAGATCACTTCGATTTATATTTAAACGTGTCGCATTTGCGGACTGAGATAGTTAGAGACCTGAAACTAATTATGAGTGTGTAAATATTGTTGCTCCATATTATGGGTTGAATAATTTTGTCAGTTCAACAATAGTTCTCTTGCTTTTGCCCATTAACCCGAAAACTTTGAGTCTTAATATTTCGACAATGGTACTATCTACAGTCATCATTCTTTCCCCAAACATTATATTTCATTATGGGCTGTAATATGTGGAAATATTAAATTGTTCAAGTTTATACAAGAAAAGATATAGCATTGTTTTACTTAGGTTTTAAGATTTGAGCCTTGGTTTATAAATACAACTGGTTACAAAACACAACACTTATGATGAAGCAGAATATTCATAATCAAATCAATCATCGCAGATTTTTTTGAGTCTTTATTCATATTATGTTATTTTCCCTAATGAAATCTAACGAATAGTCAAAAAATAATGATTATATGTGCTATCGTTCTCGAAATATTAAGACTCAAAGTTTTCGGGTTAATGGGCAAAAGCAAGAGAACTATTGTTGAACTGACAAAATTATTCAACCCATAATATCTAACTATCTTAGTCCGCAAATGCGACACGTTTAAATATAAATCGAAGTGATCTGTTTTACGTAAAAACAAAAGTTCTTTCTCTCAAAATTATTTCATTTTCTTATTGTTAACCAAATTTTACATCAGCCGGAATAAGTTTCATGAAAAAATCTGCTTCCATAGCGGAGCAAAAGGCGTTCGAAGTTTCAAGTTTAACCTCGATTTTCTAGAAAACTGTCCATCGGACGATTTATTCAATAGCACCGATGGATTCAGTTTTTATGTCCCTACAAATCTATCAAGTTTCAACTCTGTACTCAAATATTCCAGCCTTTGGTCATACTATTTGCATTTCATTTGCAGCTTTAACCAGAAAATTGCTTTATTTACCAAGATATGCACTAATATGAGTTTGTTGTGTTAAATAAGGTGTTGGTCTTTCATTTATAACCCAAACATCGTAACCCGAATGCACTAATGGGATTTTTTTTGATTGAACTAAATTATTAATTAGTGTAGGAATGAATTGGTGAAAGAGTGATGATTGCAAGTGATGCCATTCTCGAAATATCGACACTCAAAGTTTCTAGGATAATGGCCGAAATTGAGAAAACTGTTAATCAATTCGAAAAAGTAATCAATCTACAATGTGAGCCGAAAGTTTTTCTGGAAAAGTGATAAGTTTCAGTTCTTCAACTCGTATGGTCACAGAAAGCCATCGGTTTAATTGTAAATCGAACTAATCTGTTTTACAGAAAAAGAAAAGTTTTGTTCTCAAAATAATTATATTTTCTGGTTGATCATCAAAAGATAGATCATTAAAATAAGTTTTATGAAGAAAACTACTTTCATAGCTGAACTAAAGGCGTTCCAAGTTTTAAGTTTGATCTCGATCTACTAGAAAACTGTTAATTTTAGAAATTTTTAAATCGCACAAATGGATCAATCCAACAAAAGACACCTAAAGAAATAGCATCAACTGATTATACTTTTTACCGAATTCAATAAAGGGTTTCAAGTATCGCGATAGTATGATAATTCAGGTTACAAGTGAAGACAATTTAATAACACTTTAATAGCTCTACATATTACAATTATTAATATATTACAATTCAACTTCTACTCCTCTGTTAAAAGCAAGTGACCGTTTCAAAATCATAGGATGCATTCCGTATCAAGGTAGCGAAATTAGCTTAACGTCTATTAACGAGTTTCTGTACAGTTCCTGAATGGATGGATGTTTGGATGTTAGTAATCGATATTCAGAGACATCGAGAAATGTTTCATGTAACTTCTGATTTCTGCTATCCTTTATTTTGAATGGCCATCGTAACGGAGTGAGTCCATTATACTTTTCATATTCAGTCGATGTATCCATATTTATATTTATCTGTTCTAACTAGGTCGGTTTCTCTGAGAGTTGATTTTGCCATCTGATGTTTTTACAAATATTATCATTACGAAACAAAAATGATTTCATCTCAAGACTTGCCTTTTGATTCATTTTAATCTGATCATGTCTCATTTTGAAATTAAGAATGAACTTTATCAGTGGCTATCACAATTAAGTTGATCACTTTTGTTTTAAAATCTTTCTCTTTTTTCCCCTCATTCAATTTTAAACTTGCAAATATAAAGCAAGCAACCAATCCTTCAATTGTATTTTCAGCTGAAACCAACCCTGATTAAGTTCACCTGATTATGCCGCACAAAAACACAAACATTATGATTGATCAGTTGAACAGTTAATCTCATGATAAATCTAATGATAGTCATTTCTTGATTTAAAGGCTATTCTGTTGTTTAACCCTGAAGATGAGGTTATACAAAACATAACAGAAATGCGGTTTTATTTGGTTAAAGACATTTTGTTTATTCAAAAATAAAAGCTCCAGATTTACGCAGAAAATGTGTTTAGTAAATTTGATTGATTTGATGATGATTGTCCAGTCATCACTTGATTATCCAACATATTTAATAGTAACAATCGACCACTACCAGTATCTTGAAAAGGGCAATCAATCTTGTTATATCCGATAATTAGGGTTAACTAATGATGGTTACTATAATGAAACAGGTAAACAAATTAGACCATGAATTAAGTCCCAATTCACAACATTCAAAGTGTAAACAAAAAGGACCTACAATTATAATTGCATGCAATCAAACAATTAGATGTTAATCAAATGAATGTCTCATGTAAATAAGGCACAGCAAAAAAAACAAAGTGAAACGGGTGAAGGGAAAGGAGATATTTTCATTTTATCAGTTCATCACTCGACCAAACGAAATTTTCACACCGTCCCTTATTATACAACAATAGATGTTTTTGTATCAATATTTATATTTTTTCACCTTCTTTTCAATTTAAACTTGTTTTGCCCTCAACTATTAACAGTGTAATTTGACTCGGACATTGAACAACAACCATGATAACTTGTTAAAAGCTGATGTTGACCAAGAATAATCGGAAAAAAGCTGATTGTTAGGAGGAGTTAATACACTGTAAATTGACCCTCAATTTCAACCATTTTATGTCAACACCAAATGGGTTTACAATGGAAAAGGATGAATCATTATTTTACCTCTCCGTCCAACAATTTATTCAATTTGATCACCATTGTAATCCTTACAATGAGAACCATTTTTGATAGTGAATTTGATTTTGAGAAGAAAAAAAAGACTTTTTGATTCGGTTACCTTTGCCAGAAAACAACAAAAACATCAGTTACAAAAAAAGGTAACATCAAACTGAGAGATCAAATTAAGAAGGGAATTGTTGCCGATTACAATGAATAACCATTTGAATGGACTCAGATGAACTGCCTTTGGTTTGTATTTTCAATTGTAATCATTACTAACTCAGAGAGTGTGTCTAGGTAATTGTAATCGCAATTACAATTGTAAAGCTCAGTCAAACGAGACTCGTCAAGTCTTCATCAAACCTTCCTCCTTCTTGATCTTACCCTTCCAATTTCAACTTGTATTATTGACAATATTTTTACTTTTCTTCAATTTTTTTTTATCTAGATTCTGATGAGCATTCAATTTCATCTTCACATCCATGACTCTAATTTTGTTGATCAAAGGACCGATGCAAGGAATGAATAAGTTCACAGGATCATCAAAGCAAATCTTCAACATAAATCCAAAACTGAATTCAAGTTACAATGTAACCCTATCCTGTTGCATGCATTACCTGGACTTAATAACAATTTTTGATGATTTCTTAATCAAATTTGTTCGTTTATTTACTTTAATGCATATTAATATTGATAATGATCAATAAAATGATCACCAAAAGGTAAATATAAATCATTTTTACCCTTAAAAGCTTGATGGGTAAACACACAATCAATGGAGATGCTTAATCAATCTTTAAATTTAATTGCTCATGCTTTTCCCCCTTGTATTGTCATTATTATGATTATCATTTGAACCTTTCTAAATGATTCTCAAAATTATAACCTTTTAACTTGTTGCAAGGAACTACAATTAGTACACTTTTGCGTTAATGTAATAACAGAACCGTAATTTTGAAATAATTATGAACTTAATTATTGCTTTATTGCTACTTGTTTCTCATCTCTTGTCTCGTGGCCTTCATCTTGATCACCCAAAGTATTATATCATCATCAATCTTAATCGATAACACGAATTAAGGTAAACCTTTTGAAGCTACTAATAGCCTTATAACCCCAAAACTGGTTAAACATTAAACAACAGTAAATGGGAAAACAATTCAAGTTATTTTGTATTTCTAATGTAAAAAAGCCGATTCTATTGTAATGGACTGTACTCTTAACTCACAGTCATTATAATTTACCAAATAAATATGAAATTAACTTGTATTGTGCAGGTCATAATGATAACAATTGTTGAAACTAATTGTAATGGAATGAGAGTTTTGGTTGAAATTTTGAGGGTAAATTAAAAAAGGTTGAAAAGTCTCAAAATGTATGTAAATAAATGTTTGTCTTCCTGGCTCTTAACCAAGTTTACCCATTTTGTTGTCCTTTTTGCATGACTTGCAATCGTAGCTTCATGCATTATTTTAATATGAATGAATGATAATTCATCTTATCATTTTCATGTTAATCCATCAAGGTGAACCTAAATTATATTGTAAAAGACTCTTTACCTTATTACAAAAATGTTCAAGTGTTAACACAGCAAATCATTTTGGGTTACAATCTTGTACCTTGCATGATTGTATAAAAGTTGACTTTACAAATAGATTTGATTAAATTAAAGTAAAATAGGTAAGTTCCTCTTTTAATGATGAATGTTAATTGAAACATTAAAAGGCATTTAATGGCACTTCCTTACATTGAATTGAATTTGAAACAAATAAATATTCCAACCATTCAGTGTTCACTTTATTTTATGTTTTTGTTTCTCTTTCATGACTCAATTGATGATTAAATTTGTAATAACTAATTTTTACCTGTTAATTATATGATGCTATTAAAAATTATTACAACCTTCTGCATGATCAATATGGATGTGTTGAGAAATGTGATTTATAAATTGATTTGCTGGCAACATTTACAATCTAATATGAGGATACAGCTTTAATGGATGTCAATTAAATTTAATTGAGAGACTGACTAATGAAACATCATGATTGTTAATGATTGAATCGGGATGAATGTTTAGGCTTTAGTATCAATCGTGACTTGAAATAATGAATCAATTACTACAATTCAAAATCGATTTCTCTTAAGATTTATTGATGATCAAACTCGAAGATTAGGTAAGATACAAAAATGAAACGTTAAAAGAGGTAAGACGGTTTAAATATGTGAAACTGGTCAACAATTGTTGATGACCCATTATTTGTATAAAAAGGATTTTGAGTATTAATAATTCAAGACTTGATTTTCAGGATTGATACAGCTTTTGTTTGTAGTCGTTCAGACTTTGAGACAGTTGAGTTTACCTCTAAGGTTAGGAAGTCATTTTCAATTCTAGTTTTACAATGAAAAACGAAAAGTGTTGCTTGGTAATGAAATTGCCATGATTCAGTTAATGGCTGGGGAGCTTTTGACACATGTTTTCATACAAAATTTGATATAAATGATTATTCAGATTTGAAATTATCGCCTGCAGCATTTTGCTGAAATTGCTGTAAATCAACGTCATCAGAGTCAAACAATTTGTCTTTGTTGCAATTTTCAATCAAAGGAATACCATTCGGTGGCTGATAATTTTGAAATCGGGTTCGCCTTTTCACGTAAAGGGCTACGAAAACAGTAGCCAAGACAATTGTTATTGCTCCCAGTAAAATGAATGGTGCTGCAATGAGAAAATTGAATTAAAGTTAATAATCAAGTCTGTGAGTGTTGATTAAGAAAATTTTACCTGATCCAAGAGTGACTCCTTGAGATTTTTGAACTTTATCATGATTAGCAGCAGTAACAGGGATATCTATATCATCAGGTGTCGTTGGTCCAGGAACAGTCGGAATTTTGCTTTCCTGTGTAGTTACTTCAGTGTGAGGAGTTGGTTTAATTGTGGGTGCAGTTGTTGGTTCATGATGTTCAGTAGTTGGCTTTGGAGGTATTTTGGTGGGTTTTGCAGTGATGGGTTGTTCAGTTTCTGTAGGAACCGGTTTGGTGGTCGTAGTGGTCTCATGTTTTTCATGGGGATCACAATCTACTAATTGAAAAGATCCTAGTCCACCATGTACTTTAACATCATCAGTTGATTGCACATCTAAAACAAATTGTATGTAATAACCTGGGTCAAGCGATCCAAGCGCTAATAGCTTGTCACTCCATTCATTTGCGTGATCTAAATCAAACACCTTTTTTGTAACTGATTCAAGATCATTTCTTAATCTAGCTGTCATTGAAGCTTTATCGGCAAGGAAATATGTAAAATTAAAGCGACAGTTTGGTGATGTTTTACCAAGTCTTGGTGATTTAAGTATGGCTC